CTTATTATTTCTTAATCTTATAGTTATTCTATTTATACTTATATATTACCTTATATAGGTCTTTATTATATTATATTTCTATAATACTAATAGAATTATATTAATAAGAAACTTAATATCCCTCTATTTTATACTATAGGTATAGTTTATTATTAGGCTAATATAATAAGGGAATTAAGAAATAATCTTATTTTTATTTTTCTTTCTTATACTTTTTATATTAATAATATTAATATAATATCTATAAAATACTAAGGTATTCTTTATATATTAGGTAGGTTTATATATTATCCTATATATTAAATAATACTTCTAGGTATTATAGGTTCTTAATTATTATTTAGTAATATACGCGGATATATATATCTTATATATTAGTAATATCTATATATTCCCTTATAGTTTAAATATATTATTCCTATAATATATTCTAATATTAGTTTTCTTATTTATTATAGAGTTATAAGTAATATTCTTTTTTTTATAGGTTATTATTTATCTTAGGGTTCTATTAGTTCTAGATCTAGGCTATTATTAATTATCGCTAAGCTTTTACTCTAGCGCTATAATTAAGATTATTATAATATTACTTAATTTATCTTATTATTATAATAGTCTTAATATTAAGATCTTTATTAGGTTTATTAATTAATTTAAGTAATAGTTTCTATTCTAACCTATCTATAAGGTAGAGCTATTTTGCCTTCAAGGGTTTTATTATAATATATTATAGCTTTAGCTAAGAGTAATTATTATACTTAAATTATTCCTTAGTAAGGTATATTTAGCTATAAGGCATAATAATTTCTCTTAGTTTTAAATTAATATTATTATAATTAGTCTAGGCTATATTAAGTATTTTAATTATTTAAAGAGTTATTTATAGCTTATTATTAACTTATATAAATCTTACCTACTTTTTACCTTCGGGGAATTACTATTATTATAGCTAATAATAACTTTCTTTAATATTATATTACTTCTTATAATAAATCTTCTTAATATAATTTATCTTATAATAATATTAATATTTAAGTCTATAATAATTATATTTTTTTTATTAAGTTACTCTAAGTTTTATAGGTTTTATATAGGTTCTATAGGATATATTATTTTATTAATATTACCCTTAGTTAGTATTAAACTAAGGTTTCTAATAATTTTCTTTACCGCTATAGGGATTTTAAAATTTCTTTTAAGAGAACTATTAATTATTAATCTTAATTACTTAGCTAATATAATTAATAAGGTTATTAAGCTAATCTTCCTTATAGAGTTTAGCCTATACCTCTTTCTTAAGTTTATTAAAGAAAAAGGATATTAAGGGTTCTTAGTCTTAATTAAGCTTTAAGGTAAATTAGAGGTATTTAATATTATATTCTAATATAAAGTAAGTTTATTAAAGTACCTTAATTTCCCTTTTCGCCTAAGCCTTTTTATTTATTATTTTAAAAGCTTATTAAAGCGCGGCTTTAAAGGTTTTAAAGCTAGAATAGAGGTTTATAGTCTAAGGCGAGTATTTATTAAGTAGTTTAATAAGGTATTTCCTTATAATAGGTTTAAATTAAGCTATAATATACTTAATAAGATACCTAGCGGTATATTAAACCTTACTAGATATTATAATAAACTAAGTAAGGTAATAGAGTATAAATATATATAATTATATAAGAAATATTAGTAATTTATATATAATATTATTAAACTTTTCTAGTTATTTTAGCTTTAAGATTTCTCTAATATCCTTACCTTTTATAATAATAACCGCTATATTATTAATATTCTAGATATTCTTATAATATTACTAATTTTAAACTTACTAAGTAATAGCTATATAATTAATAAATCCTTTAAGTTCTTTTATTTTAATAATTATAATAATAACCTAAGTATAAAATTATTTAATTTCTTTATTATTATTATTTATTTCTTTATTATTATTAAGGTTAGCCTAAATTAATATAATAAAGGTAGGTAAGTAATTAATAGGTAGAATTTATTAGTAATTATTACTAAGAGTAGCCTAAGTAATTATTATATTTAATATTATTTAAGGTAATATAAGTAATTTAATAAATAAGAGCTATTAATATATAATAAGAGGATATTTCCTAAGGGATAAACTAATTATATTAGTTTATATTAGTATTAGATTATATTATATAGCCTTAAAGGTTAATATAATATTATATTTAGTAATATATTTAAAGGTATTAAGTATAATTAAGTTATATTAATAGCTAAGGTAATTACTATATAAGAAAATATAATAAGTATATCTTATATACTTATAGTTAATCTTTAGACTGATATTCTCTAGGTTTAGTCTAGGGTAGGATTAATATTTCTAATATTTAGTCCCTAGATCGATGCGGGCGATATTTAGTCCCTTTGGTCCCTTGCTTAGTTAGAGTATTTCTGCTATATTTCCCCGCCTGGCTTATGTCATGGCCGTGATATCGTCGATATCTGGGCACAAAGCTTACCAAGGCATCAGCAAACCAGCTCCAGCAAACATACCAACAGCCACCGCGAGCACCGGAGCAATTCCCCGAGCTGACAACGTAGAAGCCGCATTATCGTCGTCGGCGCCCTTGTTCTCATCCTTGTCCTCGCCCTCGATTCCACCCTGCTCCTTTGCCTTTGCAACATCCGATTCCTGATAGACAAGAGCAACCGCTGGATACACCGTGGCAACTACCCAATCACCCCAAAACTGTTCCTTGCCTGTTACATCGGCAATGGCTACTGTCCTGGTGGAGTATTCATCCGTAATTGGTCTCACAGAGTAGACGCCTTGCGTTACTGGGGTGCCCTCGACTGTGTAGACCGTGGTGAGGGCGTCCTCTGGGTAAAAGGCTCTGCATACTGACTTGTAGTCGAATTCTTCGGGAGGGCCGAGGGCGGAATTGCAGGCGCCTCCGACAACACCTGTATATCCACTACAGTTGCATCAGTTTAGTTGTAATATTAAAAGTATGGCTTGAATTACCTTGGACAGCAGTACGCAAGAGTCTCAGATGGCTTCAGAGCATTGGACCAGAGTTCTTCAGGCCTAACCCACGGCCGCATTCTGCCATCGAAGCCATCAAACGGATCCTTGGTAAAAACACCACTCGCATCAACCGAACTGGTATTCCCAGCAAGAGCAAATGTGCCAACCGTGCTCCAGCCTTGAGGACACACCAACCCGGGCGAGAAGTAAGGGTACCATGCCTGGATGGGGCGCTCCCAGTACGAGGTCACGTATTCATCGTATGCCGAACCAGAGGGAATGCAATCCCCCACGTACCCGCCTTTGCACTTGGGGTTTCCGAATTGTATGGCGAGGTTCGTTGCGTTGGCGTAATAGACACGATCAGTCGTTTCAGTGGCGCATGATGACGGTGCTGTGAATGTTGTGGTGAGGGGACCGAAGTTGGTGATGGTGTGGCCAAAGTATTCTGTGAGCGACGGCATCGTGGCGGTGATTTTTGTGTTCTGCAGTTGATCCAGAATTTTAAAGAAAACTTGGGGTACCAGGGCTTAAATAAAGAGCCTTGTAATAAGGCCAAGCATTAATCGTACGCTCATGGTCTATTATACGGTCTAGACGGTCCGAGTTGCCAAATCCTTTTACGAGCCCAGCTCTTCTCGCTGTACAGGCACACTGCAGGGCTAAAGGGGCCTCGAACCCGGCGATTTCTGCTCAGAGTAAGGCGTAGGGCTTAGGCATTGACTTAAAGAGGCACAGCTGGAAAATATTGTGCTGCCAAGACGTTCGAGGCGCTGGAGGGTTGCAGTAGGATTTGCGGAGCTGGTCACCGCTTTAAGAAGGCTCCGAAGATCATGACATGGGGCGACTGGGGTAGGGAAACTAAGACAATAAGGCTGAATTGCGGAATAGAGAAACTGTCAAATGTAGCGTGTGTAAACTGGAGTATCGTAACTTGAAGTAAAAAGTCTCGTCATGATATTATGGACTCGTGTATCCAACTCCTAACCATGCTCCCAAACGCTCCCAATGAATACCCTTGCAAATCAAGTCCGTTGCGACCTTAAGTCGCAGCAACAACTGCTGTCGTTGTCTGAGATGCCATCATCATCGCTTGCCACTGGCACATGCAACTCAAAAGAGCCATAACTGCCCACTGCGTACCCAGTTCTCCCGTAAGACCACTCCCTCGGAGCTCAAACGTTCCAATCTTCGACATGCTCTTCCAGCTGCCGCTGTCGGCCCATACAGCGACAACCTCCTTTCCATCGCTCGTGAAGCCATCAGGGCGATCTGGTTCCTCGCCAGAAGCTTCAGCGTCGTCGTTAGGATCGTCCACAATGTTTCCAACGCGTACCAGCTTCCATCCCCACTTGGATTCTCCTACACTCTTGACTTCGCTGCCGTGGGAGCGTCGCCACTCGAAGCGTTCAACATGTCGGTTCGCACCCTCGCCAACCTGCAAACCGAACCAATATCTCTCAGGTGACCTGTTCTTGTGGCGCAAGATCTCGACGCTTTCCCCGACGTTGGTGCCAGGAATGGCGGGGAGTTGAATATTGAAGTCGACCCTCCAGCCGTCTGGCTTTGCGCCACCGAGGGCAGGCGAGTCGGGATCGGGACCGTCGTGCATGATCATTTTGCCGTAGAAGCCTTGAGGAAGAGAAAGGCAGTAGATAGGGTCCTTGTCAGGCTCGCCGAGGCGGACGATGATCTTTGTCCATGACTTTTTGTATGTGGCGCGGATGACGGGAGGGACGCCCCTCTGAGCGGACTCGAGGGACATTTGCGGGGAGGGAATCTTTGAGTCGCCGTGGCCCATTGTGAATGTGTCGATGTGTGTAGATCTGTTTGTTGGTTAAAGACTGTGAGAAGAAGTCTTCGATATAAATGCTTTGATAATGCAAACACACCTTCTTCTTGGCGGGGTCGTAAGCTCTTAAATACTGAGAGCTCGAGATAGCTCTTGAGCTCTGGATTCCGATGGAGCGCTCCAAATGACCAGATGTGGAAGTGAAAGTGTCGATCGTCAGCATCGCCCCAGGATCCCAACTCCGCCCCAGGGGATTTCAGCCCTGGAACAGGGGATGAGACGCTCTGATTGGTCGAGTCGGGGTACGCGCCATTTAAGCTGACCCTTGTCGATCGACCCTGTCTGAGCTCTGTGTGGCTGTGATAGCTTCACCAAGGCGAAGTTGGTTGGGCTGAGGGTATGACCTCATCAAGCACGATAACGATTAAAATCATGCAGGTAGATGATCACTGTACTCAAGGGTCAAACACGTGAAAGAAATATGACAGAGAAGTGGGTTTTGATGCTGTCATGTGTTGACAATGTGTTCTTTATTATAGTTGAAGCCCGGCCCTTGATGGGTTAACTGAGCCTGAAGATCGATGACAATGAACCCAGTCTCGCCCGCCAACATCTTCTTGTCAACCACATGTAGACTCCAATCTTTAACCCAAAGCTCAACCCACAAGAGTCGGGGGAGTCTGGGGAGGCCCTACTCCTAGTAAGGGGTAGTGCCTCCCTGGGCGATGAGGGCAAGCTTCTGGACCTCGTCATGATGTTGTGATGTGTTGAAGATCTGTTCTTTATTATAGTTGCAGCCCGGCCATCGATGGGTTAACTGAGCCCGAAGATCGCTTCTGGACCTCAACCTTGTGGAGGGCGTCGTGAAGCTTGGAGATGAGAGAATCCCGGCTGGCAATAAACTGCTGGTAGTGGAATTGGAAGTCACGTCGGATGGTGATCAGGGCGTGGTGAACACGGTAGAGGATGCAACCGTAGCATCCCATCCCAAAACAAACCAAGATAAACCAAAACAAACCAAAACAAACCAAAACAAACCAAAAAGATATCCTCCCTCTCCCCCGCCATGTAGTCGAAATCCGGACCTTAGGTGTACCCCACCTCCTTTGAGGGAGTAGCTGAAGCCGAAGAGCGCCTGGAAGCTGTCAGTGAAGCCATGTTCAAGAATCCCGGATGTACTCACCTCTCCCGAACAGTTCGGCACAGAGCGGATTCGCCCCCTAATGAATGGGGGCGGCCGCAGGCAGAAAGAATCGCCGAGCCTGCCATGGCGCTTCTTTTTCTGCCCGCAGCCGCCCCAGGCCTGAACATGAGGTCCTCCAGGGTGTCTATGGTAGAACACGCAGTTAGCTCTCGCTGGCTTGGTCAGAGGGATGGGCATTGTCCTTACCTGCTCACAAGGAGCTCTTAGAAGCCTGCGCAGGGGACTGTAAATGTAGAGCTCTCTCTTGCAAGCCTGTGCAAGGGACCACAGATGTAGAGTTCTTGCAAGCCTGTCCAGGGCGTCAGGAACGGCGGGAGTAAGCTGTCGTTCCACGGGGAGCTCAGAGGCGGACATGGCCCATCAGTGTCTGCCTAGAGCCGTGCCGTGGTTGAACGTGATGTCTATTGCAAACACTTGGTTAGATCTCGCTGATTTAGTGAGAAGGGTGGGAGATGCCCTTACCTAGCTCGTAAAGAGCATCTTGCAAGCCTGCAAAGGACCGAAAAATGTAGAACCGCTTGCATACTGCTTGCAAACCTGTTCAGGCTAGCAAATGCAGAGCTCTTGCAAGCATACCCAAGACGTCAAGAACGAGGCGAGGAAGATGTTGTTCCACTGGCGTAGCTCGCCTGAACATGAAGCACGCCGGGACGGCTATTGTAGAAGACACAGTTAGCTCCAGCTGATTGGGTGAGAAAGATGAGAGTCATCCTTACCTAACTCGCGGGGAGCTCTTGCAAGCCTGCGCAGGGGACCATAGATGTAGAGTTTCTTGCAAACCTGTCCAAGCCACAAGATGGAGATTTCTTACAAGCCTGCAGGGGACCACAAATGGAGAGCCTCTTGTAATCGCGCCCGACGCGTCAAGGAAACGAGGAGTTTGGTGTTGCTCTGGGGGTGCAGCTCAGGATGCTGCGGCCTAGGAGGGCCATGTGATTTTGCGATGATGCATGACAGGCGAAAGATAAAGGCAAGAATATTATTTGAAAGGAAGGGAAGGTGATGCAGACTTGAATGAAACCATGCTGATGGTGGGTAGTGGTGCTTGTTTGTGGAGGGAGATGAAGGTGGAAGCGAGAGAGAGAGCGGGGGATGTTTTTGTTTTTGCAAAGGCAGAGAATTTTGTGTGCGTGGGAGATTATAGGCGAGCTTGTCCCTTTATCGACGCTGATTCACTGTCATCGGACGGTTTGCTCCGTTCCTACCTGGGTAGGTAGTTGTGCGGCCGCTTGCTCAAACGCCAACCGTATTTGTCCATTCCATTTTCTGCCACCGACATCGTTTGCCCTTTGGTCCCGTTTTGGAACTATAGAGATGCGTACCATCACTTTATTTGCCTTGCTGGGCACTGAATCAGTCACGATGCACTCTTATATACTGTCTCCTTTGCCCTTCTTGAGCTCTTTAGACTTGTCACCTCTTCATACACTCACTACCTTCCACCGATCGATCAAGCTGCCAAGATGATGTCTTAGGGATGCAACATCTTGCACACAGACGATGCCGAGTACTTTGGCCAAGTCATTGACGATATTGCTCGAGAGTTACTCGCCTACGCCGAAGGAGACGAAGACCGGACCTTTACCATCTGGCGCCCCTTAGTCGAGGACAGGAACCTTGTCGCCGAGATGCTCGGCAATGGCTTGCTCGATGCCATCCTGGAAGAGATTGTCACTCGTTACATATCTTCTCCTTGCACCCTCGGAGCTGGACGCTACACTTACATCCTGGCTGTCGTTGCTGCCATGAAGGTTGGCGCGATCATTGCCCCTGTTCACTTCGAATTCGCCAAGGCATTCACCCCACACCTCGTCTCCCCCTTTCACCAACTTCAAGTCCTTACCGCCTGCGAGGAATACAAGAACAACGGCAAACGCTGGGTCTTTGAAGCCATGTACGCGAGAACGATCTCACGCCACAGAACACGGAGTCCAAGAGGAGATCCCAGACTTGGAAACGGTCTTGGGTATGTATCCAACAACGCCCCACGTCTAGGATATGAACTGATTTGAGTTTATATAGACACTCAGTCGACGAACTTCCAACCAGACATTGCTGCAGCAAGACGTGCATCACCTGCGGGAGCCCGAAGCCCCGTATGGTCTGCAAAGGCTGCAGAATCTTTCGGTACTGCAGTAAGGGCTGCCTTGAGCACGACAGGAAGCTTCACAAAGAGACTTGCCCTGCGCGGCCATACGATGGCTCCTTCGGTGCGCAGTGGTACATGGAATGATTCCTCTCACTTGCCATCTGGCCTACTCTTCGGTGTGTGATTGATTTTCTCCGACGACCCATGACAGTCACTGACAATCAAGGCTTAGATCTGGTCCTGTTGAGCCGTATCCGAAGCACCGAGCCGTGACTCAGAGCATGAGGAGGGAACGGGAGCAGAATATCAGGAGCGGGCGTAGAGGTTGGGGAGCAGACCCGCAAGTTGGGACTGAAAAGGCAGTTCTGGTGACGGTTTGCGTCCCTGTTAATATTTTCAAGGAGCTTTCGGCATAGGAGAAAAGATCATAGGTTTCAAAATCGAAGTGTGTCAACCCCAAATGATGCAAAGTCAAGGGACCACATCCAGCACGTTGTGCATGCCCCCCTATCACGGATATAACCTAGATGCTTCCCAGCTGCAATAACCCCGACAGACCGCAGGTACTCGAGCGTGTTGGCAGTTGCTCCTCGGGTAGCTCGACAGATCATCAGCTCAAACGTGCGCCAGATGATGGTCAACCCGATCGACTTCCCACTTGCGATCAAAGAAAGGGGTGCTTTTCTAAGTTGAAATCAGCTTCCTAAGCTTAGTGCGCTGTTTGCGGTATTTGGTTCTTGCTGCATCCTTTGCACGGTGGTCGGGGTCTCATATCTTCAGCCCACCAAACGAGGTGCCAAAGTAGCATTCCAGTTGTAGAACAAGGTTGGATCCCGCACGTGGCTGGGAAAACCAAGACGGGATTGCTCCAAGAACAAGTCGATGGCTAAATGTCTCAGATAATGTATCGATTTTTGATGATAATATGTGTAGATGGCTTCTCGATCGTCATGGTCTTGGTTGAAGCTGGTGAGGAAGCTCGCTGCTACGACTTGTGGTGTTTTTACATCATGCGTGCAAGGGGAATACTGAGCTTGGGCATTTTCTGCCATTGGGTGACAGGGGCAGGCTCTCCTACAGCATTAGCACCAATCGTGCTTCAATTGTCCAGCCACGAATCGCAAACTGCAGGGAAGCCGATCGCAACACGCATCTATCATGTCGAAGAAACAGGACACTCTTTGTGAATGCAGATCAGACTACAACAAGGTTCAACTGTCAAACCAAGATCCAAGGTTTGTCACCCGCCAAAGAAACGGTTCCATTGACTCTAATTCAACGTCATCCACAAACCAACGTCCTTTGTCATGCAGCCACATTCCAGACGATCCGAGCCGAGTCCAACGTGGCAGCATCAAAGCATACCACCCATCCGCGTGCGTTCCATGCCGTCCGATCCCAGACAAACAAAGATGCATAATCGGATACCGGCAGCCTCCGCACGAATCCCCTCCCTCACAAGCTTCAATTTAAAGAACCTCGGGACCAGGGGCACCATCACCAACCTGCGGGGTTAACGGGGGCCACTAAACCTCCTTGGCGACTCATCCCGGATGGGCCGGCCCAAAAGGTCTCCTTACCCATGCCAAGCTCCGGGGGGGGAGCTTTGACGCGTGGACGAGACCAACAAATAAATAACGAACCCACCCAGGACAAGAACGGCAGCTCGTCTCTCAGCTGCATCTGATCTGCTCAGTTGGCCTCGTTTTGCAAAAGTCTCGTGTTGTCTCTCTCGCGCATCAAAAAGACACGTCCCTCTCTCACGCGACACTTTCAGCTTCTCGCTTCAAAATGCGGCCCTTTACTCTCCCCTCGGCTTTATTTGTCGCCGCCGCTCTCGCCCAGAAAAGCAGGAATGTGGAATGTGCCGATGGCTTGTACCTGGTTGTCGCGCGAGGCACAGGCGAGGAGAAGGGCGCTGGCATCACTGGAGAGGTCGCTGAGGATGTCGCCGACCGCGTCAAGGGTTCCATCGTCGAGCCTCTCGACTATCCAGCAACGTTCCTTGACCCAGCCTACGATGAGTCTGAGGCTGACGGTGTCAAAGCCTTGACTGAGCTCCTCACCAACTATCACAGCTCGTGTCCGGATGGAAAGATTGCAGTCTTTGGCTATTCTCAGGTCAGTTTTTTTGTCCCCGGTACAACTTGAACAATATCTAATGCCATGCAGGGTGGTCAAGTTGCTACAGACACCTTCTGTGGCGGAAGCGGCGGTAGTTTTCCAGACAACAGGCCCATCTCTACAGATCTGGTCGAAGACAGCGGTGAGCATTTCACATCGAAAACCCGCATGCCGCAGTAACTAATTGAAGCAGTCGTTGCGATCATCATCTTCGGAGACCCGAGCCACGTGGCCAACGCGTCGTACAACCAGGGCACCGGCGAAAAGGACGGCGTAAGTCTGGCCGTGTGACACCATACGATAGTTCTCCAATGGCTGATTGAATTACAGGTCTTTCCCCGTACCAACATTACGCTGTGCGAGGATCAGTACACCAGGACTGGAATTATCCGCTCCTACTGCGATACGGGAGATACGTACTGCGATCGGGGTAGTGATGAGGATGTGCATGGAGAGTATGTGTCCAAGTATGGTGATGAGGTGGTCGAGTATGTCGTGGATCAATATGAGAAGGCTACTAGGCCGGGCATTACGGGGGGCACCTTGACGGCTACGGCCTCTGGAGCGTCTACAGAAACAGCGACAGGAACCGCGACTGGAACTGCCTCTGAAGCCGCTGCTTCAGAAACCGAGTCAACTGCGACTTCAACGCCTACAGCCACATCTGCTCCTGGTAATGGTGCTGCTGGCTTGGCTCCAGGCCTTGCTCTGGCAGCTGTCCCTGTGTTCTTGGCCATTTCGGAGCTGTTGTTTTAAAGTAGAGTAGGGAGAATCTTTTGGATATAATAGATGTTTGGTTTACATGGAGCGTCTGCCAAGACAACCGCGCCTAGATGCCGCAATTCCAACTGAGAAAGCGTCAATGTAGGGCCCCTGAAAGTTGCTTTGGTAGTTTCAGTGCCAGCCGAGTAATACGATGCATGTGTTGAGGACAAGGCAGCCCCTGAATACCCGATCGATCACCTCACGAGTTCTGCCTTTGCTGACCGCTTTGTGTTGTCATAACCGCGACACAAATAACTTGAATCTACCACAACCTTCTGCTGCGACCCTGTGAGTCTATAATAGTCTACCATCTATCCGCTCAACTGGCTTATCTTAGTATCAGTCTGCAATTATAGTTCCCCTCTATCCGATCAAATCTACTCTCTATTCTTTGCCTCAGCCCTGATTCAACATGGGCAAAGCATCCGGATCCGATTTGCGTCCTTGGCAAATAGAGAGAAGGAGGTACCAAAATGCTTCTGCTCAACGAAGGCGACGTGAGTAAAATACCCTACTGTTTCTTCGCCTCTCTAAATAATAAACTCTGGTTACATGGGCAGGCCAAAGGCAGAAAGAGGGTCTGGCGGGAAACAAGCGACTCCCTTTGCAAACTGTGACGAGAAAGGCCTCCAGTTTGTCAAAAGAGCTCGTCTCTGCGATTTTCGATTGCTTCACTACTGACACGGAGCGGTCAAACGTGGCGCTCATAATGGCTGATGAGAACTTCAGTCTGCGCGACATCGTCAAATATGGCCTGATAACGCTGGGTTACGCCGCAAACCCCGACATTCTCCGCACCACCGAGGATTTAGCCTTTTACTCATGGAGTTTATTGGTTTTGTCTGCAGCCCTGGCAGATATTCATCTTGAGAGAGTTATACGAGTAGGGGTCAAGACTTTACTTGATCTCAAAGGACCTAAAACTTGGTCCGGAGAGCTGTCACTGATGGCATTAGCCAAAGAAGATGGATACATGTTGACGAACTACCCCGGAAGTACCGGAAACCCGACGATCGCCGTCAGAACCGGATTCTTCACCGCCAGCCTTGCCAATTGTTGGCTTCTGGGCATCGAACCCTGCGCCATAATGGATCACAACGCAGTGTCGCCTTTTGTGCGGACGACACAAAACACTTTAGGTGAAAAACACGACTACCACGTTCCAGATCTCAACCAGAGAACGGAGACACAAGAGGGCAGATCACAAGACTTTACCCATAATATGCGTCCTACTCTGGAACAGTTGACCATTCCTCACCATCCTTACTTGGATATAATTCCTTGGCCCTCCTTTCGATCTCGAGCAATCATCGCGTCATCCACGAATCCACCACTTATTGACAAGAACGAATTGTGCTTGGATCTTTTGAGTGACGGGATATATTGCTGCAGTATTCCTGGCGTTTCCCTTCATGGCCGGGGGGAGGGCACGCCGTGGGACTCTAGGAGTTGGGAAGCGAGGCCCTGGTTTTTGCACAAGTGGTCGCTCCTGGTAGGACATGATGTGCAGCAAACAAGTTCATGGTGGCGATTGCAATCTTGAAATTGAGCTTCATATTCAACAATTCGTATATTAACTTGCTGCTCACTCATTGTTTTCTATCTAATGGTAACTGCTGAACAGGGCGTGCTTCATAGTAGTAAGCGTTGGAAGTAATGTTGAAATATCCTTGTTTCTCTTGAAGGGAAAAGGGTCGGAAACCCCAGATTTATAAGCAATGGAAGACCTCCAGATTGGGTCTGAGGGATATGAGCGGAGTAATTACCCATAAAGCTCGATATGCGCTGTAAGAGATGGCACGCTGTACTTGAGATGGGAAATGGTCCGTTCTCTCCCATGTGTGCAAGCAGCTGAGAGAGACAAAAAGTATTTCAATTCAAAACTTATCCTCTACACTCAATCACTAATGATTGGCGTTTATCCCACAATCCTTCGCAAGTAGAAGTAGTACGTCCCGGCTTCTTTAGAGATGAGCTTATTATCCATACCCCCAATCACCACGTTGTGAGAAATGTAGCGAAAACTGTCAATAATTGGGAAATTATCATAAATCATGGCGGCTGAGACCACGCCACGGAACTTGGTCTCTCGCAACTATTCAAAAATAAGGTCAGGACAGCCGAAAACATAGCAGATGTAGGGAAGATTACTTGAGCTTTCCCATAATCCTTGTTCCAGATTCGCGCACCAGCACTGTCGTACAGCACAATTGGTTCCACGTCGTCAACTGTATGAAAGTTTTTACCTGCCCAATTATGCGTCTTGAGTAGTTCGTGAGTGGGATGACCGGTGTCGAAGCTTCCCCCTTCCCATTGTCCGATCAGATACTCGGGTTCAACAGGCTTTGCTTGGTCAAAGATGGCAGCAATATCTGCCTCCTCGACATGGCCTTCCTTCTTAGTCAATTCTCCAAATTTCTGTTCGAAGCTGGGTGGACGAAACTTAGTCTCTTGTTCAAATCGAGACAAAGGAGAGCTGAACGCGAACAGAGAACTTACCTGGACATTTTGATGGCTTTGTGTGTTGTGATGAGATTCGTAGGTTGTTTCCGAACTTCATAATATCTGGACATGGAAGCACCTTTTTATGTCTGCCTTCTTTCGGGGTTTTTCTCGGGCTCCGGTCAGTTCCATCTCCCCGACGTTGATTTCATGGATCGCCAACATTGGTGCCCACGTTTGTTGGTGTTGATGCTCAGGGAGATCGACTCCACCTTGTCATCATTAGAGTTCAAGCCTGCAGCGACTCCACTGAGTCCACTCTGTCAGCATTAGAGTTCAGGCTTGAAGTAACTCCACCGTCAGCATTAGAGTTCCAGCAGATGATGATGACGGGTTATGATTGGCTAACGGTCCCAAGGCTGCGTGCAAGTATCACCACATTCGCGTGAGGCACCACTTACTGACAGAGGCACGATTTGTGTAGCTTGGTCAAGGGCTCGAAGAAGCGGTGGGGGGGGGGTGGTCTTCTGAGCGGCCCAAGGGAAATAACACAGCCGTAAACGATTTGTGTAGCATGAGGGCTAATACCATTTAGCCGGGTCATGTTAAACTTGGAAACTGATGTCAGGACTATATCCTCGTATATCACCATCTAATTAAGACTTCAGTAATTCATTCACATCATCCTTCTCTTGTTAGATTTCCACTCATCCTACTTGCCCTGGTCATATCAAATCCCAGTTACAACTGTACACCATCATGGCTGCTGATCACAACACTGTTACTCGTGCTGTGGTATGCCGTGGACCACTTTCAGAAGGGAAATGGGCCATCGAACTCCTGACTCTACAGCCACTGAAGGAAACTGATCTCAAGGTCAAGGTGCTCTCTGTCGGTCTTTGCCACACTGATTTGACAATTGGAAGCACACCCCAGGAACTCGGAGCGTATCCCGGGGTATTGGGCCATGAAGGTCGGTTTGACAGGTTCGAAATACTACAAAGCCTTGGATATTGACTGTCTTATCTTTAGGATGCGGAATTGTTCTTGACATTGGATCAAAGGTCACCGCCGCGAAAGTTGGTGACAGGGTCCTCCTCTCTTTCCGCTCGTGCAAGTCGTGCACCTTTTGCAACAAAGGCGAACCCTCTTACTGTTCCACGTTCACTCCGCTCAACATGGGCCTCGGCAGTCACCCGAGAACTTTCGCTACCGACAAGGAAGGGCTTCCTGTGAAGGGCTTTTTCTTCGGCCAGTCAAGCTTCTGTGAGATCACGACCGTGTCTGAAACGTCTGTCGTGAACGTCTCCGACCACGTTCAGACAGATGATGATCTCAAGCTACTATCTCCTCTTGGCTGCGGATTGCAAACAGGCGCAGGGGCTATTATGAAACTTCAGGACCTGAACGAGGATGATTCTGTTGCAATTGTTGGCCTCGGGGCAGTGGGGCTGGCAGCAGTAGCAGTATGTTCAAAAACCAAACACTCGCTCGTCTTTCTAGACAAGCTTACATCATCGATAGGCCTCGAAAATCCGAGGAATCAAAACTGTCATCGCAATCGACAGAGTGCAAAGCCGGCTTGACTTGGCAAAACACTTTGGAGCGACACACACTCTTGACTCCTCACGCCTCGGTAACGAACTTGTTCCGGCCGTGCAAGGGTTGACCGAGGGTCTGGGTGCGTCTGTGTCAGTGGATGCAACGGGAAACTTGAACGTGATCAAACAGGGGATCGTGGCAACAAGAAATTTGGGCAAGGTTTGTATGTTGGGGGTCACGCCGCCAGGAACAACCCTTGATATCGACAGCACTTCATTTTTAGGGGTACTTACTCTCAGCCAATCCTGCCTTTAGAATACTGACCCCATGGATAGTCAGGAAAACAGTTATTTGGGTCTGTGGAAGGAGGTGTAATCCCCACAGAGGTAGACGCCATCTACCCCTTTTCTGGTCGCAGACAAGATTGACATGATCAACAGTTCATACCTAGCCTGATACAATGGCACCGCCAGGGCATTCTCCCTATAGAGAGAATTGTCAAATTTTACCCTGTGAGTCATCTTTCTGTCATGTTGTGCATGCCGAGGACTTTGTTGATCAGGTATCACTTCAGGCAGAGAGTTTTGCACAAGCTCTATCCGACATGCGATCCGGGGACGTTGTGAAACCTGTGCTTTATTGGTAGGTACCGACTGCAAGTCCACCAGCTGGAACGCGAAGCACTTGCTGGTGGCTGGGTACAAAGATCGAGTCAAGGGTTAAGGTGGGGGTGAGGTGAGGGCGTATGGAGTGAGATAAACGGCTGTCAACGGGGGATGTGTAGCTGCGCACCCATCGTCAAGTTCCGCCAAGGTAGAAAGATACCATAAATTCGACCTCAGTTCATCCCTACCAGTCAAGTGCTTCCTGTGATAATCGATTAACCAATTGAGACACTATGATATGGAAATCATCAGCTCTACGAGATAAAAGAAACAGCTGAGGATGTGACGATCGTGTGTTTCCCGAGGAATAAACCGGTCGTACTAGGCTTACATTAGCAGAGGATCAGGATGCATTGCTTTGAGCAATGGGCTTGTCATGTGTCGGGCTGGTATCCGGTACCCGTACAATCGACCGCAGAAGCTTCGAGCACTCCGACCACGGGAACCCGAGCCTCAAATGAGCGTGGCCTCCCTCAATGTGTGCCCGTAGAATCCTTCAGCCACTTGCCACATGACCTGGCACCCGTATGCCCCCCCTCTAGCCTCACCAGCCTCGCCGTCCCCTGAGGCTCGTCCGGAGAAGGGGCCCCGAGGCGGCAGCCCTAACCGTGCGAGCAAGTTAGGGTTAGGAGATTGTGCACGAGGCCATACAGGTGCATCTCCCTCCTTCCTCCTTCTCGCCCGCACAAAAATCTTCCCACAAACCTCATTTTCGCACCTCGCACATCACCATCATGATTTTCATCCTCGACGCGCTGCATTTCGTGCCTCTCCTAAAGTCTGCCTTCTCTTCGCGTCCTCCTCACCTGTTTCTCTCTCTCCGGCTCTGAATCACTGTGAGCACCACGGTCCTGGACATCTCCTGCCAAAGCCAAGCTGGCCACCAGGTCAAGACGATGGTAAGTGCCCTGCCCTCCTTGCCTCGGTCTCCCCTGCGACATCATAGGTAGCTAACTAGATAGAAGTAATAGAAATTCTCATCGCTTGCGCTCATGAAGCGCAAGGGATTCACATCCCGTTGAAAAGTCATCGCCATGGCTAGAGGCCCCTGAGAAGCTCCCACACAAGGTCCGTCTCGCGATGCTCTCTGCTCCCTCTGCACATGCTCACACCCTACCGCGTAGAGGGCTGCCTCCGGGGAATGTTAGAAGACTTCCTCGTCAGAAGGGCTACTGTGGACCTTGTGCAGCTGCGCGGCTGCTGTTTGCCCTCTTCAAGTCAATCGACAAGGCCTCCTCCGTTTTCGACCTCGGCAGACTGTCACTACCGAAAGTCGCCCGTCATTGCCTCTGGTTATTTCTTCTTTTTGGTTTATCTTGGTTTGTCTTGGTTTATCTTGGTGTCGGAAAGGAGCCCTCTCCCCGTCTCCCTCGATCACGATAGAAAGCCTTGTGGCGCACTCTTCTTTCATCCGCCTCTCGCCCATGGAGCCCAATCACCACTCGTTTTAGGGGGCTCCTGACGCTTTCTCGGGGTCATTCCCAATTCGACAACGGGCCTCAGACACTCTGGCATTTGTTGGCCTTTTGCTCTTCGGCCGCCGGCTTCTTGCCCACAAGGCAACCAGGCGTTTCGTGATACGGTAAGATCTCCATGGCATGGCGAGAGTTCTACGGTATTAACTGGCAGCCAATAGCAATTGTCCACCCGCACATTATCTCCCAGCTTGGCACTCGGTGCTTCGGAACACCACCGCTGGGGCCCCAATGCTCCCCGAACCATTCTCGTCTCGACAAGTTCAGATGCTTACGATGCAGATGGACCCCAGCTCTTACGCTTTGAACCTTTTTCAGGCTCCCCCTGGGCATGGGTAATTCCCAGTTAAGCCACCGATGCAAGCTCAACAACCCATGGCAGTCCTTGCGTACTACCCTCAGTACGTCCCTTTCGGGTACACGCCGCCCGGCAGCCCCAGCTCTGCCATCTTTCTTGGTTTGTCTTGGTTGATCTTGGTTTGTCTTGGTTTGTCTTGGTTTGTCTTGGTTTGTCTTGTTTTCTCTTTTGTTCATCTTGGTGGGAATTTGCCAAGAAGGCAGCGGGTTTGAGTACTTTGGGTACTGTGGACGTTGTGCCTTCCAGGCCGGCCGATGGAGACTTTGCGATATGTATGACAAAGTGCTGCCATCGGTCGGATGGAGAGGCATTTGTTTCAACTGTATCCCTCTCACAGAGTCCGAGAAGGACTAAATCTGGCCTCCCGGCACGAAGAGCATCAAGGAGCAGCTAGGGTGGCCACGCATCCATGTGTGTCTTCGTTGCGGCAACGACAAGACGTTCGAGAACATTTGTGAGGTCTGCTGGGGACCTCAGCCCCAGGAGGACAACGGTCCGGATTCACCAATCGAATGGGACCATTGATCCCCAACTGGGACCCTACCTCGATCGGCATGTTTGAAGAGCCAGGAACTATGAACAGACCAGCAAGTGTGAACCGAGCCACTACAGGTAGCCCTCTTGAGCGTCTTCGGGCTCAGTTAACCCATCTAGGGCCGGGCTGCAACTATAATAAAGAACAGATCTTCAACACATCATAACATCACGACCCGACGTTAACACAGTGGCCTTTGAGGCACTGGACGGAGACAACGCCAGTGGGGAATTCCAGTTATCATATGGTATCTCGTCTTTCGGCCCATACTTTTCTGCCAACCAAAGAGTTGTCGCATATCAGATAAACGCCCAGCATGCGATGCCATGCCCATGCTTCCCTCAGCTGCCGGCCCCAATGTTCCCCGAGCCGTTCTCATCTCGATTTTCTGGCTCAGTTATCCCATCAAGGCCCGGGCTTCAACTATAACAAAGGACACATTGCCGTTCTCAGCTCAGCCAGTTCGGATGCCCGCGTCAGGTGCCTACGGCGCAGATGAACGCCAGGATCCCAACAGCAGCGTGCTGCCTCATTGTTTGTTCCCTACTTTTCTGGCAACCAAACCCAACTTGGCTATCCTGGAGTTGTCGCTTATCATATGACGACTGAGCCATCAGCCACAACAGCAAAAGACACAGCTATCGATACATGACGACATGTTTCCGGCCCGCTCCCTATCTCAGCCAGCCTCACTGCCCTGGTCGTCTCAACCGACGTCGGAAAGAACAACCTGAAGCAAAAGCACGGTGTGCGAGTCAACGGTCAAACTCAAACCGACAGAGACGGATTTACCAGGCAGACCAAAAACTACCCCTGCTGGGCTCTTTTGGAGACGCCATTGATACCAACGACAACAACAATCATTCTTCTCGAAATATCCGACCCGACCTACGATCAACACGTCCTAGAGCCTCGTCGGGTTGCCTCAAGAAAGAGACGCGCAGAGATCCTTCTGGCACGGCTGCAACACAACACGAGCACAGTACACATTGCACATCTACCACAAACGCAAACAATGGCGATGACGGGGATAGATGGACCAAATGGGTTGAGAGCTTCAGGGACGGATTCACTGCTGGTCAGGGACCAATGTATATTGTTGGTTTGTTGGAATTGTCGAGTAGAGCACCTCCCTTGTCATGAAGACAGCGAGTGCCAGAAATTGTAGCAAAGGACACAGTTATCAACACAAGATCAACATCAAGTCTAAGTGCATTGACTTACAATGAATTATTGCTTCGTTTGAGCTTGGTCGTGCTGGTGCCTCTTCGACCACACCTTGCCACAGGTCAGGGATAGCCAGGATGCGTCGAGGAACTCGACTGGACCTGTATTCCTCAACTACCTTGGGTCCAGAGCACGTGGATTTAACAAGTTGAAACGGATACAAAGTGAATATCAGTATGCTGTAGGGAAGATCGCCGGCTGATCTGCGCCGCTGCCGCATCCATAATTCGTGCATAGTATCACGGGTCACGCACCGCAGTGGCAACACTCTTCAATTCCCGCCTCATCAAACTCTCTCTTGCAACAAAAACGACAATAGTAGCACTATCCAGTATCATTTATTCTTTCAAGACCGAATACTTGCCATGTAGGGTGATTTTCGGGTCCTGTCCTCTTTTGTAGTGCTGGTCAGAGTGAAGGTATGTGGCTGGCACCATGGTCACTGGACAAAGTCTATTCCAGAGGGTTAACCCATTCAAAAAGAAACATATTTTGAAATTCAGGCAGCGAGAGAGAACTTGATTTAAATTCGAATGCTTTGCCCGGCGCGTTCCAAGGCGTACGCGAAACAGCATAGTAGTCGTAGGTGGGAAAACGGTCAACTCGTCGATGTGTAGGGTAGCCCGTGACCAAAAGGAGACCAAGCCTTGGGCAACTTGAACAGAAATTCTTTGGGATCCAGCTATCACAAATATCTAACTCGACAATACTTTGATCCAGAACAGCTATATCAAGATTTCCTCTTAAGTCTCCCCTCCACACATCCACCAGGTACTCCAAGAACACGCCAGGTATGGACGAGTTCGAGACCGGCAGCCTCCAGAATCTTCTTGAAACCCTCTTCAGTTCGCTCCTTGCCTCCCATAGTCATAACAGCTTGATCAAGGACAGCAGAAGCAAAGTCTGCTTCTCCCACGCGTGGAGGTAGGACCATCTCGCAGATGAGGACTCGGGACTCGGGGGACATTGCTTCGGCGAGACGGGAGAGGATTCGGGTACTGGTTGGGTCGGCGTAGTCGTGGAGGATCATGCGCATGAAGTAGGCTTTGGCACCTGGTTTGTAGTGTTAGTGACGGGATTGTACAACTGGCTTTTGCTTCTACCTTTGATGGGCTGTTCTTCCATGAAGTCGTGTTCGACAAGCTGGACACTTTCCGGGAGGTTCTCCTTGCTCTTGGCAAGTTGGATAACCTCTGGACGCTCCTGAAGTACACAATTCTTGGGCGTGAGGTCGGAGTGAGCCTGCAGGATTTTGTTAAGAACCACTCCCTCGCCGCCCCCTACATCGATGAGCTCCACGACCCCCTTGGCCTCCTCTTCAGCAGTATTCTTAAGCAAGCCAAAGTCAAAGTGACCAGTAACCGGAATTGCAACGTCAATGCCTGACATACCGGTCTGAAAGGCTTGGAACCGCTCGGGGTGCTGCATCATGATGCTCCAGACAGGGGTTCCCTCCTGCTTGTAGTAGGCAGTGTACGGGTTGTATAGGGGGTCCTGCGGCTCTTCGAACTTGCCTTTCGAGACAAGGTAGTCGTCAAAGTTGTGCATGTGCTTGAACCATTCGTCGTACCTGGGGTGTTAGAATCCGACCAAGATGCCCAGGTTTCAGGGGAAGCTTACATGGCGAGGAACAAGTGCCCAGGGGCAGGCTTGTCCAGGATGTAAGCAAGAGAGAATTTTGTATGCTTGTATTCTCCGCCATCGGGTTCAGTCTGGTCGAGGAAGCCGGAAGCGACTGGAGTGGCGTGTCAAAACGGGCGGTGAAGGGAAATTCGAGACGAACTGACCGAGGACGCGTCCCATGCGCTCTGGAAGATAGGCATTAGTTGTATATCGAGTAATAGGGGGGGAGAAGGGAACTGCACGTACCAAGAAGCGAGTCTTGCACGCCGGTGGCCTGGGAGAGGTCTTTGAGGGGGATGGAACCACTTGCGGGAATAGCGTCAAGGATCTTGAGCCTCATGAAGGTTCGAATGGCGACCAGCTCTGCGATCTACAGACACTGTAAGCGATCGTCTGCATGCAAGAGACATGCAATAGAGTAGACTGGTCCCTGACTTACATTGAGGCCGTGGTAGTTGGGCTTCTGGTCTGGCGTGATGAGGGCATTTGTGAGCGCCCTGGCCTTTTCCAGAACGTGCACACGGGACATGTACCCATTAAGGTCCGGGGCATCAGAGTATGCCTGAGCAGCCTGTGCAAGGCCATTCACAAGGTCGTTGACTTCCTGTTTGCTAGGGAGGGCCATAGTGACAAGTAAACGCAGCGAGAATAAAGGGAATTCTTTGTACAGTACGCTCGTCAGTGCTACAAGCAAGTACAGGCTGATCTTTTAGGAATTTTATAGAAGGGAAATGCATGGCTAGGGCCCTGTGGTCCACTGAAGCAGGGCTGCCAGGCCTGGCACTGACAAAACTGCTGCGAGTGGGAGGGGTTTTCAAAAATATCCCCTGCAGGCTGTAGCTCTCTCCTCCTCCATCCCGCACAATCTTCCGCCACAACACGCGGAAAAAAACAACAGCTTCGAAAGCTTCACCATTTCAACCTGATTCAAGGGCGAAATGACTCGTGAAAACATGGAGCCCAAGAAGCAGCCCGGTGCTCTCCTCCGAAGCGTCTCGCGCATCTTTCGTCGCAAGCGCAAGGAAGACGACCCGAAGGACGACAACAAGAACGGAGAGGCGAGTTCCTCTGCACCCGCTAACGTTGTATTTGATCGCCCTGTTCGCCCTGCTCGCCCTGGGTACATCAAGATCAGTGACTTCATGTCGGTGATTCCTCTGATCGCTGAGGTTACCTACATCGAGCCGATCCACTGGGTCAACTACGAGCCCCGTGGCGTGTACCCCAACAGCGTCAATAAGTGTTACTTGGCCGACATTGCCCAGGACGTTCGCCAGGAGTTCCAGAAGGATGCCCACCATGACGATACCTGGACTCAGCACCAGCCCTGGGCCCTTCGCAACAATGTCGATGTGAGTATGCTCTTGTTGTCTGTTGTTGACATCGGCTAACCCCTCTGGCAGCTGGTCAAGCATGACCTTGGTCACTGCAAGTACACGATGCTTCTGGACAACAAGCTGCACTTGTCTCCTATTCCCAAGTACCCCAAGAAGATCCTCGATCTTGGTACTGGTACTGGCATTTGGGCTGTTGACATGGCCGAGCTCTACCCTTCTGCCCGGATCATCGGGGTCGATCTCTTTCCACTGCAGACCAAGATTGTTCCGCCCAACGTTAGCTTTAAGGTATGTTGTCTGACGATGCTCAAGCTCCTTGTTGGCCCTCCTCGTGCTAACCTGACCAAGATCGACAACGTGGAGGTCGACTGGCGTTGGGGCGAGAACATCTTTGATTTCATCCACGCCCGTGAGCTCACCATGACAATCTACGACTGGCCCAACCTGGTCCAGGAGGTCTACCGAGCCCTCAAGCCCGGTGCCTACTTTGAAATCTCTGGTTTCATTCCCGACTATCGTTGCGACGACGGTACTATTCCAAAGGACTCTGCTTACGTCAAGGTGGGCAAGCTCAACTTCGAGATTGCAGAGAAGCGCAACGTTTCAGGCTAGGAACCTATCCGCTGGAAGACATACCTCTTGGATGCCGGGTTCGACGACGTTCACGAGCGAGCTCTCAAGCTTCCCATGGGTCCATGGCCCAACCATCCCCATCTCCAAAAGATTGGAAACTTTGAGCTGCTCAACTGGCGTGACCAAGCCATGACGACTTTCAGAAACATGTGCCAGAACGCCCTTGGTGGCGATCAGACCTACTACAATGAGATTCTTGCCCAGGCCGAGACAGAGGTCTTGAACCCCAACATGCACAGCTACATGCCTTTGTAAGTCACTTGCCTTCCTTACACCACAGAGCTGACCAGATGTAGCTACGTTGTTTACGGTAGAAAGCCTCTTGATGCCAAGCCGTGCGGTCCACGACCCGAGAAGCCCCCCGTCGTCCGCGAGAAGGTCTGGTGGATTGGTTGGGAGGACGGTGAGATCAAGGGGCTTTGCTGGCCACCCGGTGGTAATGACGACCCACCCATGATCTAAGGGCGATCTCGCATGATTGGTTTGGAGAAACTGGAAGTTTGGTGGCAATCCCGAAAGGCGTCTGCATTCACTGCAGACATGGGCAGAGACTAACGATCTAGCATCGATGGTCTCCGTCAATGACTCTGGGACAAAGGATTTGATTTTTGGACGGCAACTCTCGTATGGTATCTACATTCACTGCAGACACAGACAGATACTGACTGACCATCTACGGGCGACGGTATCTGCATCTGACTCGGGTAGTATCACGGGAGGATCTAATGGATGGTAACTTCACTTGCTTTCAGGAGGGACATGGTCTACAAGTCTAGGTCGGACCTCGACTGCATTTGATTTCGAGGGAGGATTCCGAGGGAGGAAAAGGGAACTTGACCGGGATGGATTTAAGGCTCATGGTTTTTGTTTTTGATACTTTTCGCGCCTCATCTGGTCTACGGCGCTCCATGTACGGTACTATATAGCTTGAGGAACAAGCTTTCGGGACCAGACATGACTGATCCAGACGCTATTGCAAGTGACGTGAGACGTTTTTGTGGGAGTCGTGCTGAGTGCCAGGCCCATGGACAGAGCGTGGTCCTGTCGATGGCCAGCGGAAGAGAGTAAGAAGATGGGAAGGGTCTAGCCCTATGTAGACGGAGCTTTGAGCACAGGAGGCTTGAGCCAGCCAGGTTTTCAGCGGCAGGCCGCCAAGCGAGGATTTTTCCGTGTCAATATACGCGTATACAGAGTGGCGGTCGCCTCTGGGTGTAGGTAGAAAGAGGTCGGAATCAATGGATGCCAGCTACGATGGTTGCATGGCAGCGTCACACATATCTCTTTACCCACCCAAGTTGTCACTCGGGAAAAATAAATGGCAGAAACAGCTGGAGAATAAGCTCTTTGATGCAACGGCGCCACGGTTGCACAAGCCGAGCAAACCCTGCAGTCTGCAGTCTGCAGGTACCCGGGACAAAGGGTTCGGCGGGGGCTTCGAGAAGCTTCACTTTTTCTTTGGCGCAACGTCGGGCAAACTGAGATTGTCCAAACACCGAGATGGACTTTGAAGGCCTCGGATAATTGTTTGATGGGTTCAGAGCGATTCTACTGTTCACGAAGGATTTGGCAGGGCAGTGTCATGGAGTGGGAAAGAGTGCTATTTGGCTGCTTCCTGCAGCACAACGCTGTTCCTTTCGATTGTAATAAATACAGGAACCAATATTATTCCATCCGCTCTCCTGAAGCTTGCTGAGGATCCATGGTCCGCCGCTGAGTGGTTGTAGTGCTTGTTCTGTTCGTGGTCGAGGTAGGGAAATCAAACGACTCGGGGGTTGATCGACGACGACGACGTCGGGGACGGTTTTCTTGTTCGAGCGTATCTTGAAGAAATCCCCTGCATCTCACCAGTTAGAAAAAGGTTTCCTTCAACTTTTGAACGCATATTCTTACCTTGAAGTGTCAGACCTAGGGGTACATGGGTCTGGTCATGCGAATGGCTCTCAGGCAGGGCACCAACTCAGGCACCTCCTAAATGCCTAGCCAAATCATCATGTAGCAGACGAAGAGGAAAAGAGTCCAGGAGGCGATACAAAAGTTTTTTGGGGTCCAGGCATACCCTTCTTCGGTCTCGTCAGAAGTCATTTTGATTTTTTTTTCGAGTTGTTGAGTTGGATGCTGTTGTTCTAGCGCTGATGGCAGTGTGGCGGTACTGTTGTGTAGAGGTGATGGCTCGGCCCCTCTAACTGATGGTACTTTTCTTCCGCCTCAGCCACTACCAGCCCAAACTTTCTCAGACCCTCGCCTTGACTCACCTTTTCTCTCTTCCAACGCTGAATCAGTCACGCCGCGAAACATCATTCCTCTTCAGCGACCACATTCTTTTTCTTTCCGCAAACGCTTCTTTCTTTCTCCTCTTCTATACTAGATACCCAAACATTCTTCCAGCGACCATCTTCTCCGTCTGCTACAAGTCTCGTTTGTTGTCATCTTTCCCCTCCTCGAGAATCATCGCGTTCGCAAAAACATCACTTGTTTCCCCCTCACATTTCAATCATAAGTACTCGCACCGCCAAGCTCGTACCGTATCCCTCTTCTGCTTGCCCTCTTTGTCCCCTCACAAGCTTCTTCCTCCCCCTTTGCTGTTTGCTTATCCGTCACCATGGGTGGCAAAGCCTTCACAAACCACAATCCTCCTCTGCAGACACCGCGGATGCCAGGCGAAGTCTACCATGAAGTCAAGAGACGCGTGGAACACCGACTCTCCAAGATCTTCACCGTCGTTCGCTTCCCCATCGAGGGACCAGCAAAGCAGGACTTTGGCGACGTTGACGTCTTCGTGACGGGTCCCAGATTCCAGAGTCAAGGAGACGAGTACACCAGAAGAGAGTACCTTGACCACATCGGCGCTATTCTCGGAGCTGCAGCCGTTATTCAAGATGCAGGAGTTCAGGAACCGTCTGCTCACTTTGCTGTTCCCTGGCCTCGCGACCTCGAACACCTTTGCGACTCGCCTATCCCTCAAGAGCCGACGTACGCTGTTGCCGGACCTTCTTCTCGCCCTGGTACCTCTGGTCAAATCGACAGTCCAACTCCTCATGGCTTCTCCTCTCATACCGACACTTCGCCTTATCCCAGCTCCTCTGTTATGGTCAGCACTTCTACTCGTCCTGGCACTTCTGCTCAAATCGACACTCCAACTCCTCGCAGCTTCTCCGCTCAGATCGACACTTCACCTTATCCCAGCTTCTCTGCTCAAGTCGGTACTTCTACTCGTCGTTCTTCTGCTCCCACCGCTCTCTCTCCTCGTGACAACGTTCCTACGCCTAGCAATGCTTCTCCTTACGCTACGCCTTCTACTCCCGTCACTGCGACCACTCCAACTCTTCCTTCTTTCCCTGCTGTTCCCTCTGCACACCCCAAAGCTGTTACTCCGACCGAGTTCCCCCTTCCAAGATCTCGCTTCGACGGAACTCATGCAAAACCGAATCAGCGTCCAGATGTAAGTCCTCATGCCTCAGATACAGTTGCGTTGTACAGAAAAGCTGAAAATACTCAAAGTGGCCCCGTTCAACAGAGCTCGAGATGACCCTCCCTGATCGAGAGTTCAGACATGTCAGTGGTGCCCAGCAACGAGGTGGCAGATCTAGAAGTCTCCCTCCCGTTCGCCAAGACCCAGAACAGTTTGCGCCCCGACAATCAAGACGCTCCCGGTCTAGTAAGCTTTTGTCCAACTTGAACTCGTTTGTGAAACAGAGACTAATGACATCGGACAGGCTCCGCTCGCCCCTACCCCCGAAGAGGACCGTCGCGTTGGGAAGAATCCCGGAATGAAAACAGCAACTCTCAAGAGGTTTGTTATTTCTACTGACTGACTAGACATACAAATCATGCTAACTTTCACCCAGGAGTCTATTTCTGCCCCCTTCTCCCGACTCAGCTTCGCCCCTGATCTCCCGTCCAGCCGTCCCATCACCCCAGCACGAGAGCGTCGTCTTCACATCCAAGTCGACGTCCAAGTTTTCGACTCGTCAAGCCGGTTGCACTACATGCTCTTCCATCACGCCCATGGAGACATATGGCAACTCCTGGGAAACGTGATCAAGCCCTACGGTCTAACCGTAGACGACAAGGGACTCTGGCTGCGAATCCCGGAGATCGAGGACGCCGACAGGAAGAGGTCAAAGGTCTGGCTCACCGGGGAGCCCGACGCGATCCTCAACTTTCTTGGCCTGCCGTACACCCGGTATTGGGCAGGTCCCTTTGGGGACCTGTACCAGATGTACGAGTATGTGGCCAACTGCGTCATGTTCTGGGTTCCCCCCGCCGACGAGACCGAGTCGGCTCTCCGCGCCAACGACCGGCGACGGATGAAGCAGCGTCCCGCCTACCGAAAGTGGGTGGAGGAGTTCAAGCCTCTTTGCCGAGCCCAGGGCCGGTTCTCCGAAGAGCCCATGACCCGCGACCAAGTTCGCGGTCGTGCCTTTGCGAGGTTCAATGTACGCCAGACGTACATGACCGAGCGCCGGGCCTTCTTGGTCGAAGACCAGAAGCGCCACATCCTCAAGACCATCATCGAGAGGATTGTTCCGCTGCCAGCGGAGGGGGCCGCAAAGGAGGACTTCCTGTACAGGACAGTCCTGGTCAGGGCTCTGAAGGAGATCGTCCTCGAGTGGAACCGGGGGTTATATAGTATTATGGCCCCTGGGAACCTTCGGGATGACGAAGGTTTCTACCATCTTGGTAGAACCGAGTCATTCGTCCTTGAGTACAAGGACAGGATCGGCAAGGAGGCCATGGACCTCCACAACCGGAGGATGAAGGAGAAGAGGGCACATGAGCAGCCAAACCGGGTTTAGAGATACCCAGGCATGTGTCCCATCCTGGAGGACGAGTGAGTTTACCCTGTTTGACTTGGCATGAATCTTTCTAACTTGATGATAGCCATGAACAGTAAGTTCATGAAGACCCGGCAGCACACCCTCACCCCAACAGTGGAGAGGTTGTGCTGTCGTGGTGCACTGAGAGTTGTCGGTCTGTTGGCGGTGAGCAGCAAGCAGCTTCACTTCCCTCATTATTGTGAGGAGTTGGTACAGTTGGTGGTTGGCTTGTAGCTATTACCCTCGCCCGTGTAGCGGGGGTAAATTGGCTACTTGTCAACCATCCAGCTGTACCTCTTCCTCACTCTAATGGGGTTGTGGGGTTGCTGGCTGTTCACAAGAGAATACGAAGATGGTGAAGAAGAGGACGGAGGAAGGACAAGGGGCTACGGCCATTTAATTATATATATTTGGTTTTTTACAGATAGAGCCAGAGGGAATATAAAGGGTTGACGATTGCTGAATCTTTGTTTTCTTTGAATGACTGCATTGCCATGATTGTTTTTTGAACTTCTTTATCCAAGGTAATTCGATATTCTTATTCAAGACTTGCCTATGGGAATATTGTCTCTTGTGCCACGATCAGGCCCACTCACGACTGATGCCATTCGCTACGACACGCCCAATAACCTGCCAAGCAGTCCCTGAACGTCACATATTTACACCCAGCTAGCAGCGCGTTCTTTGACGGAAGTGAGGCAATGGCACTTTGAGACTAGACCAGTCGGCTGCCCGTCGTCAACCTCCTCGACGTCGGTGCCCTCTATGCCGATGCACTGGTGAGAGAAGCTCTCCGTCTCAGAAATGTCGAGAAAAGGGGTTCTTTATTTCAGGCCTTACCTTGCCCTGCGACTAACCACTCCAACAGCACACGAAAACATTAGCAAGCTCGAAGACGTAGGGAGAGACGTGGCTCTGCCTGGAGTGCCCTTCTTAGGTATGATTTTACGTAGAAAACTACAAGCACAGCTCAGTCCTTGCGTCCCGTCCCCGCAGCATGTGCGCAAAATTGCTTGCCCTTACCCTGGCCGCACAGCACACTGAAGAACCTGACGCCGTGGAACGACAGTGCGGCGGAGAACGACCTCCGATGGCTAGGCAGTAAGGTATCGGCGGGATCAGGCATCCAGGCAGCGGTATCAATGGGTGTTTGAGCACCCTAATGACCTCATGCAGTGCGAAGCCGGGCGGTTTAGCGAGGACTCGAACAAACACGCACAGACAGACAATGGGACACGTCAAACTGCTAGCAACCCATCCGTTAATTTCCAGGCATATACAGGCCATAATTCTGCTCGTCTGCAACTGTTGAGGTCCCAACAGATTCCTAATGTGCTCTGTGGTGTCCCGATCGATCGTGCACCCCCCTTCGGCACAGGGCCGCCGCAGGCAGAGGCACTCTTCTCTCTCAAAAGGGCAGTGGCAAATTCTGCGCACCTTCCTCCTCGTACTTCCTCCGACAAAAGCCCCTCTCACCTCCCCAACATCCTTTCGTTCCTCTTCTCTCCTCCATCAACAGCAGCTTGCAACAGCCTCCTTTTCGGCTACGGCCTCCCGGCCGTCCCCCGACAAACCTCTCGTCGCACTTCTCCGAGGCGGCCCCCCTTCCTCCGCAGGGAGATCTGGGTCTTCAACAAGGGCCCTGCTCCCGTGGTGTTGTGTCCATGGGAAGGACGGGGCAGGGCCCTTCCACCAAGCGGGGGGGCCGCCTCCTCGCCGAGTTTTCATTGGTGTTGTGAGTTTCTTCCGCTTTTTTCATCCTTCTTGCTATCAGGAGCTGACCAAGGAAGTGAAATGTGCCGTTCAAACTCTGGGCCGCTTGATCTCCAACACTCCATCGGGAGGAGCTCCCTCCTTTGACTGGTGGGAGGCTCTGCTCCCTCCTCTCCCATTCGGGGATTACACTATTGCGGCCTCGAAACCAGGGCTATGGGATAACTCAAATGTCTTTCTTTGTGAGTACACTCCGCGGATGATGCTTGCCACGAACACCTTGTCTCCCTGGACCACCCCTCCTCCCCTGTTTGTTCCCTAGCACTGTCATTCTCCTGAGTGCGACATTCTGCAGTCGATTGATTCCGTCGATGCATTCTTCCCAGCTATCTTGAGATTCTTGCTTACTTCCTTTGTTCCCCTGGCTGAGCTGAACTGGCCGCATTGCAGCAACCAAACACTTGCGCAGCAATCAAACACTCCCACAACAAGGAACATTCTCTTCAGCCTTCCTTCCTCACTCTTTTTCTCCTTCAGACCTTTGTATCGTCGACTGACCAAATCTGCCTTCAGTTATCCTTGATACCAGGAAGTGGAATTCTGCGTCTTCCCCTTGCCTCTTTCCCTGCTTGATTAGTCTTGATCTCATTCCAACGCTCCGATCGTTTTGTGGATCTAGACACCAGCTAACTTGGAGGAGAAGCCGGATGTCCACAAGACAAACATGCTTCACTAGGCGGCGCGGCCATTGCCTGACGAAGAAGTGGCGAGTCTCCTACCATCGGCGCAGTTATCCCACCAAGGGCCGGGCTTCAACTCGAACAAGAAACACAATATCAACACATCATAGCATCATATCCCAATGTTGGCACAACGGCCCTCCTTATTCCGCAACGACACCTGAGCCGTTACTCCCAGTCAACGCGCGTCCACTGCCGAGCACGACAACCCCTGAGCCCCTTGCCCAACCTCTCTCTATCCCCTTCTTCTACCTCACCAGAAGTCATACCAAATCTCTTGTTCTCGTCGGTCAGATTTCCGTCCTCCGAGACACTTCTATCGCCTCGATTGCCAGAGTTGGCGTCCCAGTCCAGCTGTTGAGATGTTGGGGCTACCTTCTCCCAGCCTTGAGAAGCCCCCGAGTACAGTGAGTCCTCTCTTCAGCCCATTGGATTCTTTAAGGTCTTTCATGCTCTCGTGGCTCCTGGTTTCTCACTATTCAATGTGCTAACATGAAAGAAGGCATGTTCTTCGACACCGTTCTTGAGAACTTGGACCTGGTCTCCATGACAGTTAGGTTTGTTGCCTGGGGTTGTTCTTGTACCCAACCATGCTAACTTTGTGTTAGAATCCGAGGTTTCCACCGTGTTTAACCTCACGGGCGGTCCTTCTTGTCGCTCCTCTACTTCTCCAAGAAAATCGACGTCTCATAGGACCTGCTCGGCAGTTGCCCTTCCACCAGAGCCCACTTCAGCCAATACGACCTCGTCAATCCACACCTTCGCATTGTTCATCTCGATGCCGCCCCCAACAGAGGCCATCAGCCACAATATCAAGAAACACGTGGATCAGGAAGGCATCAAGGCCACTGTGTTAACATTGGGATATGATGTGTTAATAATGTGCTCGTTCTCATGGTTGAAGCCCGGTCCTTGATGGGTTAACTGAGCCAGAAGACTGGGAGGGCATCCGTGGATGCAATAGTCAGCCAAGGGGTACTTAGGGGCTCCATCTCGCCCAATCCCAAACTGCTACGCTTAGCACTTGGGGCGGGATGGGGCCCCCCAAACATTTTCGGTGTACAGAAAAGAGATGATAGATTGTCTGCGGCCGGCTGTTGTGCCTCTAGTTCTAGTTGAAGCCCGGCCCTTGATGGGATAACTGAGCGAATAGATAGTCTGCGATCGGTCGTGCTGAGTATGGAGAGGCTATCAGTCACAATAACGAAGAACACGGTTATCAACCACCCTCCGTCTCCCCGTTCAGTTTTAGAGTGGTGTGCCCACCGGATTAATGGGAGGTCGCTGTCCTCCCCGACGGCCTCCTATGTGACAGCCTCCTGTCGACTTGATCGAACCATTGTTTTGTTGCGTTCTCGGTTTGTATATTACAAAGTCTTGTACTTTTGAGCTTCATTGTCATGCTTCATTCAATCACCCTTTGACCAAAGCCGATGTTGCGTTCCAGGACTCTGTTCATGAGTCGAGTCTTCCAGAGACAAAGCTCACAAGTCAACAATTGTCCCTGTGAAGAAGCGTGACCCACCAGCTCGAGACCCTGCTGTCGAGAAAACCAAGCGAAGTTGATTTTGGCGTGTTCTCTCAGGCCATTCAGCAAACCTACGACTGGCCACTCGCCTCGATTGGTCAGATCAAGCTTCTTGAACAACACTAAATTTTCATTGACTACATGTCAGTGACATTTTCTTATCAGTTTTCAGTCAAACCAAAGCACCTCGGGTCACTAACTCGAGAACTCCAGGTCGGGATGAGCCCTGTATCAGAGAGTATTGATGGTGTGAAAAAGACCTGGTCAGTTATTCCATGTCCATAGGCCTTGGAAGTCTCCTCGGTAGCATATTGGAAAGGCGCCATGCTATTCGAGGTGCTTTGGGTGATGAAGTCCAACTCCTTTCCTTGCGCCTTCGAGGCACTCCTCGTCCAGACTACCTATTATCTCAGGGTTCAGAAACACCATTCAGGAGTAAGTGCCACAAACATAGCTAGGAAAATCAATAACCTCTTGACAACTGACGTTAGAAAGTAGAGCAGAGACATTGAGTTCGAGTTCAATCTTGAACAGCCGTAACAGCACGAACATGCACAAGAAGCCCATTATCGAATACGAGTCAACCTTGGATGCGAGGATAACCAGCAGGCAACAATTTCTATACTCCATTACACTTGAGTCGTGAGCAAATACAAAAAGCCCTCAATTGCACAAGATCTTGACGAGGTCGCCAACCTGCCAAACATAGCTTCGAGCACATCGCCAGCTTTTCACGCTCCCCGGCTCCCGCCAAGGTCCAGCCCAAACTACTTTTTAACTTTTGCGCTCTTCGCATATAGTATAGAAGTTTTCTGTACGATCCGACATCCGAAATTACAAAAGTATCCTCTTTCGCAGCTAGGAATTATTCCGCGCGCTTGAGGGGCTTGCGGGGCGTCTTCACGACGGTGTCTTTGCGCCGTGAATTTCTGGCAGCTAACCGCCTATCGCATTTCACGACGCCAATTGATAGCCCGAGGCTCAATAAGACGGGCATATCTGTGCAACTGTGAGACGATCGCCTTGGTCAGCCCGAGCTAGGAGCAGCCAGTCAACGAGCAACGCCAAGGACGCCTCGCCGTAAGAGATGCGTCAAAGGAGTTTGGTGTCGCCGACTGAGACACCAATTACAAAGTTTGACTGTCTGCCTATATAACCACCAAACTATCGCTGTTTGTTAATCTTCAACAGTTTTACTTGATCTATACCATCATCATGCCCCTCCCCGACGACGCAAACACCGTTACTGGCGGCTGCTCATGCGGCGCCATCCGCTACCGCATCGCCATCCCCCGTCTTGAGGATCGGCCCCTGCACCCAATGGCACCTCCTTCTACCAACACACGCCTCCCAAATGCGATTACATGCCACTGTAATGATTGCCGGAGATCAACTGGCGCGCTCCTCCCACCTGCCATGGCCGACATCCCAGCCACTATGCTCACGGTATCTGCCATATCTCCCTCTTCAGAGTCCACTATCGTGAGCGGTCGTTTCCTCGATGTGCTCGCGGAGGACTACAACGCTGAAAAGGCGGATGCGGACCGTCCCTCCTATGTCCCAGGTACACAAGCCTTCCTCGCAGGAGAAGAAAGCAAAACCTGGATCCGTTTCTACCACACCACGAGCTGCGGCAAAGCCTGGTCACGCAGCTTCTGCGGTCGATGCGGAACACCCATCTGCTTTCATTTCAAGCTGATCCCCGAGTACTGCCACGATGGAAACCTCCCCAAGGATTTTGAGGACGTGTTTCATATCTATCTCGGCACGATGGATCGCGAGTTTCTAGAGAAGGACTGGTTTGCGCCTGATTCAGAGGTCAACTTCAAGTTTGGCACGCCGTTTAGTAAGAGTGTTTCTGCTACGGCCAAGGGGTTGAAGGAGCTTCCAAAGGTTCAAGAGTTTGATGGGGAAGTTCCCAAGGAGGAGCTGGACAAGCTGGCAGCCTGACTTGTATACTTGGTCGGTCCCAAAGTGGTGCAGAAAGGTCGGGTTCAGTTCGGCCGAGGGCGTAGATGTGGCATAGGAGTAGTGGTGAGCGCTAAAAGGCTGGCTGGTTGGCTGGCTGTTGGGTGCGTTCTCAGTGGGACACGGTGGCATCAATCTGAATGGCCTTGCATAGAGGTGGCAGATGTGGTTTTACAATTATGTCGTGGCGAGCACAAGCAGGTCTGCTGCAACGGCCTTCTCAACTACTGTAGTCACCGGACCGTAACAATCTGCGTGGAACGGCAAGGCGCAACGATGTGCTTTGTGAATACGATATAGCAAAAAACCAGAAGACTAAAAGTATAAATTGCAATTGCTGAAACTAGAAACTAGAACAGAGGCTTGGTTATTATAACCGTCACGTCACCATCATCTTCTACCTCCTCTTCTTCAACCCATCCTCTGGCTTCGTCCACTTCATCAGCCGCTGTCGTTTCAGGCAACATAACTTGACGAGACCATGGAGATATTGAGTCGAGGCGGTTTACGTCGACCTGGAAAAACAAGCGCTCATTTAGCCGCCGGGCAACTTGGTCGGCCAATATCCCCGCTCGGTTTATCTCAAAGTTTAGAGCGCATTTCACGAGCCAGCTGGCCCCGCCCCTCATCTCACCTAGCTTGACATGTAATGCATCAACAAGCATTCTTGCCTCTAAATCGCTCAGAAGATGTCTTCCCCATATTTCAGCCAGAAAGTCAGTGGCGATGCTTATCCGCAGCAATGAAAGCTCATCAGGAGAACGAGCATTTGCACCTCTGGATTGTTGGCCATACCCAAGAACCACCTCGAAGGCGGTCGGGATCCACCCTCTTTGGTTGCGATTGCTCACCCGGGCGACCGGGTTTGCACCCAAGAGGAGTAATGACGCGATCTTATGACTCTTGTCCAGCTTGTGGGAAAGCGTGGCCTCTCGTAATGAGACGTCAACCGCTTGTTGAAACTCCTGTGGCCAATACTGAGATCTCTTACTAGCGGCTTTTAGCACATGTTCAAAAACCTGGATGTTCGCATGACATGTCGCAACCGACAAGGGGCTGTAGCCGTTCCAAGTTTGCAGTATTGGATTTGCGTGAGCCTCTAAAAGCAGCCTGACAAGATCGGGTTGGTTTGAGAGAATGGCTGGCATAAGGGCAGTGCCAAGAGGACCAGGATTTGAATCAACCTGAACCCCCTCGAGCAAGAGCTTGCTGACCTCCTTGACGTTTCCTGCGTCGACAGCGTCATATAACCGGCTATCTTGCTTGATGCAGATACTACGAAATTTTGGCATGTCGGTCTCTTCCTGGGCGGCCTCGTCAACACTGTCGCAGCCATGTCTCTGATGTGACGATGGTTCATCAGGCTCGGCCTGTTCAGCAACGCCCTCGGTGGTTGGTTCCGCATCGGGTGGTAGTGTACCAGGAGGGGATGCTTGCTGTGTCTGGTACTGTGATTCGGGACTCTCAAGCTTGGGTACACTTGGCGAATCTTTAGTTTGGCTCTCCAATAGACTCTCCGTAGTCGGCCATGGGGTCTCCTCTTTCGGGTCGGAAAGCATCGTGCGAAACTGCCCACGTCTACAGTCAAACAAAGTCAAGAAGTTCGACTTGGACGGCACCAGAAGCCTGTCCACCGCACGCTGTTCCCAAAGGTGCTTGGATGGCTTTCTGCTGGCGGTAAGCGACCTCATAAACAAGCCGCAGTCACTTTTAGGGCACGAGAATGTTCCATCAGCCATGGTTATAAGGCGCTCACCACAAGCGGTGCACTGTAGATTCGTTAGATAGACGCCAGATATGACAACAGCCAGACGGTAGCGTTTCCTGGGCTCGACGTCTGTCTCCCAGCTGTTGATATCGATGGCCGCTCCAGATGCGTTGTCGATATTGAAGACGCGATATTGGCCGGCCTGGACTTTCCGACAGCCTGGGACATCGATCGTGAAGCGAGACTGGAGCATAGCTTCCACTACCTTCCACTTGTTGAAGATGTTGACATTTAAAGGTAAGTCCCTTCCGATAAAATCCTTTAGGATGAAAGTGTCCGATATGCTCATAGGAACATTGGCCGCTGGGGTCGTAATGAAGGTCAAGAAGCGACAAAGCATCGATACAACATGGGCGCATTTCGAGACCAACTCGCGGTACAGGCAGAAGTATAACAGCACTAAAACAGCTTTTCGATCGTCCGGTGAATCAAAGTCGAGGCCTGTGGATCGATGTAGAGCTGAGATGGCATTTCTGACATCCCCAGAGGAACTTACAGGTCCAGTGAGGGCCATCTGGGGCCCCTGGACCAGTTCAAGCCCCTCCAATGATGAAAATGAGGGTGTCAAAAAGCCTGATGTTCTTTGCGATGTCGATGTCGATGCGTTCGTAACGTCCCGGTCGCCATCGAAGGGGGAGGTGGTAGCGTGTTCGTTATGGTAATGCCCGCCATCTGTATTTGATGATTTGTCCAAGGTTCAGTAGCACTCTTAAGAACATGACAACTCACCTTCCACAAGGATGAAAGACACGGTTCTGTTTGCCGATGTTAGTGACCGCCGGGGGGGGGGTCTCGGATCAGGCTTACTTACGACTGAGTAACAGAACCAACCACGCCAGCATTGATTCTCGATGCCCTTGTGTTGATTATCGTTGGCTGCATGGTCAGGTAGGTAGTTACGGCATAATTAGCCCAGACTAGACACCCAAGCCGGCACCGTAAGCCACAAGAGAGGGAAAGCGACGGTCGAATTCGAGAAAAAGGCGGAACAGGAACTTCCAGTTTGCGCACCTGCGAGGAATCCGGGATTTGTGAAGGAGAAATAAAGTGCGGGGTAGGCGTTAGTCTCCGTTATTGAAGCGGAAGCGTGCTATGCTGTCAGTCTGCACTTTCGCCCGTGGCTGGACATAGCGTGGGCCCCCAGTTCAAATTGACGAATTATCATTACGCTGAGCCTTCAACTGAGGTCTCCCAACCATTCCAGAGCTTCCTCCTGTGCTGACACACCGAGGTTGCCTTGTTCAGCTGATGCGGCAGGCCTGGGCACCTCGGGGCACCTCGGAGCCTGATCCAATGTCCTAGAAACGTGATCAGAGCCTGACGGCAAGCCCCCCGTTTCCCTTGTTTGTTTTGACCATAAATATCAAATGATTCCACTGAATAAATCCCTCTGAAACCTGCAGGGTCATCCCACCTTTCCATATAACGATCGACAATGTCAGGACCGGAGGTGATCGGTGCAGTGGCTGGAGTGGCCGGGCTGTTCACTACCGCCATTGAGTGGTTCGACTACATTTACGTTGCCAAGAACGCAGGCCGGCAACTCGAGTCACTTCTCTTGAAACTCGACAACGCACAGCTGAGACTCACGCGATGGGGCACTGCTGTCGGCCTCAACGACTCTGAATCTCCGTCGCTGGACGAGGAATACCAGCAACACGCTGAGGCAACCTTCAAGTTCATCATAGACGCTTTTTCTGAGTGCCAGAGGCTGTGTCACGAGGACCGCAAAGAATTGAACAAGACGGAAGATGACGAGATCAAGCCCTTCGGATCAGACTGGAGTCTAATGAATCGCTATCTCCACGACAAGATGCAGCGGATCGTGAGGGGTCGCAAGAACGGCATGTCGACGCTACAGAAAGCCAAGTTCGCCGTATACAAGAAGGATCGTTTGGTGAAACTCATCAAGGACATCAATGACCACCTCGACCAGCTCTATCGCGATGCTCCAATTGAGGATGAGGAGCAGACTCGGCTGGGGAAGGCTGAGCTGGATGAACTCATCCATGTATTGAAGGCATTACAAACCGCTTCTGGGAGTGACAAACTTCTCGAAGGCGCTCTGCAGAGTATCCTCAATCAGAAGGCGGGTCTATGATAAACCCTTGCCCCTATTATACATGCTTGCTAACATCCGGTTCAGAATGAGATGTCCTTTCATACTGAAGGGAGGAACATCTTTGCAGGCGTAGTCGGGCAAATGAGTGGGGGAAATACTAGCCAGAATAACGAGGTTAAAGAACGTTGATGTGCGATAGCAAGAAGCGGCTCATGACTGAAACTGGTTGTCCTGCGACACCTACTTGGCGACACTCTTTCATAGTTTCAGCATCTAAACATCTTGGGTTAAGCGAGAAGCGTTCCTAGCTTGCATTTAACTGTGTTCGGGACTGTGGATTGATTTAGACTCTAGCGAGCGACCTTTCTGATATTTGGCTCAGTCCGTCGTGTTTCTAGAGGTGGAAGTTGGGTTTCCAGGGAGATTGTTCAACCAGTCTACATATTCACCAAGCAATCTGCATTATTCACAACGGCAAGGACTCATATCCGTCTCAAAATAATTTAGTAATCCTATCGTCCATTTACATATCTTCGTAGCCATCATGCTAAAAGACCGTAAATCTATGTAGTCCAAACCAACTCCACGACATCCCTATTCTTCTTCCCAAACACCAGTCTATCCCGTAAAAGAGGCTCTACTTCTGCACACTGTACTCGCAGCCAGTAGGTTTCGAGTTCTTGATGGCGCGAGCCGTGAAGGGCACACAACCCTTGTTGCCTCCGGGCTGGTTGATACCAGCGCTGACCCAGATCGACCAAGGACCACCCTTCTTGCTGCTGGGGCAAGCAATGAGACCAGAGCCCTTAAAGTTCAGGTTTCCATTCTTGTCAACCTTCCAGCCAGTCTGCTCAGAGTTCTTGGGAAGAGGCTGAGCACCGGTGCTGTACCCAAGAATACCCTGTCCCATACCAGAGCGGTCAACCCACATCTGCTGACGTCGAGGCTTGTCGTAGAGGAAGAGGTTCTCGCCGAGGAGTTCAAAGATGGCGTGGTTGTCGGCTGGGCCAGCAGTGCACGAGGCGCCTTGCTTGGCCTTCTTCAGGGTGAGGCGGCTCTCGGAGGCCTGGACGCCTGAGAAGTGGATGGGGCTGCCGTTGCGGAGGGCGAGGAGCTCGAACGTGTTGGTGGACTGTTGGGGAGCGGCCGAGACGATGCCGGCGGCGAGGAGGGGAGTGAGCAGGAGGGCCTTGATCTGCATGGTGAAGGTCGGTTTTGGATGGTCGTTGAAGGGCTTGTTGTTGAGTGTAAGCTGGAGGCTTGTAGAGAGGTAGTAAGGAGTTGAAGATGCTGTGAGTGATGATGAGTCTTGTTAAAGATGTCGAACCAACCTTTATATACACGTTCCCATCCCCGTCCCAACCCAACGGAACCTTTCCTCTCGAATGCACTGACGACCCATCACGCGCGCATACCTTGACAGCGAAGCTTAACGGTGGCTGTGGGGAAATACGAGCTCTCGCATGTGGTCTGGACCTGGGGCTCGGGCAGCCCGGGCTGCGGCATTGGACCAATGTGAGACAGGCGGCACTATTATTAGCACAGGCTATTGGTTTTCGTTTAGGGCTCTACCTTTGGGCTGTTTCTTTGAGGCCGTTGGTTCCTTGGCTTTGTTTGTTTGACGGGGCGAGATGTTGTGAAGTCATGTCAGTCCCAGCAATCTGGGACACTACTACGTAGTATGACAGCATGTTGTAGGCATCATGTTCGTCTTGAAGCAGAGCTTTGGACGTCCATTGAATCTCACAGCGCAGACAAAGCCACATCTCCAGCCACCTGTGCTCTTCCTGGAATGGTCATCGTATTCCCGGCCATCCAAGAAAATAGTGCCATGTACACTCCCGTCAATACCCATATCCAAACAATCTATCTTGCCAAACACTTGTCCAAGTCTCGCTTCAGCCGTAAACTCATCAGACCATGGCTTCAGCCGCTGCATCTGCTGCCCGTCAGAAAGTGGCGCTGAGGCGTTACGAGCCAATTCAGCAAGCCACAGGTCCGCCATTTCCAGTAGAAACGGCCAGCATGGTCCAGCCAACGGGCATTGCCAGTTACTTGACAGTGTTGAACTTTTCAGCTTGACCTGGATTTATACGAGGGTGAAAACCGGCGCGAAGGGGCCAAGAAAAGTCGGAGGGATATTCCAAGGGTGCTTACATTGCCAAGACACGTTATGCAGTCGGATCCTTTTTTTTAGGTGTGTCTCGTTGGATGTTTATTCCAACTGCAATTGAAAAGATCTTTAAAACACAGACCACGAGTCGAGATAATTTTCTCCCATCCTGTTCTCGAGGCTCACGCGGGAGATACGCCTGGACACTGATGCGTGGAGGGGCTCCATGGGTATTACGGCCGGGCATGTGGAAGCCAGCGAGAGGCTGGAGGGGAACGAACTGTTTGAAAATTACGTAGCGAGGGTTGGGGCTTGAAATCACGGGACTTGGAGCAAGCAAGCAGACGTCGAGTACGCGAACATGCCTCTGGGTTTGTCTGGGCTCTTGGCATCTCGCCAGCTGTCAAGCAGCCAGCGAGTCTCTACGCACGTAGATCAAGCAGGCTCATCAGCTTAGCACAGAGAAATACCGTGCTGAGCATGGTGACTATGACGCGGAATAGTGATTCTAGGTCTACTGGGTGCATACTTGGGCCAGTCAAGCCAGCCCTCACGACGCATTTAGAAAGACAAAGTTGATGATTTCTTGATTCATTACCATACGAATATCGCGTAGAGTTGTCAGCTTGTTCTCGTGCCTTGAAGGCAGATACATGATCAACGTTGCCACCCATCCTCCGTCATATCTCTCATGTCTCGCTTAAGTAGAAAGCTCCTTGTTGGAAACCATGTCCCAGGTGGGAACATCATCGTTCTCAAAGTCGCGGCAGAGCTCGAAACGACCAGACTTGATCTTCTCGTCGACGTACTCCATGGCCTTGTTGCGGATATCGTCCCAGTCAGTGACGGCCTCTCCCAGAGCCTTATCGTCCTGCGTGATGGTCATGAAGGCTTCCTCAACCCACTTGACGCAGTTCCAGCCCTCAGTGTCGTGCTTAAGAGGCGTGTTGTGGAAGACGAAGGTGACCCGCTCCATGGATTTGACCTCGCCGATGAGGACGCGGACAAGAAGCTGGCCAGTCCAGCCGGTGGGAATGTCCTGCTCGCAGTACTTCCACATCATAAGGGGAGTGCCGTCGATCATCTCGACGCCGTGCGTGACGTGGTGTCGCGTAGCACGAGTCTCGGGAGATTCATAGTCGGGGCCAGTGATGAAAGCCCAGTGAAATCTGTTTATCGTTAGTATTCAAATAGGAGTGTAGTAGGAAGGGGGGAAACTTACTTGTCCTCCTTGGTGGCCATTCTGGGTCTGCCACCGCGGGCGTACAAGGCAACGTAGAGACGACCTTCGTCAGCCATGTTGATTCGTGTACTGGTGACGTGTGGTGAACGGTTGGGTAGTGAGCGATGAGATGTGCGCGAGAAGATGATATCGATGCTGCTTTCTAGAAATCGATGTGATCTCTAGAAGAAATCAAAGTCGTCTCAAGAACAGATGTGGTTTTGTTCTGGAGAAGATGGTGATTTCTAGAATCGATGCAGGTTCTGAAATGAAGAAGAGAGGGGGGGATATTTCAAGTAAAATTCCCACTACTAGAGAACCAAACGCCTGGGCGTGCACGAACGGGCTACTGATCTGGCAAGAGGTGCCTGGCAGCTGGCAGACCGAGCACACGAACAGTGAACGAACAATAGCCTCCAATAGGACTAGGCCAGCACGCTCTACAGCGATGGATTAAACGACAGCTTGGGTGTTTGAAATTGCCCAGCCACCCCTCCAGCACCGAAGATGCTTGGAGAACGTGTAACTGAACGCTGAAGAGTCTTTCCAAGCTCCAGACTGCCTCCAGCCTCCCTAAGTCTACCTGGGTATTCCCTGGTCTTCCTTCTTTTATCTATATGCACCCTATATCTACAGGAAATAGATTCGTGTCTTCGTTTCAAAATACGCAAAGCTCGCACCCTGGTACTGGCAAAGGCCGGCATCACAGTTGATGGGAGCCGTATACGCCAACATCTACCCCTTTGGAGGACGAGGTAAGGGGCCCTTGCAGAGAAGAATGTGTCTCAGGATATATCAAGCTCAGAACATTACTAACATAGTTTCTCACCCAGGTCTAATCAAGAGTCCAAGCCCGTCAAAAGTATCCCCGAATACTGCACCTCCAAATCACCCACCCAACGAACCCAACCCCAGTGATCCAATGGCCCATAGCCCTCCATCTCAACTCCTCTCCTCCCTTCAGCCAGACGATAAGACCATCGCCGATCCTCACGACCGATAGGATCGCAGCAAATGTCGTGACAGCGTCCTCGTTCCCCTGACGCTGCAGCACCATCAGCGTGAGACCGTACGAGATCTCACGGAGCCCCTTGAAGTACATGAGCGGCGATACCCCACCGTGGTCTGGGTTGCTCTGAGGTACTGCTGGAGATTCGAGCGGTAAACCGACATGGCCATATTCTTTTCGTGGGGAGTAGAGGGCCATCAGACCACGGCTGACGCAGGCGCCGCCGAGGATGTATGGAGGGATGGAAGAGAATGTGGTCATTCTGACGAGACTTGGATAGTTGATTTGACAGGTTCTGTTGTATCTGGATAGGTGTTCTACCCAATGATTACAAGAACAATAGTGGAGGGAACGTAAGCAAAAGGCGCAAGACGAATCCCAGCAAGTTTAGAGATGGGCTAGTCTCAATACGAATCAGTTCCATGACTAATCTGACAGACTCCCAATATCATAGGTACTATAACACAACATCAAGAACGAATCCTGGTGCCCTCAACTTGACAAACGGTTGTATTCATCTCTCCGTCAGAAATTGAATGCTCTCGAAAGCATTAGATTTCCCCCTGAACCAACCCATCCAATCATCCGAACGAGTCCCTCAAGCATCACTCGGCTCCATTGCTTTCCCAGATAGCGAACCACAGACAAGGTCGAACCATAAGGAAACCTCAGTATGGTCCAGTGTACTTACACTTTCTGAAACGGTCCCGTCAAAGAGGTCACATAGGGGTTGGCCAAGGTGGCCATAAGAGAAGGACAAGGACTTGCAACTAGGCTCAGTGTTAGCTCTATACTGAACATGCATGTCAGTACTATCAACGGGGCCGTAGGAGAGTTTAACTTATATCGCATCTCTGGTAGCAGCCCTCGATGGAAATGGGGATACCGGGTCGCTCCTCGTTGGACTGGTCAAGTGACAAGATTGCCTTGCGAGAGCCATTGACCTCACAGTGGACATTCTCTCTAAGGGGAGGACCATCCTGCAAGGATCTTTAGGTCATTGTGATGATAATCTCCTGTTGTGGTGGAAGTGGGCGTTGCAGTTGTTAAAGATGTCTCGGTAGTGCCAAAGGTAGCAACAGTCTCCATACTAGAGGCAGTTTTGGTGGTGATGGATATGGTGGTTTCTGGACTAGAAGCTACCTCAGTGGAAGAAACTGTTGGCGAGCTGGTTTCAGTGCCTGAATTTGCCACTGTCTCAATTGTGGCAGATGAATGTGGGATACATGGGCCATCTGAAGAGTCTGTCGCAAGGGGTATGGCTGCAATAGCAACCAGGAACTTGTGGAACACTAGCTCGGGAACCAGCTTGAGAACGAGTGTAAGATTTTTCGAAGCCTAAACGAAAGGGTCGAGGGTAAACCAACTCTTGCTCAGCTACAGCTGCAACTCCTTACATGATCATGCACCACAACAACCAACAGCTTCTCCCTGCGATCGTGGCTTAGGCTACCTTTAACAATCTCGGGATGTAAATTACTTCCAGACGCCATGTAAGCTCGAAGAAGCATGGCCAACTGATACCAAGACGCTGAGGTCCAAGTTCAGCCACTTATGGAAAGGGTAGAATGCCATGTTGATTCTGTCTAAGAGCAGCAGGGCCAACAGGCATACAAGTTTTGAGCAAATCATAATGTCCAAGGCAAACATGTTAGTTCAAGGGCTCATCACCGTCTACGAAGTAAACTCCTTCCTCGCATTAGTTCTCTGATATCTGTTCAACAATGCAGTCGCCGAGTTGGCCAAGAGTCACTTCATCTCTGCCCCCTGTGCTCCTTGCCGCATAGCAAATTTGATTCCCAATATCACTTGTCATCCGGTCATTAACGCCACTGGAAGGGATCTAGCTGAGAGCCCCCCCCCCCCCCCCCCGGTCATCCAGTCTCGTAGCTCTGGACTTCCAAGTTAGCAGGCTTGCAAGCTCGAAGCGCCACGGCCTGCCCTGAGGATCGATACATTCAATACAGGCTCCGGGCTTTCTCTCATTGAAACCCACGTTATTCATCACCGGTGCCAGATCTAGATCGCCTGTGTTGATTCCTTGCTCTTGCTATGCTCTCTACTTGACCTTTTTCTTGAACTCAATATTGTCTCCACTCTGATCGTTGTGCCAGTTATCAATCTTGGGCGGCCAACTAATGCAAGTGATATCAAGCTTCATCAAAGTGGCCAGTAAATGTCGTTCGACTCCGTCATAGAGTTTGCAGATACTCACCGGAGCTCTTGGCCTTTCTCAAAGGACTCTTTCAGGAGTTTTGTTCAAGGGCACTTTTGTTTCCCAAAGATTCTCTTCGTCATATCTGTTCAAAGACAAAGATTCAATCGTTCTTCTGATGGAGCGGTGGCTAGCTAAGAACTCTACCCGATGTCCCTCGACGCCGCCACAAGTTCATCACGTATATCAGTCACGGGCCTGACAATCCAAGGTCAGGGGTTGCCTCCAATTCATGAACTTAGCCCATTTTACTCTCTTCAACATTTAACCATGGTATCCTCTGACTGTTTGGCCCATAGGAGGCCTTGCTTTAGTCCCCTCTCGTTACACGAGGGGAGTGTTTACCCCCTCAAATCCGACATAGAGAACAAGCAGATCTATTGAAGATACATCAAGAACCATCTAAAATGACTTTTTCAGTAGTTTAAGCCTGAAAATTTCTCACTTGGCTATGGATTTAGACCAAATGTGCGCGGGGCGAGCAGAGCATTTACTCCCATCTCTCTCCCAACCCCAGACACTTCAACATATGACACCAAGCACACTATGGAAGTATCTATAAGCAATATTCTTCCACCCTTCAAGCACGTCAAAATGTTCCAAGTCTTGAACCAGCGTGGTCCGCCAGAACACGACCCTCGTAGAGTCTGGACTGTACACTGAAGAATGATACATTCAGGGCCTTCCAACATGATTTTCTCAGATTAGCATGTTTAAATTATCCTATCATTAGATCAATTTCTGTTTAGAAGGTCAAAGAAGCCCAGAGCAGACAACGGCCAAGTCTCGGTCGAAACTTGAACCCAACTTGCCGCAGTCTCTAGTCAACAGATGCGAGAGCTTTTAATACCAGTTACAGGGGAAATCTCACATGCATTGTCTTCCACTTTTCTCGTAGATCGAACAGAGAAACTAAAGTCTTTTATTCTCTCTTCATGGAATGATCTGGTTGACCTATCTGTCACTGACTAAAACACAGCGTTGCAACTCGATTATGTGAGAATGCTCTTTCAAGCCTGGTGACGGAATTGGGGTTTCTCGACGAAACCAATAGCTACTGCTTTATAAAGATTCGGTCTTTAGATGGTACTTCGGATCTATCGCGCACTACAGCTACCAACGCTCCTGCAAGAGGCAAGTTTGAGGAGCTTTCACAATTCATTTTGTTGATAACCGTTCCCAAACTAACTTTGCAAGATATATCGCATAATCGTCATTTCTCGTAAGCACCCATTGCCTGTGGCTCCTTGACCTCGCCTGAGGAGGCCCTTGGGGGATAATGAACGAGTGCCCAGTCTTGACACACAACGATGCTGCTGGGGCACAAGGCCTCTTCCTCAAGCTATGAATAGTTCGTTAAGACGACATCAATCATCTTTAATATCGGCTTTGAAACCCAGATATCCGCATTCTCACCCACAAAGCCCACTGGGAGACCGAGCATCGATCGAGTGACATAACGGCTTGCATTTCCTCCAGAGACAGGACCACTTGAGAGATGGCATCTACTCAGTCCCATCGCAAACGACGAGCATCAATATATCGAGATCTCGCGATCTCCTGCAAGACGGTGACTTGTCCCAGACACACAGATGTTTGCCCGACAGACAGACTTCAGACCCAGTCCTCAAGGCACTCTTAACCAAGATATTATTGTCTAGAAATCTTTCTTCAGAAGCCAAGGTGCCAACAAACAACGCATAGCCGAATTGATATCCCAAGACGTCCTCGCTGTGTTTCATTCTCCGGCCAATTCCGACGGCCAGAGACCACTGACGCCATCTCTTGGCATGAGCTTTCCATCTCGGCGTATATTTGGTATCACGATATCCTACTCCAAAACACACTTTCTTCAATCGGTGGCCAGGTTCCATAGACCGTCGCCCAGGAAGTGCGCGTCCTCGATCACAGGCCCCTTGCCCTTGGCCTTGACCTCCTTGGTCCCCGCCACCAACGTCCCCACGGCGCAAGCCTCCACCTTGCCCTCGGCCATGACAACCACAGGCTCACCCTTCTCAAGCTCTCGGCTCCATCTTCCATCCTCCTCTAGCTTCTGATCCATCTCCTTGCCCTCCACCACCCCCTCAGGGACACCATCAGCCGGCAGCCTACCCCCAGGTGAGGTCAAGCCAGGAGCCATAAGTGTAGCACCCGAGAGCACGAAGCGGATAGCACCACGGTCTATACGAATACTCGGGAACGCGTCGGGGAAGCGGTGCACGAGGCGCAAATGAGGGATAATAGTCGACGAGATGTCCTGCTGGTAGAAGAGCGGCGTCGAGTCGAGCACGTACAGCGTGTTGCGGTCCGTCAGCTTCATGCTCGCCAGGGACGCCTTCTTGGGTAGGATCTCGTCAATGTGCGGCGTGAGGAGCGGGTACGTGGACAGGAGCGCCTGTCGGAGGGATCGCTGAACGGACGACTTGAGCTTTTGCTTCGGCGAGGGTTGGATCCTGGAGGGAGAGATTAGCTTTTGGTGAGGGGCTTTGGATGGAGGATGTACTCTTTCTTGAACATGGCGACGGCTTACGGCGGTGCCGAGTAAAAGTCTATAAATACAAAGGAATTGAAATGGATTGAGACGCGTAGCAACGATTAGAGACTACTCTCGTGAGGGAGAAGCTTCGTCTCGTGTCTTGGTGGGGTGGGCTGTTTTGGTAGGGGGGAAAAGTCGATGCCCCGCGGATCGGAGTGGCGGGGTAAGTCTCGAGATGCAATACGGGGGGGTTTAGAGCATCACCATGAAGTGAATTCACGGCGAAGAGTACGTGTCAATGTAGATATTGTTTGGCAGTTTATTTGTTTGATCCTGTTGTCCTCATTTATCCATGCTGTCGTGCAATCCCTCGTTTATCGTACACCCTGCAGACAAACCACCAGCTCATCCCTTGACAACGTGCGACACGGTTCCGTCGTCCTTGAGGTGAACGTTGAGTCGGTTCTCCTTGAAGTCCTTTGTCACCATCATGCCGGGCTCAATAATGCGCGTCTCCTCGGGAAGATCCCGCTTGCAAAAGACCTTGTAACTATGTCAGCTCAAATAAATCGGTTCGTCAGAGTAAAAGAGCTTACCGTCTCGTTGGACTCTTCCTCGGAGAGCTTCTTGCCAACGAGCTTGTTCTGCCACTCGTCGGCGTTATCGCCAGAAGTAGAGTTGATACCGGGAACGACAAGAGGCATGATGAAGTTGTTTTGTGTGTTGAAAATCTTGTGTGAGTAATGTCAAATTTATTTATCTTGTTGAGGAATAGGAAGAGAATTAAAGTATTATTCTTGGAAACCTCCGCCGTAGCCTGGTTTTTATACCTTTCTACTTTCCTCGTACAATCAACTTACGAACGGGCTTCGGAAGCTTCTCGCGACGATGACGTAGCCTCACATGGGATTGGCTGCGCGCCTGTTGCCCGGGAGGACTCAAAGCCCATGACGTGCACGTTGTGAGACAAGAAGCTTGATCAAGATTCAAGGCATTTCACCAGTTTCTTTGTGACGAACAATATGAGCGATGGATTAGATTGATTGATTGATCCTTTTGTCGGAGATTTTTTTCGTATTTTTGATTGATTGTTGTCCAAGAGAAATGCACTGACCATCAAACACCCCCTGAACATCCATGGCAAAAAGTGATTGCGTGGACAAAACCCAATGGTTGACGAGTTTGCGAACCTACCTTGGAACCTGCTTTGGAGTCGGCATGTTCCGACAGCAAAACTCGACAGGAAAAGAGAATCTTGGTCTTTATTTTTGCGAGGCCTTGCTCCTTAAAGGCGTTGGATGGCGTTCGGGGTGAGCGACAGGGGTTGAAGAGAGACCAAGCTGTAAGCCGTAAGCATCAGCAAACCCCCATGTTTGACCGTCTTTCTCACCTCATTTTTTGTTAGGGTTTTCTATTGACAGGTCGAGCTATCCATATTCAGCCTCTCACCAAAGTCCCTAGAAACAGAAACAAAGAGTCAACAGTCGTAGAAACCCAACCCGTAAAACAAAAATGTCACTCCTCTCCACTCAAAGCCCGTTGTCGCACCAGCAGCCAAAAAAACCAACAACCCCCGGTCAGACCCCCGCCGCACAGCCATCCCTCTTCCCTCAGCCACTGAGCGCTTGCGGAGGCTTGTGCTTATGCGTGCATAAGGGGATGCCGCCAGCTTCCCAGCCCGAGATGGGTCAGTCCCTGTTTTTGTCTAAAAAACACATTCTCTCCCGAGATGCTCCCGTAGTGAAGAGACCCATTGCCGGACAGCTTTAATTCTGTCTCTGGTTTGCCATGTGGTTAGAATAGTGTGTGGTTCTTGAAGAAATCCTCCCCACGGCTGAACCCATCCAAGCCACCACCATAGAATAGCTAGACTCGATATGAACGCGGAGAGACCATGTCTCACGCTCTCAGCCGCGCTCTCAACGTTAGTTCCACCCAGCGCCACACGCCTCTGCCAGCTCATCCATGGGGAAAGGGATCCATGGGGATACATAGTTGTAGTGCGGCAGTCCAGCCCGTAATTTCCAGCTACTCAGCGGCAACGACAGACAGCGCAGTCTTACTGTACCAACAGGACAGCTGCTGCTGCTGCTGCTGCACCACCCCGGTCGCCCCAAGGACCCTCCTCATCTCCAAGGCTGACTGCTCACTAGCTCAATCTCCCTCCAGGGCTCCAGAGTGGGCGTCTCACTGTCGACTCTGTCTTCTCTGCCGCCGCCCATTCAGGGATCGATCATCTCCCCTTTTTTTAGCAGGCTGGTCCCCATAATAGTAAGCCCAGCCCCAAAGGCCGCCTCACACCCTGTCCTGTTTGTTCACGTCCCGTCCAGCCAGCCAGCCATCCATTCCCAGGCAAAGAAGTAATCCCTTCTCCTTTGGCTTTTTCGCTTCTTTTTTCTCATTTTTTTTCCCCTTCCTCATTCTTGCTTCCTTCCCCCCTTGCTGGGCCACATCATCACCTCTCATCAAAACCGACAAACCCTTCTCCATCTCCGACTACCACACCCCGTCGTTTTCCTCCTCTCTCCCTTTGTTCTGCTGCAAGGGATTGACGTGTCTTGATTTCCCACCATCAATCGCAATCGACAACTGGAGCTTGCGGGGCATCCTCTGGAGCAAGTCAGATCAAGCCATCTCATACCATCGCCAGCCGATCGCCCTCCCTTCTTTTTCTCGCCGAAAGTCTTCTAGGGTCGAAACCCCCCGGGAAAAAAACGCCAGCATGCGCTTCTCATCCGCCGTCTTCTTCGCGGGCAACGCGCTCGCCATCGCCCAGCAAGAGTGTCTCGCCCAGAACAGCGCTGACCTGGCCGCTTACGCCGACTGCGCCGACCAGTCCGCCCTCGCTGCGTGCCTCTCCAAGCTCGAATCCACCGAACAGCCCGCTGTCCAGGGCTGCTACACCGACGCTGGCTGCTCCTCCCAGGAGGCTATCGCCGAGGCTCGCCGCACATGGCAACGATGCGAGGAGCTCGCCAAGGGTGAGGACCTCAAGAAGCGCTTCCCGGCCGCTCCTCTTCCCACCATCGCTCCCCGTGTCGCCGCCGCCAACCCTACCCTTTTCAAGCGAGAAGGCGCCGACACGTCGTCTGGCAAGGACTGCTTGACCGCCAAGGTCAAGGACACGACAGCTTGCGACGTCAAGACCAAGAGCGGTACGGCCGAGACGGGATCCTGCTCCTCCATCACCACCACCACGAGCACCTGCCGTGACGATGTCATCTGCACCATGCTCGACAACAGCAACGAGACCATCTGCCTGGTCAAGAAGGAGATGGACACGGCCGGCATCATCATCGCCATCGTCTTTGCCGGTGCCCTCGCCCTCATGATGGGTTACCTGACCTTCATGTGCTGCAGAGACAAGAAGGAGCAGAAGCGTCTCGTCGCCAAGTCCGAGGCCGTCGCTCTCGCCCGTGCCGCCACCAAGAAGCAGCGCGCCGCTCAGCGCCAGCCCCTCATCCGCAACGCCTCTGGTCAGTCGAACCCATCAAACGCCGGAGCCAACCCCTTCCAGGACCAGACCCGAATCTAGGCGGAACGGTCCGTCCGAGGAAGAGAGTCGGGAAGGCTTTCCAGCGTCTGGGAGGAGCCTTCATGGGCACCGCAACCCCAACGCTGAGCTGTCTCTTTTTGAACGCGTCAGGGGGAGTCTATATTTGACTCGGTTCAAGGCCATGGGGCGAGGGTTACGTCTTTTTTGATACCTTTTTGTCAGGCCAGGGAACAACAACAACATCAACAACAACTTCATGTTTTGAGTATTTCGGAGCAATGGGAAAGGATAAAGTCTGCAACTTTGTGTGTGAATGTCATCTACGAAACCAAAGGGGGAGAAGCCTAGACGTTGAATTAAAGTATTACCTGTACTTCCATGCCATTGCCACATAATTACTGCTTCTGTAGTTACGTGCTTCCATTGCCTTCCTCAAACGGCCCGCGTGCATCACAGAGGTATCGAGGCTGGAGTTAGATTTGGACCCACCGTTGAAACTTGTCCCTTGGCCTCTACTCCACCATGGTCAAACAATGCAAGCCAATTTTAGCCATGGGAATCACCTCATCCTTGCCTTAATATCCATCAACACCACAGCAATGCCATCCCATAGGAACATCACTCCTCCATCAGATACATCACAAATAATTAGAGACAGACATATTGCCAATGCATCAAGCCCGCTTTGACTCATGTTTATTATCCGATACTCGAACAAGATCCCTTCGGTAATAACAGCGATAATTTCACGCTGGTCCGCTGGTTCGCTTTCTCAACACCTTCCAAGTGGTGCCGCTGAGCAGCATCCCGCATCAAAACCATCACTCATGCCTGTCCATTCCAGCCCAGTCCCTGTGAACCCTGCCATAGCCCAACCGATGTGTCCTCTTGTTATCCTGGCTCAGTCCATTCACTTCCGTCCACTCGGGAGAAAGAATCTCGATTGTGTCCGCTTTGACGGATTTCTTTCTTGTTCAGAAAACAAAGATTCTCCCGGCTGCGCCTCCAAGGTCGTGGAAGCGGTTGACGATGGCGACGCCTGTCGTCTCCATGAGTGTTCAAATGGGTTAAATGGTCTCTCCGGGGAGGTCTCGGCTCCCAAACTCAATACACTGAACAAACCGCGCGCCTCCGAGGTTGATTGTGTGTCGAACGAGGCAGGGTCGATTTCGGGCATTTGCAATCCTCTCCCAGAGGTTGGAATCCCAGATACACTACCGTTGCTGTCTCCTTGTCTAGACGACCTGGTCGTGCCAATGCTGGACCGTTGGGCGTCTTCATTCCCCGGCCTCTGGATGGGGCCTCCCTAGGACCCTCGCTGCGGCACATGTTGTGACACATGGCCCATCAATGGACTGCCAATTTCACCCGGTGCGCCAACGGCTCGATACTGAGGATTGAATCCGTCACTCGGATCCGGCTGCCATCGTACCCTGTGTTTTCCAGAACCGTCAACATCCCGTTTCAGGTCAAAAACACCACCTCCGTTGGATGGGCTTCCCTCTGTCTCGCACAAGTTCAGCAGATCAATTTCCGAGATATTGTCACCCGTCATATCATCAATCTGCGACTTGATGGTTGACAGATCAATGAAGCCTTCCGAGTCACCTGAGCCACCCAGAGCCTTGCAGGCTTGGCAGAGCATCTGCCGAACAGCAACATGCCGAGCCGGAGCAGTACTGCGGATGGCACTCATCGCGGGAACCGGAGATCCCATGCCGAAGCCCGGAGGCGCACTTGGCGCACCCCAGCCCGGGTTTCCGAATCCAGGAGGAGGAAACGTGCCGCCAGCAGGAGGTCCCCAGGGGTTATGCGCCATGGGAAACCCTGAGGGGATGAAGGGACCTGTGGGAAAGCCCGGAGGCTGGTTTCGCAGACTTGCCGGGTTCACATCAGAGGCAAGCGGTTCATCGTCGTCAAGAAGCGCCCGACTTCCCAGATGAGTAGTCTCATCGTCGAGATCATCAGGCATTCTTCCCATGCTGAGACTTCCTGGACGTCCAATAGGAGCAGGCCGTCCGATAGGCTGCGCCGTTAGAGGTGGAATATCGAACTGCCCAGAGCTCTGGCGGGTATGCACTGGCGGGGGAACATCCTTGGGTATGGGGAAACCACCCATCCCGAACTGATCGCCGGCTTGGTGGAATCCCGGGGGCGGCATAGACGGCGGTGGGAATCCACGGCCAGGCGCGCTGTGTATGCCAGGAGGAGGCATCATCACATTAGGACTATGTCTAAAACCTGGAGGAAACATGGCCTCGTGGGGTATACGGCTCGGGAAACCTGGTGGTGCATGAGTCAATCCTGGAGGAGGCTGAATTCCCATAGGAGGCATCTGGAAGCCAATGGGCTGACTAGCAATCCTAGACTGGGCATTCGTGGGCGATACCGAGTGAGAATGCTGTGACGTTGTCGCTGTCGTGCTTGCGCTACTCTTGCGCTGCCCTATTGGGCCCGGGCTCATATGAGCTGGTGTCAATGAGTGAGGCGAGGGGTTCTGGCTAGTAGCAGAAGCAGACTGAGACGCGGATGAGCTTGTCGTGGCCGTGTCCTGTTGCTGTGACATTGTCCTGGGTCGCATAGGAGTCGGCGCTTTGGGAATCACAGGTGTCGCAACCGGTATCTTAGGCGATGCGTAGCTGTTGGGGTTAGGAGGATGTTGCGGCAGGGCGGTCGGTATCGAGACTGGATGTTGCTGTCCGCGCTTGGGGATTTGGAGAGGCTGTGATGTCTGGGTGGCCGCCTTGTGAGCTGCCGCCTTTTCCTCCTTAAGCTTCTCCTTGGCCTCACGGGCAGCTTGGGCTTCCTTCTGGGCCTTGGCAGCTCGGGCTTCCTTCTCCCGCTTGTCGCGGTCCTGCTTGTCCTTTCGCTCTTGGGCCTCGCGCTCCTTTTGCTCTCGAGCCTCCTTCTCCCGCTGTCGTTGCTCCTCCTTAAGCTTCTTCTCCTTTTCCTTAGCTTCGCGGGCTTTGCGCTCTTGTTCGGCCTGCTTTTCACGCTGCCGTTGTCGCTCCGCCTCTTTCCGTAGACGAGCCTCCTCTTCCGCCTTCTTATGGGCCTCCTTTTGCTTTCGCTTCTCCTCGCTCCTTGCCTTTTGCTGAGCAATCCGCTGTTTTTCGGCTTCTTGTCGTGCAGCCTCCTCCGCAGCCTTCTCAGCTTCCTTGCGCGCCCGCTCCTCCGCTAGAGCTTGCTTCTTTTGAGCAGCCTTGTCCTTCTTCTTCTGGGCGTTCTTAGCTTTCTTGGCCTTTTGTTGTTCGACAAGGCGGTTCTCATCCTCCAGCTCCTCGAGGAGTTTCTGCTGGCGTTCCTTAGCCACCTTTTCCTTGTAGGCCGAGAGCACGCGCTGCTCAAACATTCGAGCGGCAAAGATCTGGAACATCCGGCGGCCTTCTTCCATCCGTTGCTCCTCCGTCATCTGGTCCTGGCAGCAACACTCAGTATGGGACTGGGGTGGCATCACAGAGGGGTTCGAGTATACCTCTTCATCCTCATACTCCTCGTCTTGGCTATCGTCATAGTCCTCTTCCTCGTCTTCTTCGTCATCATATTCGTCGTCGTCGGGAGTAGGATGGTTATGAGGATTGAAGTATCCGCCATTGGGGTTACCGCCATTGGGGTGACCGCCATTGGGGTTACCGCCATAGCCGCGGGAGAAGTGCTCGCGAGCATCCTCTTCCCTGGCCATCCGACGCTCCGCGAGCTGCTCCATCATCTCGATGAATCGCTTGCCGTCGTTCTTGAGGAGATCATCCGCCACGGTGAGAATGCCACCTAAGTCCATGTTACCATATCTGTGGAGAAGTGATTCAAGAAGCTGCGTACCCTTGACTTGAAGGCTGTTGCCAAACGTCAAGAAATCGGCGACGTCTCGATCGTGAGGGTTGTGGAATTCTTCGGGAGGTTCGTCGTCGCTATAGTCATCGTCCTCCACTCCGTCATCGCTGTAGACCTCCTCTAGGTCATCCTCGTCCTCGTCATCGCCAACATGTTCAACTATCCGGCCGCGGGACGGCGGCTGATTGCTGTAGTTCGATGGCAGCCCTCGAGGTGGCCTTAGGGAGAAGTCGCGGGGTGTAGGCAGCATGGTAGGTGCCTCGCCTTGGTTCGCGAACTGCTCCAGCTCCAAGTAGTAGGCATCGTACAGACCCTCTAGCTCTTCCTCGATCGCGTTACGCTTTCTACCGCAGACGGTACAACTGCAGGTGTGCTTCTGCTGTTCCTTCATCTTCTTCAGGACAGCGTCCTTCTCCACCTTGACCAAGGATTTCCGCTCATCTTCACCCAATCCAAGCCAGAACTCCTTGATGCGTTCTCGCTCCTCCTGGTTACTAGTGCTCCAAATCTTGTCGCGGGACATGCCAGATCCTCGCGACATGTTAGGCTGCGATGGAAGGTTTTGATCAGTCGCCAATTGTGGAGAGTCGCTGCTTGCTGCGCCTCCCTTCTTCTTCTTCTTGTTTTTCTTCTTGGACTTGGAATCTGCAAGCAGATGACCGTTGCTAGTCGGCCCTGACACTTCGCTTGCCAGGACATACTCGTGCTCATCATCGCTCTCGACTTCTTCGTGGTCAGCGGGGCCGCGGCCCAACGTCGATCCCGCAGCCGAACCGGCTCCAGATGCTGCATCATGTCCGTTAGTAGTCTGCTGCTGCAAGGCAAGTTTCGCAGCGGCCTTCTGCCGGCGCTTCTGCTTCTTGCGGTTGACAGCAGGAGCAGGATCATTGCTAGCATCTGGTGGGGGGGCGCTGGCTTTGGTAGTTGTGGGGGTCGGGGGGAGCGACGACTCGGAGGGAGACCCTTTAGGTACGGTGATGAACTTGGAGCCATCCTTGTTGGTGTATTTTGCAGTATTTCGAGGCGATGCCGGCGTTTGGGAGGCCGGTTTCTGATTGTTGGCCGGCATCGTAGGTTTACGGGAGCAGGGCAGTCGAGGGCATGAAGATGCTGTGCGCGACACGTGTCTGTCGAACTCGTAGGATGATGGAGGGGGCGATGTCTGTTGTGCGCGGTGAGCGTGTCAGCAGAAGAGCAGCGTGAATTGCGCGTCGTAAGGCGACAAAGTGGTGGTCGCGAGGCGGCTGCGGAGCGAACGTTGAGAGTGGAGGGTCTGGGGGGCGGCTCAAAATGAGGCACTCACAGTCGGCGAGGCCAAGGTCAGGGTTAGGTCAGCGATGACGCCTGCGGGGGAGGGACCCAGGGCGGAATCGATAAGATGCTTCTGGCCTGCAGACGCGAGGGCAGTGCGAGGCGTGTAATGATGTTGTACGGGGAGGAATCAAAAGAGTGAAGATGTTGCAGAGTCTTTGTTTGGTGGTTTGGCGAGGTAGGTTGCTCGAGACTACAGTACTTCAAGGCTCAAGGCTCAAGGCAAAGCGATGGAAGTCACTATTTGGTGGAGTTACATGGCACCTGTACTTTCTCATGCAGCCAAACGAGCCAGGTCGCTGTAGCAGGCACGAATCTGATTGACGGAGATGGCCCCGCTCTTTGCCTCGCCTGGTGTGATCGGGCACGTGATGAGAGAGATCTAGCCTTCTGGTTCGTTTGTGCCTTAGGCAGGTGGGGGTGGGGAGCAAACGACCTTGATGTCAACGTCACTTTTCCGTTCCGTTGGCAAACCACCAAGATCAATTTGGTTACCCTGAACCTGGGGCAAGCAAACATGGGACAATGGGGATAGAAGAGGGGATTGACAGACAATTGATCACAGACAATTGATCAAACTGCAGCAAGTAATCTTGGCATTTTTGCGTCAATCTTTGACTTGTGTCCCCGGAATGGCAGTAGAAGGAAACCTCGTGTAGTATTGTGTTTCGGAGTCATGATTGTACCAGCCGGATGTCGCGTGTTATTTCCTCTCAAGAACTTAGGTTCAGCAACGACAATTGTAGTATTTTCACATCAACCCAAATACGACTACAAATACAATAAGAGTCAATTCCCAACTCAATTGACTACAAACGTCATTCACTGGGGCCGATTACCCGAATAACCCACCGTTCGCCCACACGATATTCCGGATTGCTGAAACAACCTACCACGCCTATCCGTCTCGACTTCGCGGATACTGTCAAGTCCTTCATTTCACCCATGTCAAGTTGAAACGGGGAACTACATCCTCATAGAGCTCCAAAAGGATTATCATCTCTCCGTTTTTCCATGCAGGACAACCGTTTTGGCTAGACGACCGAGGAGACGGGGTGTTCCTGGATTGTGATCTTCACCCTTGATGCTGATGTGCAAGTGACAAATTTCACTCTAGCCGCCGGCATCACAACAGCTGTCGGTCTCGTATGGCGTTGACATGGCAGGCTTAGCTTGGCACGAGGTGGGAAAATACAGAAATTGACTCGGCTGCTGTGACCCCATCCGCCTGGAGCTGAACCAAGCCTCACGTTGTACGGCGCGCAGCCTATACGTCCACGTTGGCGCATGAAGTCGCCTGTGCGACTCGACGCAGAAATGAGACGACACCTTCTTTGGTCCCCTTGTCTTCAAGGTTGGACAAACGGAGAGGACAGTGTCGACGACAGAGTGACGACAGTGAGATGCTTCGGCTGATTGACCAAACACGGATAGACGAGTCTCAGCTGCGAAAAGTGAGCTGCACAGAGGCCGTTTGCAGTGGCACTAATACGTGAGGGGATAGAGGGCACAGGATGAGAGCAAACTCGCAAGGGCTGTTGCCACAATGAACCGGTTCATGTTAAAGTTCCTGCGTGTCTCGCCGAAGACAAGTTGACACTCGGCCCATAAGAACAAAGCATGTCGTCTAAAGAGACGTGGTTGTAGAGTTGTAAACATTGGCTGCAGCAAGACGGAGCGTCTATCGTCTATCAAGCATTGTGGTTGCAACCCAATAAAGACGAATAAGCGGGTAAGACACTCGACGGTGACGGATTTGGCTGTCGGGGACCCCGATCTGCCGTCATCACCAGACGCAGGTAAGAAGCCTCTGTGGGGAGAGAACTGGCCATGTTCGTGTTTGCACGTTAAAAATCCAGTGCCAGCCAGCCGTGAAGCGAAAGCGAACCGGAGACGTACCGGCATTCCGCCGGGCCCGAGATCTGGGATGAGGCATGCCCATGGACCCGACGGGAGGGAGCCGGGAGAATGGTCACAGTTGACGGCGGCGACGATCTCTGTGATATTCCGAGACACGGGGGTCTCTCCAAGGTAGGCCGGCCCTTTCTCTTGGTCAGCAATCCAATTGCCAGGGTTCTTTTTTAGGGTGATCTCTAGTTCGTCCTGGCGAGGTCCCTGTGCCTGTTTTTAGCTTACCCGCTGGCGGGTGGTGCCCTTTTTCCTGCCTTGAGGTGCACAGCCTCAAAAGGCGCCCAAGCATTCGGCCAGTGACATGACATGGCATGACGGTGCGGCGCCAGCTAAGCAAAGGCCGCGGAGTCTTGAAGTCGAGGACATAGTAACCAAACACAGTAAACCGAATGCGAAAACTCCGGGATAGGCAGTTAGGGGAGAATCTAGGCCCCGAGAGGTGGATCTGTCGGCATTCAGATGCCATGGATCTGATGTTGCCGTCATCATCGTGTTGACCTTTTTTTTGGTTTGTTTTGCAGCGAGGCTGTCGATGGTGGAGATTCCTCGCGAGGAACATAATTTATGCCGAAACAAAGGAGTGCGAGCATGAGGTTTGCTATTCGCTGAGACGGATGACCATGCTTGAAAGGTAAAAAAGTTGATTGCTGGCGGATGTTGATGGGAGCCAACTCAGCTCCGTGACAACGATACATACTGGCGATAGCTAATTGGATCCCCCAGAAGGGGCAAGCTTCGCGATGAGCATGTACATATGTGCCTGCAGATCAGCGCACCTTACAGTAGCAATTTTTTGCATCCTACTGCGTATTGCCGCGACTAAAAGAGTCAGTCCCGTCAGCGTATCGAGATCTGTCTCTCTGACGCTGACGCTGGACGCTTTAGCTTTGCGGCTGGCTTCACATTGCCTGTTTGGGATAAAGGCCCAGGCTGGAGGATGGAGCCCTTGACGCACCGCCCCAGGGGCTGCTGTTAGTGAGAGCTGGAGAGCTTGCCGGGTGAACTATTGTTGTTGCTCGCTTGGTAACCATTCTGTTCTGCAGGGTGGCATGCCCCTGGCTGGTGTCAAAGGTGCTTGCTTACTGTTACGCAGTGAGCTGGTTGCTAATGCTTGCAATTGCTACAAGATGAATCTTCCAGAGCCGTGGAGATGTCTCTGGCACGTTGAGAATAGAGTGACATCAATGAACCTACAGCACACCTCCACTGGCTACTCGACAGTTGTAACAGAAGCTGTCTGCGTCTTGCTGTCCACCCAACCTACCTCACCTCACCTCATCGTCAGCTAAAAAAGGTCCCGGGCCCGTTTTCTGTGTCCATGGCTTCTCCACCTCGAGCGCCAGGGGAGCCGAGCTGTTTCTCTCCACCACCACCACCACCTGCACCCACCGTCGCCGTCGTAAACAGCCCCAGGACAACGCCAACAATAGACCAGAGGCTGCCTCTGAGGCGCACGGAGCTGAAGTGATTGCTTTTCCCATCTGCTATATTGCTCTAGAATCCAAGTCGGGTTTGTCTAGCGCCGGAAACCTCCAACAACTCTCCAATTCCCGTCACCATCATCCCTCCATACCATCAGCCCAGCCCAGCTGCTTGGCTGTACCTCTCTCAGCGCAGTTCGGCCCAAGCCCAAAATACAAGCCAACCAGCCGGCCCCAGCTCGCAGCGCAGCGCAGGGACAAGCCGAAAAAAACACAGCACCTGCACCCACAGCACAGCACAGCACAGCACAGCACAACACAGCACCTCACCACGCCCACGCACCCCCGACTTTACTGTGCCTTGTCTGCTTTAATGACTGGCTGGGTGACTTCTTCCTCAAAAAAGAAGCCCAGAGTCCTACCTACCTACATCCATACCTACATACGTACCTACCTTACCTTGGTACTCTGACGCTCGTATTCCCATTAAAAAAGCCCATCTTTTCCTCTCTCCTCCTCCAACCACCGTCCTCACGCTCTCTTTTCCCCCTCTCTCCCGTCTTTCCCTGCGTCCCACCGCCAGAAAAAAACGCCCTGCGCCTTACCCCCCGGGGCTGAACCGTATTCACTGCCCGCTCCTCGCTCCACGTCCGCGCTCCCCCGACGTCCCTTGCTCACTCATCCAACAACATCCATCATCCAAAGCCCGTGAGAAAATAGGGGCCTAGACTCGACGACATTTCTCTCCTCTTGCCCAACGAACCGAGCTCTCGAATCTATCCTGTCATCTTCGTCTGACTGCTCCTATCAACGCATCGCGACGACGCCCTCTTACTACTGTACCTCGTCGCTGCTCGGCCCATAGTTCAATCCGACGACGAGAGCGGCCGATCCATCCTCTATCCCTAACGATCTGGGGCTCGTAATAGACTCCAGATCCAACATCGCCTCCGATTGCATACAAACCGGCGTCGCTCGTATTCTTGACCCATATAATTGATTCACCATGAGTGCAAATCCCACGAACGTTATCCGCAGGTACGACCTCCATTGCGCGCCTCGACCCCGGATTGCCGCTGCCTTGCCCACTCCCGGCGCCCGTCCACTCCTCTATCAATCAAGATATCGGCAATCTATATATCAACTTGATCTCTGACATTCATAATAGGAAGTTGGTCATTATCGGTGATGGTGCCTGCGGCAAGACTAGTCTGCTGAGCGTCTTTACGCTAGGATACTTCCCTACAGTAAGCTCCTCCTTCCACCCTCTGTATCAAGACCTTGCTAACGGATATCTTTGCAGCACTACGTGAGTCTCGATCGAAATTGCCTTGCGACGACCGCTATTGACCTCCGAACTAGATCCCTACAGTCTTTGAGAACTATGTGACGGATTGCAGAGTGGACGGCAAGTCGGTCCAGCTCGCCCTATGGGATACCGCCGGCCAGGAAGATTACGAGCGGTTACGACCTCTTGCATACTCAAAAGCCCATGTCATCCTGATAGGGTTCTCCATCGATACTCCAGATTCCCTCGACAACGTTAAACACAAGGTGCGGCTCCCCCGGAACGGGTGATGGAACCACCCCGAAGCTGACGTGTGCTCTTACAGTGGATCGAAGAGGCTACCCGCCTATGCACCGGTGTCCCTATTATCCTCGTTGGTTTGAAGAAGGATCTTCGAGAAGACCCGGTCGCGATCGAGGAGATGCGCAAGAAGTCGCTGCGATTCGTTTCCGAGCACGACGGCGAGTCTATCTGCCGCGAGATTAACGCCAAGCGGTATCTGGAATGTTCCAGTTTGAGCGGCGAGGGCGTCGACGATGTCTTTGAGGCTGCTACTCGCGCTGCCCTCTTGACCTTTGAGAAGGGCGAGGGCGGTGGCTGCTGTGTCGTGCTGTAAATCAGCTGCGACCTAGCTCTTCGGAATGAGCATACGATGCGAATCCAACACCTGAGCCGAGGGGATCAAGCTCAATATCAGGACGAGTAGGCTGACATACGATCCATGGATGCCCTCGTCGGCTCCACAGCCCACCTCGCTCGCCCGGCCGCGGCCATAATATCAGAACAAGTTGGATATCTGGAGATAATTGTAGGATTTGGGGCAAGGAATCAGAATCGGGATATAGAGGACTTGTTGCTCGGCGCTTTGGAGGGAGGACTTCTTTACTTGACACGCGCATACACACGCACGCATGCTCATACTCACTCACACTCACACTCACACACTCATACACCTCAGGCAGGCTTGAGACCAAAAGGTCCTTGCTTACAGCCTCGTCGGCGTTTCGGTCGAAGCCATCACCGCCACCGACCACTACCTATCACTGCGTTGTTTCAGGCGTTATTGCAAACAAAATGAATATTCACTCATTGGAGTTCCAACTCTCGGAGAAAGGAACGAACAACCAAGCCCTCGTCCTCCCTCAAGCCCCATTCTGCTATTCTCCTCGTTTTCTGATCCTGCAATTTCGCATTCGTCTCATCGTTTTTTTAATAATCAGTTGGATTTTGTTTCAAGGGAGGATCTGGGTATTTCTTAATCTCTTGGCAAGCGAAACTTTCTTGCAACGCCGCAGCTGCGCGGCACGGCACAGCACAAAAAGGGGAAGAGGGGTATGGAAATGGAGTAGGATTCGAATCCAAGTTGGCGGCAAAATCACATTGACACTCTCTGCTTGTATTGCATATCATTTGACTTGGAAATAGAGCTCGAGTGGGGAGGGAAAAAGTGTAGGATAGGAGCGAGATTGGTAGTGACTGTCGTTTGCTAGGCTGATATCTGATAGAAAGTGATGACTTTGATGTTTCGCATGCTGTGCTTACGGTCTTGTCTTTGCTTCAAGTGAACACACATCTATGGTTATGCAGCATAACTTGCTTTGAGACCCTTTTCACTTATCATCATAGAGCTAGTCATATCTGCTTTTGCACCCACTCAGCCTTGTCATCCAGAAACATTGGCTCGTTCTAACCCCTCATATACCAGCTGCTTATAATACATACAGTACACATTGATGCTCATGAAGCTCCCAGCCGAACTCATACACTCAAAACTTCATATTTTACCTCTTCCAATCGTGGTTCCACGCCTCCTTGGCGGGATACTCGGTCTGAAAGCGCGAATACTCAATCGGCACAGCCTCGGTACCCCAGACACCCTTCTTCTCCATGGCCACTCTGTACAGGTACCCCTCATCTCTGTTTCCAGGACCAACCGTCTTGCGCAGCTCCTCACAGGCATTGTACATGCCACTATACATGCGGTGACGCTCCTGCTCAATAGCCAGATGCTGCTGCCGGCGGAACAGCTGCCACGCGCGGTGAATAGTCCAGTGGCGGAGATATCTCAGACGAGCCATGCGGAGGGGTGGAGGAGCAGGGGAGAACATGTTCTGACGGAGGGTGCGGATGCGGTAGAAGTTCTCCGACTTGGGGGCCTGGTGCTTGCGGCGGGGAGGCACCTTGCCGGCTGGCTTCTTGGCCGGGGGTTTGGGGGGTGCGCGGGCGAGGAGGCTCGTGGTGGTTGAGAAGAGGCGGGTTGTAGGCGCCGCGGGGGCGGTGGCCTGGCGGGTGAAGAGCCCGCCGAGGGAGAATATCGAGGCCATTGTGAGGAGTTGTGGAGGTGGTTCAAGGATTCGGAGGGGGTTGAGGATTGATTATTCGAGAATCGCCTTGGTCTATCGTGTAGCGGCTCAAGGATCAGGATCGATTGGCTCTCGAAGATCGCTAGAAGTCGCTCGTCCGAAGCTCGTCGTCGAAATTTCTCGTCGTCTCGTTCGAATGCGCTTCCGAGGCTCGAATGTGCCCAATTGCGCCGAGGAAGCTACCCGCCTACTCCAGCCGTCTGATTGATCCTATCAACAACGGCCCTGCGGCGACACTGAGCGGACTTTCGGGTTGAATGGGTCGATTCGATATTCGTCCTGCTTGAAGTGGGCGTGGATGCTGAGATGCAAATTGTTAGCCTGGGATTCGGTCGGGCGGAGAAAGCTTTCTCCGAGGGCCGACTTCAAGATGCTCGATTGTGATAACAACTTCGATATCATTTTGCTATTTCATAAGCAGAAAGGATTTTCCCTTGGCCTAGGCAACTTGTCTTCTGAAAAGAGTTCAATTCCAATGAATTTCTTAGATATTCTGAAATTTTACACATTTTATAGTCTTCAATCTGACGCTTCGTAAGAGCGATATCGGACCCCTAAGCAGCGGACTGCAAGCATCGACGCAACTAGCAGACATGGAACGATGCAGCTTCAAAAAGATTTAATTGTGATGACCAATTTAATGAAATTTATGTACCAGCCCAATATAAAGAGCTCCGCTCCTTACCCAAGATCGGCCGATGCTGCCGGAATCCTTCGAGTTGACGTGCCATCAAAGTGTAGAATCCACCACATTCGACTTTGGGGTCTACCTAAGCTGTAGAAGCGTTGAATATGAACTCGTGAGATATTAGAGATGGAGGAACTTCTGTGTTGCAAACTGGAGAATCTGGGGTTGACACTCAAATGCATGCTGGCTATCACTCTCCTTGGTCATCTGTCCAACAGAAGCGATGAGAGTACAGTTTTAGGAATGGAGGTGTCCGCAAAGTATAAAATGTCTGGAAAAGTCCCGTGGGAACGGAATTGGTGGGCGGGAGAGTCCTCGGGAATGGTGCCTGCGTTTCAGCTTTGCTGCCTGGAAGGGTGTTGAGTCCATCCCTTCTTCTCGCACCCAAGGATGAGCCTGAGCCCTCGTAATCTCTAGCACTACTCTGGAAATCTTGGAGCCAAAGATGTGAGTAGTCCTTTGTGACCGCTCTGCTCCTTGACTACAGAGGGAAACGATTCGTTGTAGTATGTAGGTAAAAGTAATGCTTCAGGGATATCTACTCTCCTCGTGCCCCCTGGTATCTGTCCTAGGGATTTTGTACCACGATTAAGGTCTATCTTTATTCTTTAAATCCTGATTTTCCACGGCTACATATATCCCTCGTGCTTCGTATTGGATGGGAGAAGGAGATGTAGGTTGGCATCTGTCTGGGAGGATGAGTTGGCTGACGAGACCAATGAGTGTTGACTCTCAGAAGAGCTTCCAGTCAGGGTCAATTTTCTGGTTACCTGGCGGTACTTCTCAAATGTCTGTAGGATGACTGTATTCTCCGGCTCCGACATCCAAAGGAGCCATGAACAACGAAAAAGAAAATTAAGCACTCCCATAAGCCCATGGACTTTCAAAATACCCGGATGGCAGAGAGTGATCCTGGAACTGCGATGCAGTGCCTTCAAGTTGGCGTGCAAGGTAGGCTTGATTTGATTGTGTAGCCTCTATGATACGTGTTTGGTGCATCTCGGCAAGACGCAAATGACCAAACTCGCCAGAGCTTTTACCCTGCGAACCCGAGATCTTGTTGAGATATCCTAACGTGACTGATGAGTTGTGAACATGAATGAATGGCCATGGTTGGCTTTTGCAGGAGTGGCAACGCAGTCAAAATTTATCCTCAACTCTATCGTAACATGGAGCATCAGCAATTGCAAAGGCTATCTATATATGACTGGGACTAAACATTACCAATAAGTCACCTCTTTGGTCCATGTTGCGGGAAAAATACTTTCTTTATGAAACGAAAATCGGCTATACTGTGAAGCATACTTTGGGCGGCGGTCCATTCACAGAGAGCGTGAAAAGACATGACCATTCACAGATAGCGTTGAGGGCTGATGCCTCAGACTGTGATTCACCCATGCAGAATCAAACCGTTTTTATCCAAAAGAGACTCCTTAATCTTATATATCTAGCTCTTTCGCCTGGTTCTTTCGCTCAGTTCTTTCACCCAGTTTTCATACCTCCCTGTCCCTTTCACCTGGACCACCCTCGATAACTTTGTTTGCAATCTTTATCTCCCATCATCACAACGAGAAAGCAAGCGACTATTTCAAACTTTCAGACTATCGTTTATAATGTCTCAACCAAACCTTTCCGGACAGGACCTTGTCTCGAGTCCTCAAACAAACCGCCGTGGCCGCCGAAACACGGTTGACAATCCGACCTTGAACGACTCGGAACTGTTTGCCCCTTCTTTTCCCCAGGACCCTCAGGAGGGTAGGATTTCACGACTTCGACGGTGGACTGAAGAGCACCGTGAAAACAACCCAGTTGTGCCAAGAAACATCGAACCCCTTGACCAAAGCATGCAAGATGTGGCTCTCGACGACGACGAGGATGAAGAGCCTGATGACTGGGACATGGTGCTTGACTACCTAGCGGTAGAGGAATCCGAAGATTGGTATCCAAGACCAACCACTATGAGTCGGGTAAGAAGATATCTTTGGCCGAGGGACGAGGATGAGGACCAAGACCAAGACCACCACCACCGCCCGGAGCCTCTCGTCTTTGATGACGAAGGCTTGGCTACCATCGACGAAGAGGATGAAGACGAGGATGACCGCCCAGATTGGCGAGACCCGGCATGGGGTTACAACATCCCGTTTGGACCCCGGGTCCAGTACGATTACACCTTTGAGCAGCTCTATCCTCGGACTGCTCGGGCCCTCGATTTCGCCCAGTCACTCCCAGGCATGCGCCGTCTCGCTGTGGCACGGGATGTAGTCGCAGCCTGGGCTCCGACCGTCCAGAACAACATTGTCAGGACGTACAACGGGATGGCTCCTCGGGCTGTGTATACGGCACAGTGCACTCAGGAGGTCCTCACCATGTCGGCTCAGGTGGGGAGCCATTTCGCTGTCGAGGTGTGGACGGCTGGGCAGAATGCTGCCCAAATGGTGCAGGAGTCGTGGGAGGCGGCACAGCCTACATTACGGATGCTGCGTGAGGGAAGGGCCATGAGGTTGTTGGTGGAGGGGGATGTCATGATGATGCTGCTCCAGGATGCTGCCATGGCAGGGTTGTCAGCGATACCGCCCTACGACCTGATCCTGCGATCTGGCGGGGGCCGACGTCGACTTTGAGGGAGAGAGATTGGGAGTATTTGTTTGGGAAGCACACGAATCACTGGGATATGGACTACAGCATTTGGGATATTGATCTTCTGGTTGGATGCGAAGCGTTGGAGTTGGTGTTTGCCTTGGCATAAAGACATAGAGAAAAGCTGGGTATAGACAAAAGACGTTATAAACTCAATAAAATCTTATAAAAATTGACAAACATCAGGCGACTGATAAAGATTTAAAACAAATGCTTGCATAAACTCTATAAGCACTTTATATCGTTTGACTCATCTCACATAATTAACTCCGAGCCCGACGCCCTTTGCCTGAACCTTCTAAGTTTTAAACCCTTTTCCACAATTTGTAACAAATACTTCTAGTGCTCGTGCTTGACCGGGTTCAAGTCTCTAAACTCGCCTCGGAGGCTCTCGATACCCTCCTTCTTGACCTCTTCGACCAACTTGGCCACCTCGGGAGCGATGACGTTCTCGTCAAAGCCAAAGTACTTGTAGGCGTCCTTTCCGGGAAGACTCTTGCCGAACGTGGCCATGGAGAAGCCGGCGTCGGCGTATCGCTCCCAGCCGTTGACGGCGTACGCCTCGATGACGACGCGGGGGGCGTTGGATCGGTAGCGGAGGACGTCGCGCTTGTACTCGAGCGATTGCTTGTTGAAGATGCGCTGGCAAGGGAATGACACGATTCGCGCCTTGATGTTGAACTTTTCCTTTAGGACGTCTCGGGTCTTGACGGCGAAGCACATCTCGGCACCGACACCAATGAGAGTAACATCGGCATCCTCCTCCTCGATAAACACGTAAGCTCCCTTTTGAGCACCATCACGGCTAGAGTACTGGGGGTACTGCTCGAGGTTCTGTCGGGAGAGGGAGATGATGGAGGGTGTGTCCTTGGCCTCGAGGGCTGAGATGAAGGCGCCGGCCGTCTCTTCGGTATCGCAGGGGCGGATGTAGAGGAGGTTGGGCATGGAGCGGTAGAGAGAGGGGAGCGCGATAGGCTGGTGGGTAGGGCCGTCTTCGCCGGTTCCGATGGAGTCGTGAGTGGCGATGTGGATGGCCTGGAGGTTCTGAAGGGCACCCATACGGACACCAGGGGCGGCGTACTGAGACTGTTAGCGACGAGACTCATGTTGAGGACGAGGAACTTACAATGTAGAACATGAAGAAGCTGGAGGTGATGGGGAGGATAGTGCCCTTGCTATAGGCGGCGAGACCGTTGGAAATGGAGGCCATTGCGTGCTCACGGATACCCCAGTGGATATATCGACCACCATAGTTACCAGTGATACCACAGGTGGTCTTGAGATCCGGCTGTTGAGAGTCAGCAAGTGTTACTTCACAGCCGTCAATTAACTTACATGTTGGAAGTCAACCTTGTCCTTCCAGATCATGTTGACAGAGGGCGACAGATCAGCTGTGCCGACCATAAAGTTCTTAAGCTTGGCAGCAAGGGGGTTGCAAATGATACCGGCCGACTTTCGCGAGGCAGTGGGGGTGGTAGGGAAGCTCTCCTTGGCGGGGATAATGCTTCGCCAGTCCTCGGTGAAGCGGCCTTCAACTCGCTTGATAAACTCCTCGTGGAGCTCGGGATACTCCCTGGCGTATGAGGCAAGTAAAGCCTTCCAGTCCTCCTCTAGACGCTCACCACGGGTCTTGACATCGCGGAAGAAGTTGTAAATCTCGTCAGTCACGACAAAGTGTTCCTCGGGGTTCATGCCAAAGTGCTCCTTGACAGCCTTGACACCGTCGGGAGAAAAGGCGGCACCGTGGGCCTTGGCGTCGCCGGCGACCTTGCTGCCAACACCGATGACGGTGTGGACGTTGATAAAGGTGGGCTTGTCGGTGCTGGACTTGGCCTTGAGGAGAGCCTTGACGATGCCCTCGACGTCGTAGCAGCCGTCTTCGATCTCGATGACGTCCCAACCGCAGGCGCGCATCTTTGCGTTGACGTCCTCGGTGTTGCAGAGGTCGACACTACCATCGCAGGTGATCTGGTTGTTGTCGTACATAACGACCAGGTTGTTGAGCTTCCAGTGACCGGCCAGCTGGATAGCCTCGAGGGAAACACCCTCCTGCAGACAAGCATCACCAATCATACAGAAAGTAGTATTGTTAACAAGCTCATGACCAGGCTTGTTGTACGTCGCAGCGAGGTGCTTAGTCGCCATAGCAAGACCAACAGCATTGGCAATGCCCTGACCGAGAGGTCCAGTCGTAACCTCGATACCCTCGTGTTCAATCTCGGGGTGGCCCGGGGCGAACGAGTCGTAGCGGGCAGAGTGATACGACTTGAGCTGGTCAAAAGTCATCTGCTTGTATCCGGCGAGGTGCAGGAATGTGTACTGGAAGAGACAGGTGTGGCCGTTGGAGAGGACGAAGCGGTCGCGGTTGAAGTAGTCGGGGTTGGTAGGTGAGTACTTCATGACGTACTTCCACAGGGCGAGGCCAATGGCAGCCATTCCCATGGCGCCGCTGCGAATGAGTTAGTTGACGATGCCATTATTTTTGAGTATAGTTTCTCACCCTGGATGACCGCCATTGAACTGCTGGCAGAGATCAGCAATCAGACAGCGGAACTGACGCAGAAAGAGGTCAATGGTCTGGGCATCCTCGTTCTTGATGAGCTTGAGGACATTAGGTCCAGCCACGGTCTCCTCCTTGGGCTCTGGTGTAATTGCACTGGGCGCCATTCTGTCAAGACTTTTGTGTATGCGTTAAGTGTAGAGAATGAAAAGACAGAGAGAACTTGGGGCAATGCCTTATATCACCGCTACATCTCTCCCATCACCTTACGCGTTTAAAAAGTAAACGAAAGGGTTAAACACTTCCAGATGCCGAAATAGGAAATTCTACGCACGAGGGGTGTGGGAATGTGGGTTCGACCCCATTCATGATGATCACGAGGGGTGGGAGTCCAGAACCGGGGGAGAGAGGCACATGAGAGCTAAAAGATTTGAGCAAGTGTCCCGCCACGTCGCAGGCGCTTAGGCTTGCTTAGTTGGTATGAGGTTAAATCTGTCAGGTTGTTTCTGGGATTGTTTCTGGAAGAGGATTACTCAAGGGGTTTGGTGTTTATGCTTGGATGGAGGTTCTAGGGGTTTGTCGAATCATGTACTTTGTCTTGATAATGTTTGTTTCACAAGTAGTGCTTCAGAAGAGCATTTGCTGCACTTGGCGCGAGGGAGGTAGTAAAAAATAGCCGATCACTTATAACCTAAATTAAGAGTCAAACTGTTTGCTCACTTATGTCTTCCACATCGCCAATGACTGCCCGTTACACGAAAAGGTGTGAACACCATATCCAGACACTCCGGCTGCAATCACCATCTTGAACCTCTTTCAGAACATGAATGCACATCAATTGATCGCATGCAACTTCCTCGAATACCATCACGTACATCCGAAGACAATTGCATTCGGCATATCCCAAGATGGATATCCGTCGAGAGTATATCTGAGAGATGTTCCTGATGTCGCCCTGATCATCCATACTCTGCACTACACATCGCTTCATCATGACTCCCGCCATCGTCAGCGACATTGAACTCCCGGCCCAAGTGCCAGAGACGAAAGCGACACCTGCCTCCAAGGTTTCAACTCCCAAGCTCTTCTCCCTCGAAGGAAAGACAGTCGCCATCACCGGCGGAGCTCGCGGTCTTGGCATCACATTGGCCATCGCTGTTGTCGAGGCTGGTGGAAGCGTCGCCTGTCTCGATATCCTAGACGAGCCATCACCAGCCGAATGGGCACAGCTCAACAAGATCGCGACAGCCAATAATTCTTCCGTGTCATATCGGAAATGTGACGTCACCAATGAGACGTCGGTCGAGTCGGTAATGCACGCCATCGCAGCGGATGCCGACAAGACCGGAGCTCCGTTCTGGGGGACTATTGCCTGTGCTGGCATTCAACAGCAGATGGCAGCTATTGACTACCCAGCCGCTGATTTCGACCGGATATTGAGGGTCAACGTCACGGGCGTGTTCAACACTTGCAAGTACGCTGCGAGGGCGCTACGAGAGAGGAAGAGTCCTGGAAGCATTGTCATCATCTCGAGCATGTCGGGCAACATTGCCAACCGAGTGAGTAGACAAGTCCAAGAAAGTAAGTTTAAACTAATGATTTAAAAGGGACTATCCTGCACGGCATACAATTCCAGCAAAGCCGCCGTCCAACAAATGGCCCGATCCATCGCCCAAGAATGGGGCCAATGGTCGATCCGCGTCAACACGCTATCTCCTGGTGTAAGTGACACCCTCAGCGGCCTTTAAACAGGATCTAATAGTACCACAGTATATCCGAACTGCCATGACGGATCAATTGCTCCAAGAGAACCCCGAGGTTGAAAAGACGTGGATGGCTGGTGCTCTACTGGGTCGTCTTGGCGCGCCCGAGGATTTCAAGGCCCCGGCCGTGTTTTTGTTGTCCGAGGGAGCGTCGTTTGTGCATGGGACGGATTTGAGAGTTGATGGAGGGCATTGCGCATCGGCTTAAAAGAATTGCATAGATACATGCTGGGTTGAGATAGATTGAGAACTGCAGCATCTGTTACAATAGAAGATTGCATCAAAGACATGAACCACATCAACTGTTTCGTTCATTTAACCTCTATTCTAGCCTCTAAAATATTACCTCATCTCAAATCATGACTATTTAAATAAAGCAGATAAAATAGCAAAACACGAGGCGCTCACGCTCCCAAACTTTTACTCCCACCAACGACCCTTCCTACTGCTTCAACACCTCTTCAACACCTCGAAGAATGCTCACGACTCCAAGCGCACCAGGGTCAGGAATACCGCCCTCTTCATCAAACCGATCCTGTCCGACGTAGCTCGCCCTTCCAAGGGCTGCCGCCATCTTTCGCGTGACTTCTGCTCCCTTGCGTGCCTCGGCAATGGCACCCTCGAGGGAACCTTTGTCGGCGTAGGTATTGACAAAGGGGATGAGAGCATCCATGAGGGTGCGGTGTCCAACACGGGCGGGAGTGTATCTGCAGAGTTCCTCGAGACCACCTTGGAGAGACTTCTTGATCAGCTCCGACACTGCAGGCGACTTTGAAGCTGTCGCAAGCTCCGAGAGTCTGTTTGCAACGGCGTTGAGGAAAATTGCGTAAATGGCACCTGATGTACCACCCATGCTCCTCTCTGCGGTAGTAGCTGTCCGTCGGAAGATTTGTCCAATGTCGAGGGATTCGGCGTCGTCTTTCTGAAACTCTTTGACAAGACCTGCACAGTTTAGCTGATGAAGCATTGATGATTTGGGGGGTCGTACCGTTTACACCGTTGAGGAGAGTTTCTCCACAGTCTCCGTCGCCAGCAAGCGTGTCGTACTCGGTGATCTTGGGCTCGTCTTGTGCTGTCGTCTTTGCTACCGAGTCGATGATGGACTTGACGAGCGTTGTAGGAACTAAATAAAGGGTCAGTTCCATCCGCGGTATGTTTAAATGCACTTCACTCACCCTTGACTCCAGTCTCCCGTCCATTCGGCTTGGCCGCTGCAACCTTTGTTTCCCTCTTCGACACAGACTCGGCATCTGTCGCCCATCCGTGGATCGAACGAGGCCAAGCAGGCGCAGTAGTAGGAGCATCAAGAAGTTCCTCCAACTCCTCATCAAGCTCTAGAAGCGTCACCGAGAAGCCAGGTCCATCGAGCGAAGTCACAAACGTTCCAACCAAACTCCTAGCAATCTTGATATCCCGCGAACCAAGCTGCGAAACAACCTCATCCGCAATGATACCCAGCTCAAGAACACTGAGCCCACCGAGGTTATTGACCATGAGAGCCACACGCTGACCCGTCTTGGGCTGCCACATGTTGGCCTTTTGGGTAAACATGATGTCGAGAGCCTTTTGAACCGTCGTCTCGAGACTGGGAATCTTTTCGCGCTTGACACCGGGCTCGTTGTGAATGCCCATTCCAAATTCGAGTTGGTCGACGGGGAGGGATTCTTGGTTGGCTCGGCCGGGGACGTTGCACCTGTCGAGACTCGCGGCGACGGTGGCCATTTGCGAGGCGGCCTTTTTAGCGACTGCGACGACGTCTTCGAGGGAGGCTCTGTAATAAACCCATGTTAGAGTATGTGAGGAAGTGGATGTGTTTGACTTACCCCTTGGCTGCTTTGGCTCCAGCAATCTTGTGGCAAAAGACTGTCCCTGCGAGACCACGCTGACCGACGAGAGTGTTACCCTCAACAGAGACGTCATCTCCTACAATCACCATTTCCACTTTTTGACCCTCTGCCTTTGCCTTTTCAGCCGCCAATCCAAAGTTGAGTTTATCGCCCGTGTAGTTTTTGACGATCAAGAGGGATCTATATCCAAGTCAGCCAAAACCTCACCACGTCAATTCTCAATACGTACCCCTTGGATGACTTTACAGTCTGAAGACCAGTCAAGATCTGCGAAGCAGAAGGAGAAGCAAAGATTTCGCCAGCAATGACAACATCTAGGGCACCCTCGCCGAGGTATCCCGCATGAGCTGGTTCGTGACCAGAGCCTCCTCCAGAGAGAAGCACAACCTTGTCATCTTGAGGATCGCGTCGTCGGTAAAGAACTAGATAGTCAGTTTATTTGTTCCGCTCTAATTTTGTTGATCTCACCCTTTTCAGACGCAATGAGACTCAATGAGGGATCGTGGAGTATACAGCTCCTTAGACCTCGCTCGACAGGGCTGGAGACCCCACTGATGAAACTCTTGCCTAGAAGTTGTTAATCTTTATTCACCAACCACACCAAAATATTCATACCCAATGTCATTGTTGATTAGTTTTCGTCTCTTGATGATAAATCTGACAGTAAAACACTCATGAAATCCTCAAGACTGGGAATGCTCGTCTTCTTGATCTATCTCGTTCCCAGGCGGTCCAAACTTCCATCTTGGGATAGCTCACTCTTCTGCTCAGGCACCTTTTACCCTCGATTTTCCCGCGGTCCCGCGGCCCCGCGTCCATGATGGCTGAAGCGCGGGGGGGCTAATCTTGCCCTTTTACGGATAAAGGAAAAAAGTAATTGGGGCTCCTGACCTTTGTTCCTGTCGTACCACCCCTGGATCTCTGGGCGGGTTGGACTACCCGGGGGAGGGACTTTGCCGGTGTCCACAGGGCGTGTGATTGAGCGTGGGATGGTTTATTGCTGAGATTAAGCGGTTGCTGAGTGGGTGAAGAGTCGATCTTTGGCAATTGGGTAAAGATTGGATATGGGTAATGCAGGTTGCCCTCAGTAGCTGAAATGGGTGATTGTGTGGTAGCTTGTGTCGCTTGCCTACCCGAGACTCTCCCGGGCAAACAGAAGCGCAATTGTTTGCTGTAGCTGCAGGAAAAAAAGATTGAGAATATTCGGGATAATGAACTTTTCTCTACCTGCAGTGCCCATGAGAATCATGGTTGGTCCCGGTGTATCAAGTCACCAATTTATTTACAATTGTTGTGTTGGGTTTTGGGCAACGCGAGACTCGTCTTCCCGCAGTGTTCAAGCAGCATCGGGACACTCACTTTGACTTCCCATCATCGCTCACCTAAGCAGCACTGTACCTGAACGAAAAGGATTTCCTGTCCACACTGTATACTTTTCTCTCACGAGTTACCGGAAAACATCCCAGACCGCAATGGCCTCCGGCCTTACCTTGTCGGTGAAGGCGTGATCTCTCACTCTCCCGTGGCCTGTACGGCATTTAGAAGCGGACCTCCCCCCCCCCCCCCCTGGTCATCTCAGCGCATACAGCTTCCTAACGAGCAAACAATGCAACCCCGTCAAATCGGCTCCGTTCATCGGCGCATCTTTTAACACCCGACTTGCTCGTTTCGGTAATTCCCTGCAACTCCTTAGCGATTGGCTGACTGTAACCCACTTCTCCGCGAGCTCTCCTCCAGGTTACCGAGTTCCGACTCCCAGCTTGCTGTGGCTTCCTGCGGGCGGAGGATCAATGAAGGGGTGATTTGTGTTTCTCGGCCGAGAAGAGAATACGAATAATGTCATGTAATTATGCAAATTTGACTACTTTAAGAGAATCCTGACTCTTTCATTGTTTGTCATGATCAGAGCTTCTCTCCCTCCATCACTATCCTAGTCATACACACCCTCTTAAAGCCGGGGCCTCCTCGTCACTGCAAAAACAAAAAGGCAACCGAAGCCGGACCTTGGAAACACAACGTCCAAGCGACTTTTTACATCCCTGGAAATACTGCTGCCTGCGCATGCTTAGGCCCGAAAAAACAACGCTTGCAGATGCCCTGCGTCTTCTCGAAACCGCAATCGAAACATGTTCGTCGTCGCTGATCCCCAGACCCCGGAATTTCTTGTTGCGTGATGTGATGGGTTCCCCGCCTCGAGGGCTCCGCCCATGGGGAACCGCTGTTTAAAAAAAACCTTGATTTATATGCGAGTCAAGCAGGTAATTATGTAGATCTCAAAGAGTATATGAAGAAGCCATGATCCCTTCGTGAATAGCTTCAATCACAACATCCACATCATCTTATCAAGTTCACTGCCCACCATGTCTACCCTCCTCGTGGGAAAGCCCCTCGACTGGGCAATCACTGCAACCGCAGGCTCAGGCTTTTTACTCTTCGGCTACGACCAAGGGGTAATGTCAGGCCTGTTAACAGGCGATGCTTTCACAAAGACGTTTCCCGAGATTGACACTACCAACGGTGGTGGAGGGAGTTCCTCTCTCCAAGGCACCGTCGTGGCCATTTACGAGATCGGATGCTTCTTTGGCGCCATCTTTTGTCTCCTTGCTGGAGAGTATCTTGGTAGACGTAGGTCCATCATGATTGGGTGTGTTGTTTTGAGTATTGGCGCTGCTCTGCAAGCTTCTGCTTTTGGGATTCCGCAGATGATTGTTGGACGCATCGTTGCGGGATTGGGAAACGGCATGAACACGAGTACAATTCGTAAGTCTCCTTTACCTTCCAAATGCTCGAGAAGCTGACAATTGGTAGCTGTGTGGCACTCTGAACTCATGAAGGCCAAAAACAGAGGCCGTGGTCTAGCCGTCGAGCTAGCCATCAACATCTTTGGCGTAATGCTCTCCTACTGGGTAGACTACGGCATGTCATTCGTCTCCAACGACTCTCAATTCCGCTTCCCCCTCGCTCTTCAAATCCTCTTTGCCGTCATGACCTTTTTCGGAATCCTCGTGCTCCCCGAGTCTCCTCGTTGGCTCATTGCGCACGATCGACATGACGAGGCTAGAGAGATTCTCTGGGCTGTGAGGAAGGATGCAAAGTCGATTAGCAAGGATGATGAGTCTATTAGTCGGAGTTTGGCTGAGATTCAACATACTATTAAGGAGGAGCGAGAAGCTGCCCAGACAAGTAGTTTCAAGGCTATGCTGAAGAATGGAGAGCAAAAGTTCCTCTATAGAACTTTGCTGGGTGTCGGCGCTCAGTTTGCACAGCAGCTTTCTGGTATCAACCTCATCACATACGTAAGTCAACTAACCCTCAAAGCCCCGAGCCCGTTTGCTGACCAGAAACAGTATGCGCCCGTCATCTTTCAGGAGTCGGTCGGCATGTCTCACAACCTGAGTCTCCTTCTTGCAGGCTTCAACGGCATCGCTTACTTCCTTTCGTCTCTGATCCCAATCTGGGTCATTGACCGTCTTGGTCGACGTAAGCTTATGATGTTTGCGGCGGCTGGTCAGTGTGGATGCATGGCTATCCTTGCTGGGACTGTGTCTACTGGAAAGTCTGCACCTGGTATCGTTGCCATTGTAATGCTCTTCATGTTCAGTACGTATTCTGACTGACACTGTAACTGAATTGCTCATGCTAACATCGTCTAGACTTCTTCTTTGCCGTCGGTCTCCTCGCCATCCCCTGGCTCTGTAAGTCCCTCTCCTCAACCCCCCCAACCACCACTAACCACCCCCAGTACCCGCCGAATACGCCCCCCTCGCAATCCGAACCCGCGCCGCAGCCCTAGCAACAGCATCAAACTGGATCTTCACCTTTCTCGTCGTCGAAATCACTCCCGTCTCCATCTCAAGCATCGGTTGGAAGACATACGTCTACTTTTGCATCTTCAACTTTGCCTTTATCCCCATGTTCTACTTCTTCTACCCCGAGACGAGACTCTTGTCGCTCGAGCAGATCGACAAGCTGTTTACTGGTGAGAAGATCATGCTGCACTGGGATCACAGCATGGGTGTGCCGGGTGAGGTTTCGGGTGGTAAAAATTTGGAGGGTGAGAGTGCTGGGTTTGAGCATGAGGAAAAGACTACGCACGAGACCAAGACGGAGTCTCTGTAGGATCATATTGAACGATTGATCCCTAAGTGGGAAAAGGAGGTAGTCATAACAGGGCAAGTGTATTCCGTTCATAAGCTATTGCCATAGTGTCCCGTAATCCGGCAAAATGCAGATATCCAAACCCATCCATCAACTCCCGTCCACGAACCAAAGATACCCAGTGAAACCTAATTCCAAGCAAACCAACTTGGCTTCTTCTTCTCTGCCTCTTGTTTCCTCTTCCACTCTGTTTCTTCTTGCGCCATCCATGCTTGCATCATCATGCACTTCTCCTCCATCTGCGCATCAGTCAAGAAACCCCGTCCACCGTCTTCAGCTGTGTCTTTATCCTGAGAACCAGAGTAGGTGCCTTTTGTTACGCCGAGCACCTCGCAAAGACCCTCCGACTTTTCCATCAACCAATCTCCGTGACGAAGACCGTCGCGCCAGTGAGGTGGTAGTGCCTTGAAGCCGAGCAGAGCACCAAGGAGAGCGCCCGCGAAACAGGCGTTTGTGTCAGCGTCGCCGCCCTCCATGATGAGGTCAGTGATGAGTTTCTCAAAGATTGCAAGCTGTGATCGGAGTTGGCCGTTGGATTCGAGTTGTCGCATAGCAAGACGAAGAAGCAAAATCCCAGAGCCAAACGTCTTGTAGACGTAACCAATCTTTGTGCCCTCATCCAACTTCAAGTCCGCTAGAGTCTTGGCTGTGGTGTGGTACTTGAAGTCATCAATCTTCAACCGAGGCTCATCTTTTCGATCCTGCTTCTTGAGCTCCTTCTCACGACGAGCAGTGTACCACGCAAGACCCTTTTCAATCATGTCGTCGACGTGACGCTCTTTTCGGATATCGCCAAGAACAAGACCACGGACGAGGGCAGTGCCGATGACGCAGGAGACGACACATCGGGGGTCTGCATGTGTGACGACGGAGAATTTGGCGGCGATCTTGAAGGTCTCTTCGAGGGACTTGTTGAGACACATGAGTCCCAGGGGATGTGTCCGCATCAAACTTCCATTAGGCGCGGCCTTGAATTTGCCCGTCGTCCAAAAGTTTCGTGCTGTTCCCTCAGGATCATCCAGGTATGTCTTTGTCCGAACGATGCCGCCAACAGTGCGTCCCAGTCCAAGAGGCAATGTATCGAGTGCACGAAGTCCCATACGGACCCAAACAGACAACCTCGAGGCGAAGTCTTTAGGATCAAGCTTCTTGCCATCGCTGTGAAGATAAGACATGAGAATCAGGACAGCATGATCAGTGTCGTCAGTCCAATCACCAGGCCTGTGAAAGTTGCGATGGTGATCGCGTCTAAAGGCAGTAGCCTGGTCCGCAGGTAGAAGAGTAAAGAAGCGATCAGGATATGTATCGGCCGATATCTGAGAAGAGAGAAATTCTGTATACAGTCCGATCGCATCTCCAAGAGCTGAGCCAAAGAGGGTACCGATAATGCGATCTTGAGCGACCGCCTTGGCCGACTCGGAGGAGAAGATAGTCGAAGCCATGCTGGGTGTGCTTTTCTTTGAAGACATGATGGAAGAAGCACCAGCGACGGAGACACAGGTTATATGCTTCTTTCAAGATGGTAGGCATCCAAATTGATTGACTGGTCGAGGCAATAGATCGCGAGTCCATTTCTGCGGCTGAAGGGGGCGGTGGAGCACTGCCACACACGGGACTAACTAGTACCCGAAGGGGGGATGACCCGGACGCATGTTAAAGCGGTTGCCTGATGACACGCAGGAGGATTTGCGAGCTGCATTTGCCCAATGAGATGGATGGTGTTGATATGATTGTCTAGGATAAGGAGTGGGTGAAGTACAGTGCGGCAGGGGATAACAGGCACCAGATTCAAGATCTCCTCTGCCTGCTATGGACGTTAATCTTAATGTCACTGTAAGCAGTCCAGGAAAAGCCCTAAAATAAACCAAAATAGAGCACACACTTTATCAGTCCCTTCTAGCCCCTCTCCCTTACGCCGAGGCACATGTGCGCTAATGGTTCCCTACAGTATTCATCAAACCGCCTTGCGTTTCTGCACTGTACGGCCAGTCTGCCTCGCAGGGCTGAGGCTATGTCCAAGCGGTCAAGCTAATCAACATGGTTTCTATTAGTTCAGAATAGTTACTTGGACATGGGGCTATTATTTTTATAGACGGTTCAAATATGTACTACTCAGTCTCCCAAGTCTCCCCAAAACTCCCTTAGATCCTCTGCCCTCCACCTCGTGCTCCATCCACTCTCCCTCTCAATCTTGTCCAACAACTCTAGTATCGCCTTGTGCTCGCTGGGATGGCTCATACATCGTCCAGCAATCCACAAAGGCTGGATTCCGTTGGTCCACGCCCCGTGGTGGTCATTAGACAGGCTTATCCCGCAAGCCTGTCGCGCGTGCCAAAGGATGCTCCTCGGCTTGGCAGGGAGACTGAGTCGTATACCCGACGGCTGGTTCTGGAGCATGAGGATAGATGCTGTATGGTGAAGTTGGTTGCCTGAAATGGCGGCGGGGTTGGAGAAGAGAATAGTCGGAAAGGGGGATTTGCCGCTGGGGATGGTCATGATGGGGTGCAATTGGGCTGGCCTTTGTTGATACCAGTCGTGGAGATACTCCCATAGTTGGAGCCAGCGAGCGCGAAACTCGGAATCGTTGCGGGCTGGAGCTTGAAGAGTATGTGAGGGTAGAGGGGTCAAAAGGTCAAGAACCTGGGCTATCAGGTAGACGGAATAATTTGCCCACTGCTCAAAGTCTGTCGCGTTTCGAAAGAGCTCAACATCAGCTTCAATCGACCCCGAAGCCCAATGGGAGACGTGTATAAGCGTCTTGACCGATGATATCAAGCCACCACAGACGTCCATCCGGGCAAAGCACCAAAAGAGCGCCTGCTCTGTGCCTCCCACGAAGCCATTGATCCCTACAGCCTCCATTAAACTGGCGCATCCGTCGAGGTGCCTCTGCCACGCTTTGGGCGAGCAGCTAAGCATCTCCAATACGCAAAGTATGACGCATGTAGCTATAACGGCCGTCCCTCGGGTCGGGAGATGGGGAAGTAGTAGGTGGATGGCTTCTTGGTATAAGGCGAGGCTTCGGTCGGTCGGGAGAGTCTTTTTAAGTTCGAGTTGTCGCGCCGAGAGGGCCAACATCGAGTATCGGAGGTGATCGTTATTTTTGGTCATTGTCGGGAGGATCTGTTGGAAATGTCGGTCTCTATCGAACTTGTCCAGCCAGGGGGCAATCTCGTCAAAGTAGTTTTTCCACAGAGAGCATTCTTCCTCTTCGGAAAGGAGTGGTGTTGTGGATGGGTGGAAATCGGGTATCTGGACAGTGACGTCTGTTTCGGCTATCGTTGAACTTCCCTGCGTGCTATTGACATCAAGCCGAGGTGTTGTTGACCTTGTTGGCGCGACAGATCTTGTCTCTTGTATTAGATGATTGCGTAGTGTAGAATGAAGTTCGTGATATGCCGAGCCTGGTAAAAAGATGCCATCCTCGGACATGTCTCCTGGTGTGAATGCCTGTATCTGTTCCATGTAAGGATACTCAATGTCCATCGAGACTTGCAGAGCAGGGTCTATTGCGACTCGTGGGTGGCTTTGGGCAGTTTGCCCGCTCTGGCTAAAGTAAAGGAGGTCTGCGACAGCACTCTCGGTCTGCCGCTGGGACGAGGGCGAGCTCTCAACCGTAGGTGGAGTAAGATAGCTTCCTGGAGCATTGTTCAAGTGCCCCAAGCTTGTAGGTCTCGCATCTGATCCTACGTTTGTTGGTATTGAGCGGCCTGGCCCCCGTGTTAGCAATCTCGTGACAGAATTGGCACTTATAAACTTACCCATAGGCCGAGCATCGGTGTCGTCGTCTTCCGATTCTAGTAGCGATGACGGGGCATTGTAGTCGCGAATAACCTCGGATGTGACGTCGAGAATCTCAAACTCCCTGGGCCGCCTCCTGGCCATCTTGCGCATCGACGGGTGTCGGCCATCCAGACCCTGTGCGTTCTCGGCGCGAAACGTAATCTTGAGTCCCCATTCGCAATGTTCGCTCCGTCGGCGACATGTACCACAGGCCGGACGTCCCTCATCACATTTTCTCTTCTTTCGTCGGCAGTTGAGGCATCCTGACCTCGTCCGGGTCTTCTTGGGTACCTGCTGAGGCCGCTCCATTTTGGTCAGGCGTAGCCGCTGATTTTTAGCGGAGATGGGAACCCGTCAGGGAATCGCTTGGGGACCGTCAACCCTGACGTCTCGGGTGCATTGCTGTGGAGAAATATCCAAGGGACTGGTTCGTGATGGGCAGATGATAAGACAGGCAAAATCTCGACCTGAAGGATCATGCCTGTCTCTGTTGAGGATGCGGAAGACGAAGCCGAATGATCGGCTACGGAGCGGAAGGAGGTCGGGATTACCGCTTCAGGTTTGCCGAGGCAAGTCTAAGCGAAGTGTGACGCTTGGACTGGCCAGATGATGGTTTCAGAGGGCAATTAAATTCTGGGATGCCAGGTTGGTTGGATATTTATTATGGATAATATTGCCGTATTCTTGATACTATCGTCGTATAGTTGAACTCGTAACCTGTTCATTGTCGCCTTGTAGGCAATACTAGTTGTCTCGTGCTGGATCTGAAGATCCTTGAAGGCGGTGTAACATGCCTCTCCCAGGACAATGGCCGAGAAATGAAAAGACAACAAGGCATTCTGGGCGTTTGAATGTTGGCGATGTTGACATAGTTGTGCTTTATAGTGCATTTCTTCCACTGAAGATATCCATCACCGCCCAAGTCGGCAGGAGCAAAATATCCGGTCTGTGCCTCGTGAGGCGGGGCATCCAAGCCTGGAATGCTTCAAAATTAGCCCACTCTCAACTTCATCATACATCGTCTGCGCTCCTTTCTCCGCCTCACATACATAGCACCATCGACGAGATAACCTCGTCCAAATACGCATCCCAAAGCCATGCCTAGACCTGCGTCCCTCCGTGACATCATCCGCCAGCATCCACGTGAGCGGCTTCTAGTCCAGCCTCTTGAGTGGACGGCGCGTCATCTCGAGCTTCTGCATTGCTCCTTTGAAGAGGAAAAATCAGAAGACGGAAGCCCCGAAAAGGAGGATGGGCTGGAGAATAATGGAGAAGATGTTCAAATTCCTGATGCAAACGAGTCAGGGAAAAAGAAGCCTGCCGATCGATGGGTTCGTACGGCTGAGCGTCTAGCAACCTATGAAATGAAGACGGCGGCCATCAAGAAGCTCTTGGCAGAAGTCGACGGGCCTCTAAAATTCCTCCGGTAAGGAAACAGAAAGACACAGCTATCTAATCGCCTAACATCTTCGCTGTATAGGCCATTTGGATATTTCTGCTACGGCTCCGAGCATGAATTTCGCCTGCACGGCGCCGTCTTTTCGGAGCGTGCAGCCGGAACACAGGCACCCGTGTTCGCTTTTATGCAACGCGGCATGATTAGGATACAACGTGAAGGCGTTTTTTCTCTGCCTCGGCCAAGGAGACCTAACCCTCCCGCTGAGCTTATCAGGAAGCTGAGGTTGAAGCAAATAGAGCCATCTGATCCATGGTGTGACCCATACATCCTGGCTGTTCTTATAGGGTTGTCACAGTCACAGGCACAGAACCAGTCTTTGGAAAAGGACTCGGAAGGTAAGGGTCGACCTGATGTTTTCAAGGTTAGTTTTCTCTATCTGTACATAACGAGATCATACTCGGCTAACAGCATCCTAGGTTTGCGCTGTGCTTGTGGACGAGACAAACAAAGACACGATGGGATTCTACACTGCAACTATCTCTGCCGAGTTTCTCAGCAAGTTCGAGTACCCAGACGGCCTAAAGCCCACAAAAGCGACACTATCATCTTCTTTGTGCATCAAGCATAGGAAGATGGCGTTTCAACCATATTCGACTTTAAGGGAAAGGCTGATCGAAGCAATGTCACCTTGTTTTGAGGATGCTAAGGCCAGCCAGTAATAGTGGTAAAGGCTACCTCAAATGTGATCCAAGAATCAAGCCATTCTCAACAAAGAAGGGTATGACCATTGCCCATTTAGAAATTCGTCAAGATGAAGCGGCTCAAGATGAACCAAGCGTCAATATAAATAGAAAGCGAAATTCCGAGCCTATTTATTGTAGAGTTTGATCCAAGGTTGCTCTGCAATTCTTTCGTCCTTTCCTTGCCGATGGGGTTTTAGTTTATCATGAGCCTTAGAAACAATAAGCAAAAGCCACACATTAACGTCAATAGAGAAGGGTTGGAAAATAGACAGGGGTCTAAGTATGAAAGTTACTCTATACCTGGGTGGCTATCTAGAGTTACAGAACACGCCCCCACTTTTCCCGAGATGTTTGGCCCCAAGCCTCCAACCTCCCGCATTTCAATTCCCTTCCTACACCTCCCTACCCGCAACCACAGTATCACGTTGTTCGCCGCCGGAATGTCTGCAACCCATGTAGACATTGATCCTGAGGGAGATATCCTCATCATCCTCCTCCATGGTAAGTCTCCCCACCTTGGGTTAAAGATGACACCATCCTGGGCATCAACCTATCAGCAGCTCGAGGCTCAATACCCTCGAGATAAAAGTAAGATGCTTTTTTCTGACTATTTGATCCAAATTCTAAGTTATAGATAAACCGGAGCCTGATCCTGAGGAGGAAAATGGCGAAGAACCTGCTGTCGAAAAACCTGAACCCGAGAAGACAGATGGCGAAAAAGCAGATGACGAAATGACAGATGTCGAAGAGCCCAATCCTCAGACGTGCTTCAAGGTCTCGATGAAGCATCTCATCCTAGCTTCGCCGCGAGCAAAAAAGATGTTTGAGGGGAACTACACTGAAGCTCGACCAGATGCTGATGGACTACGTCGATGGAAATTTGAACCGATCTTCGACCCCGCAGCTTTTGAGATTGTCATGAATGCAATTCATGGCTACACTCACAAGATGCCACGGACTGTGACCCTCGAGAATTTGGCCAAGATCGCTGCCATAGTTGACGATCTGGATTGTGCCCAATCCCTATGGTTCTTTGCCAAGACGTGGATCGCTGGCCTGGACAAGTACATGCGCAATGAAAACTTTAGATGGTGGATAGTCATTTCATTCGTATTTGACGAGCCCGATATATTCAGGCCAGCAACCCAGCTCGCAATCCTTCAAGACAAGGCACAATTCGATGCACAAGGGCTCCCAATCCGCCCAAAAATCATTGGTACGATAACGGGCCGGGATTCTATGCAGTTCTGTCTGACGTTGCAAATAGATACAATGGACGCCGAGAGAGAGAAGCACATCAAAAGAATCGTCATTGGGGTTGCATCGCTTGTTAGAAAGGTTCAAATGCAGACGTGCGACCCCCAGTGCAAATCCATGACGTTCGGCGCGTTGACACTGCACCTTATGTCGCTCAACCTTATCTTTCCATCTCCGTCTGAACCCTATCTTGGCATGAGCTTGAATATTCTTTTCTATCAGTTGAGAATCTTTCAGCTTCCATCGGTCTACCGCCCAGGCGAGTCGTTCAAGGAACATATGACGCGCTCTAAAGACTTGTGGTTGTTCCAACAGGCCATGGCGCCAGGCGGGAAGCGTCAAAGGCAGCCAGATGGCGCTGATACTCACAGCTGCGATCTACGGGATCTGGTCGCGAAGTCACTTTCGAGCTTATTGATAACTGTCCCTGGCCTGAAACTCTCAGACTTTCGCTAGCATATCGAGGGAATCTGCACACTTTTCTCTCGGAACGGGATGTCGATAGGAACGAGGGATTAGAGTTGAATTGGTTCATAAAGAGCCAGTTGCTGGTTTGATAGCTGGAAAAGCCGCGGGGACCCTTATTCTTGGGAAACGCGGACTTTGTACCAGTATAGATACGGAAACATGGAACTCAAGATGAAGGCCAAACATTCGCCACATTGACTACCCACCAGGATAAGATGCCGATGGGTATCATCAAAAATGTGAAAGACGCTGGAGTTCTGATCACGTAACAGTAATATTGGGTGCAAAGGGGGAAGCTACGGAATGGAGCAAAACTTCTCGTCACAGGTGCCACCACGATCGCTACTCGAGTCAGATAACCAAGCCGGTAAGCATGTCCGAAATTCAATCCTTAACTCCAGGCCGATGATTGCTACTCTAACGGTGAGCTGAAGACTGACGATTTACTCTTTACTCGGTAAGCTGGTGTTGTCCGTGACCGAAAAGAGAAGCTCGGCCACAAACCGGCCACCTCGACATCGGCATCACAACCCATATGAGTATAGCATCTTGACTACATTCTAACTACAGAATAAACTCTAGGCGGTTCGCAAAATACGAGCAAACATAGCCCACATCGGCATCACCGTCGGTCAGATATGAGGTGTTTCCCAAGCCGAATCCCCCGCCCACGTTGTCCCCGGAAGGGCAGGACAAACAGGCATGGGTTTAATCCCACCAATCGAGACTGTGCCGCAGTACTATACGGGAAACTCTATGGCAGCGCGGAGCCGACTATTGAAACCTTCTCGGGTCTCGGTAACCCCATTAAACATGCTGGGTCAAGACACCCCTGGTCCCCGGGTCGAGATGGTTCGACGGGCCGCGCGGGTTCATCGTCTGGTTTTCATGCAGGAGGGCGGGTGCAGTCACGGTGAACCAGTAATCTAGACGAAACTCTAAACATTCTTCCTTCCGTCCTCGGATTAAGACGGCCAGCAGGGTGGTCCTTTTGGTTTCAGGGGCGATATGCCGAAGGGTCATCCTGGTTTCGGCTTTGGGCGACCCCTGCTAGCACCCGCTCCTCAGGCCAATGGGAGATTGGAAGGATTCCCGTGTGCATCAGCCCTAGCCGTGGTCGTCTCATCTCTCAGGTCCTTTATTGTTTCAACGGGTTTTGCTATATAAACCGTGCTCTGCTGAGGGAGTTTAGACTATTCATCCTCAAGCGTCTCAAGCATCTCTCGACTCAGTATAACTCACCCACCACACTCTATCACCATGAAGTTCCTCTCTCTTCTCCTCGCCGCCCCGGCTCTCGTCTTTGCCAGAGACCTGAGCAGTGAAGTCGTCAAGGGTACTTCTACCCACTATGGCGGTAACCTGAACGGAGGCACTTGCTCCTTCGTGTCTTACTCGCTTCCCGCCGGCATCTACGGAACTGCCTTTTCCGGCTCCAACTGGAACTTGGCTGGCAACTGTGGTGCCTGTATCGAGGTTACTGGCCCTAACGGCAAGAAGATCAAGACCATGGTAAGTTTTGATGAATCAATTGCTCAGTGCGAGCATGGGCCTTGAACTGAGGGGACTCATCCTCGGGTCTTGGGAGAGGCCACTTGCACTACTCACTGTTTATTCGTATCCGGTTTTAACACTCTGTAGATTGTTGACAAGTGCCCCGAGTGCGACAAGGGCCACCTGGATCTCTTCCAGAACACCTTTGACGCTGTTGGCGGATCCAACGGTCTCGTTTCCACCTCTTACAAGTGGGTGACTTGCGACATCACCACTCCTCTTGTTCTCCGCAACAAGGAGGGTAAGTACTCAAACTCGTCAAATCCAAGTCTAAATACTAATCATCTCAAAGGCACCAGCCAGTGGTGGTTCAGCATGCAGGTCCGCAACAGCAACGTCCCCGTCAAGAGCCTCGAGGTCAGCACCGACGGCGGCAAGTCGTGGAAGGGCACCACCCGTCGGGACTACAACTTTTTCGAGAACCCCAGCGGCTTCGGAACTCAGACTGTCGATGTCCGTGTCACTGGCTCTACTGGCGCTACCATCATTGTCAAGAACGTCAGCGTTGAGCCCATGAAGGAGACCAAGGCCGGCTCCAACTTCCCTTAAGCGGGGGCTTGACTTCTGACATGGTAACGGGCTCTGGATGTATCATGTGTCGGATGACTTGGATTTATGGTTTATGTTGTATGTATTGAAACGATAAGCACTATAGTACATGCCCACATACATTTACACAAACCTTGATTTCGATTGCACTGCCCTCAGCGATTTTGTGACTTAATGAAACATAATCATTTCGTTTGCCTTGTTCGTTCAAGTGAGCCTGTAAGGCTGAGGCCGTTTCGTGATCTACGCTCGCTAGTTTCATCCCTCGCCAATCATTACCATGTTAGAGTTGGTGATGCCTTAACACTTTGCATTATTATTAGGATGATCACCACCCGATAAGCGAATCAACCCTAGTATAGGGCACTTTTCTTAGCCATACCCGAGTGTCAGCATCCCGCCTACGCCGCAATGACATGCTTAGTGCTTATATACAACAGGATATATAAAAGTTGTCCGTCCCACTATCTGGCCAGACATATTCTAATCATTCAACTCATCTCATCTGTATAGTCAAGACAATTATCGATATGGCCTCTTCTGACACCCCAACGGCCAAGTCGGCTAACCCTACCGACCAAACCACCACCCTTCTCGACACGTTTGATCCTCGCAAGATTCGTGAGCTTTACAACCTCAAGCCTCACCCTGAGACAGGCCGTCTCATCGATTCCCACCCAGGAACGCGCACAAAGCCAATGCGTGTTCTTTGCCTTGGTCAATCGCGCACAGGCACAATGACTATCTTTACCGCTCTTCAACGCCTTGGTTACACTCCGTATCACATGACTGTCGCCATTGGAAGTCCCAAGACCAGTCTTGGCTTATGGTGCGAGGCTCTCGATGCCAAGTTCAACGGAAAGGGCAAGCCGTGGGGTCGGGAGGAATTTGACAAGATTCTGGGAGACTACGATGCTGTGGCCGATGTGCCCGCCATCTGCTTCGTCGAGGAGCTCGTCGCTGCGTATCCTGAAGCCAAAGTTGTCGTCACCCAGCGTGATGTGGATAGTTGGCTACGTAGCATGGACTCTACAGCCGGACGAATCCTCCGATGGCCTCTCTGGGAGACGCTAGGAAAATGGGATCCTGCACTGGCTGGTCCCTTTTGGGAGCACGCACTGAAAGTCATGCCTGCCAACTTCCGCACCTTGAATGACTTTTCTCCTACTTCGCCCGCACGTCAGGCCTTCATAGATCATTACGAACTGGTTAATAGAACGGTGCCTGCGGATCGGATGCTCGAGTTCCGCGTCCAGGAAGGATGGGAGCCGTTGTGCGAGTTTTTGGATGAGCCGGTGCCAGAGACAGGCTTTCCCAGGCTTAATGATGCCTCGCAGTTTGTGTTTGCGCACGGTATGATGTGGTGGCTGGCCTTTGGCAAGATGGTTGGCAAGATTTCACTTGGAGTTGGTGTTGTTGGGGGCGGAGTTGCAGCTGCTTTGTGGTGGAAGAGATTCAGGTAGAGACCATTCAGTCTTTTTACATGTACAAGCTGAAGACTAAACTGATTGGATCTGCATCTCCAAGTTTCTCTCGAGAACACACAAACGTCATGGTGTTGCATGATAAGAATGCTCCATCATTACGAAGCCGCCTCGTTGATATATATCTTTATGGCTTTTGTGTCACCTTGGCAAACATCTATCAAAGTGGAACAAAGATCCTTTTACTGAATTCATAACCAAAAGCTCAACCTTTTGCCAAAATTATTCAAATTGTGGCCACTTCACCTTGTGTTACACAGGGCTCGGAGCCCTTGTGCAACATGTCTGAATGATCGCAGCCTAGCCCAGTGTTTGATTTGCAGGAGAAACACGATCTTTCAGCCTCGCTTATTCTCCAAGACATTTCAAAGCTTTGCGAGCCCCCGGTTCTATAAACCCGTCTTGAATCATCATTCATCCATCCTGGCCCAAGAGACTCAGAAACCATGTCTACTTTCAACGAATTCCCCATCTGTACGATATGCGCAGTCAAGCTTGAACCCCACTCGCTGGCTGTGTTTGACAAGCAATTGCCCATATGTTGGAGCAGGTTTCTCTGTAAACAAATAGTTGTGGCTTTCGAAGGCCTTTACTGGCCAAAATGGGGTCCTGAACCTGCATCCCTTTCGATCCCGGATGGCGCCGCATCTCTTCGTTTTGCCAAAGTTGAATGGAGCCCTGCTCAACTAGTTACGTTGCCAGACTGCCAAGAGCTCGAATCCCAGATATTCGATGACGAGACGAGCCGAGGAACAAGAGTCTGATCACGCCCGACTCAAGGAGTTGTTTCGGGACCTTCCACAAGAATCCAAGCACCAACTCGCCGACTTGCTCCCACATGGGTCCCTACCCCTAGACTGCAACTACTTTATGCTTTAGGAAGAATGGAAGCACGTCTTTGTTAGAATTCCACTCCTGTAGGACCTTGACCACGAAGCCATTCACAAAAAGCTCTTTACGCACCACCAAACACCGAGTGGAACTGGGAGAAGTTAACCCGCCAAGTCATGAGCCTCGTCACGTAGGCCGAGGGCTCGGCTTCAGTGCTGAAGCCTGGAGCTACGGGCGAGTCGGCCTGGGTGGCCCTCCTTGGGGGCTCAGCAACCGTCGGCGAATCTGGCAAATCCTGGAGGATATGTATCCCAACGACGTGGGCACGCGGCAAAACGCGGATTTTGACGATTAAGATGGAACCCTTGCGTGACGATAACGAAGCGAGTCTGAGGTTGGATATGGAGCGCATGAGATGTGAGTCGGAGAGTTTATCACTTATAATCATGGAAAGAATACAGTGGTCATCGTCCAGGTAGCCTTGAAGCTCCCTCGGAGACCAATTCAGTACCAAGGTTCCATTATGTTTCGAATATCAAGAGAGAGTGAAACCAACTTTTCGGGGATGTTGATGCATCGGCCCAAGGAGCCTTGGTCTGTGATACCCGTCCGCGTTTTCCAGCTTGATAGCGAGCATTAGAACCCCCCTTTTTGTTCTCTCTGGATGTTCAACTCATGAATAACTTTAACTCTTATCCAACTCAAACTCTGAGAGTTCTTGTGTATTTCATCTCCCTTTATTGACCTCCTCGTACACCGGCGTTGAGGTTCGGCAAAGTGACAAAGGCCGCGGCAAGGGATAAACTTTGCCGATATTGGGCGGCGAAAATGCCCCCTTGCCGAGCACGTCAAGTTCGTTCGGCGTAGATCCAGGTTCATATTTAGTAATGGATTTGTATTCGGGATATCATGAATCAAGTCGGCTTCTTGAAATGCCATAATTAATAATTGAAAAAATTTTCACGAGATGGGAACCCATAAATAGTAAAGGGGTGAAATTGATCCTCCTCGAGAGGCAGAGCAAAGACATTACCATCAGAACATCTCAGCTTGTACATCATGACAAAACCAGCAGCTACTCAACAACTCATCCGGGAAACATTAGAGCTTTCTATCAATGGTCTAACTATTCGACTCTCGACAGTCCGGCGTGATGGACCCTTGACGCCCATCCTCTTCCTCCATGGATTCGGCAGCACGAAGGAAGACTATGTCGACATTTCGCTCGAGAAACAATTTGTCGGTCGTCCATTCATAGCCTACGATACCCCCGGCAGTGGAGAATCAACCATGTCAGATCTATCGCAGTTGTCTATGCCCCTTCTCGTCACCATCGCCGAGTCGGTCCTTGCTCACTTCAATGTTGGCCAATTCCACCTCGTCGGTCACTCCATGGGTGGCCTAGTCTCAACTTTGCTCGCAAAGAAGCATCAGCAGTCTGTTCGTAGCTTCATCAACATCAAGGGCAACCTCGCACCAGAAGACTGCTTCCTCAGCCGGCAGATTCTGGACTACCCAGCTGATGAGCCAGAAACCTTTGTCGACCAGTTCATCATCCGCACGCGCGAGTCACCACTGTACGGAAACGGCCTCTACGCATCAGCGTTCCGTGGGAGAGTGCAGACCGCAGCAGTACGGCCCACGTTCGAGTCCATGGTGGAGTGTACGGACAACGGCAACCTGTTGGAATCGTTCGAGGGCTTTCCCTTTCCGAGGACGTACATGTTTGGAGAACAATATGCCTCTCTGTCATATCTTCCAAGACTGGTTAGGGCTGGGGTTGAATTGGCTGAGATCCCTCGGAGTGGGCATTTCGTCATGTACTCAAACCCCGTGGCCATGTGGGAACGGATCGCGCAGTTTTTGAGCCGAGTTGAGCATTTTGATGGCAAGAAGAGTTCCAACTAGTCGCAATTATTTTCTTCAGCATTTATATCATAGGCAATAGAAGTCCGCCGAGCCAGAGACATACTAGGGACGGGTGGCGAATGGGAAAATATATGTAAATAGATTGCATTCGGGATAGCGAAGACCTCCAAGTCTCCTCGGGGGCATATGGCGTACCACATTCATCTCCTCTTGTATGCCGTTATCAATAAATATCTCAGGCCACGTCATAAAAGATCCAGACTCTATGCACTACTGAACCCATACGCCTCCCATTGACTCTTGACTCTTACCTTTTCCTGTATCTCCTCTGGGTAATTACCCCTGAAAGAAGCTTCCCTCAACACCAACTGATTATGTTTAAACTCTCTCAGAAAGAGGCATGGCACTCGCCAAAGACGAAGTTGTTTGCGCGTTGTTGACACCGCGTAGCAGCAGCCCAGATCACGTCCTTAAGGTTGGTAGGATCAATGTCGTCTCCCATCAGGTAAATGGTCGGGATGTAGAAGCCGGGCTTAGATGCAAAGGCGACATGGCCAACTTTGTTGCAAAACTCTTCTATGGTCGTCTTCACAGCTTAGATTTCACTTCCGCCGACTTATAGGACGAACCGGATGCAGTGAGACTCAAAAGGGTTGCAGACTATCTTGATGGGGACACCTGCGTCTTGGCAGATTGTAGGGAATTCAGCCGCTTGCATGAGTCCTCATCAGTCTCAATCTTCTCTGGCGTTCTTTCTGTGATGCAGATGGGAATAATCGGGTCATTACGGTATGTAATTGTCTTAACCTCGAAGATCGGACATTGCCTGGACTCTCCGAAGATGTGGCCGTGGTACTCAGCCATGAGCCCTTCACTTGCGGTCTCAGTGTTGGAAGCAACTCCTTTAAAGACAATTTTTACCTCAGTAGGTACGAGAATGTCGTTCATCTCACACTGGGTCACCTCGACCGCACTCTCAGTAAGCGCCCCGGTAAAGCCCATCTCGTTGACGCCCTCGGGTAGAGGCATCTCGCTGACTTTGGTGGTGGGCTCCAGATGGATTATTAAACTTGAATACTCGGTCCCGTTGCGTAATTCGCGTAACTTCAGCCAATATAAAAGTGTCAAAGACCAATGTCGAGTTGACCATGATTCGACCCTTGGCGTAGAGGATCTCCGCAACATGTCCGCTTTATCTCCTGGATCTGTCGGCTCGATCCGAAACTGGGCCCTCCTTGTGAACCAAGTTCTCGGATACATCCATCAACTATTTCTCTTGTATCTTCTCAGGCACAGGAGAATCTGTCCAATGCTTCAAGGGGTTCAATCTGTTGCTCAGAGCCCGGCAGAATGAAACCTCTCGACGAAAACAGGAAAGGGAGCTTGATCAAATTTGACTCGTACAGGGGCTAATATGCTTATCAGATGCCTCAATAATAAAAGGGCGGTTATAATGCCCCAAAATAACCTCATCGCTAAAAAAACCTCGTATTCACCCACACAAAGCAACCACCCCTGTCCCATGTCTTCCAACCCGCGGACCCCGAGGTGCATGAGGATCATGTTGGCGCTCACGAGCGCGACAGGTTCCATTCTCGGCATAAGAACCGCCATATCGTGACATCTGTAGACTGTATGTGCAAGAGCGAGAACATTTGTAACAAATAAATACGTCTCATACTTGCTCACTTGGTGATAATCAGACGTGTCTCAACCCTCAAGTGACGCAGGGCGATGAGCTTCTTTACTGCCAGCGGGACTTCTCGAGTCGAGGGTACGACTTTTGTGCTGTGTAGCATGAAAACGCCGTTGGCTATCAGCACGGGGTACTGCGACGATCCCATCTCGCGTTCCGCGGACGTGGTGCTCAAGGAGCGGCATAGACTCGTGCTTGTGACGAGAGAGTCTTCCTTTAGCGGTATCCATCTTCAGTGGATGGCATGGTAGATCACAGTGTTGGGAAGATGCTAGACTTGTTTGACTTAGAAACTACGGAGTTGGATCGGTGAAACGGGTTTCAAAAGTCATAATTGGGTTCTATTAGTGGTGGAAGTTTCAGAGCGGCTTCAGTTTGGTCAACTGTTAACTACCCAGATAGGGTTTCAAATGGTGCTGTATCTTTACTTACACCCGATCAGATCAACTAGGCACCCGACTTGTCTTGGCATACACTTCCGTTACGATGGAGCCTATAGGATTACATGGACAGCATCCACTCAGCTAAGGACCGAACCGAGGCAAGAGAATCAAACCATTTATCAAGGTCCTTGCCAAACAGTCTAAACCACAATTGCAAATCACGAAACATCAAAAGCTCTCGGCTACCGTTAGTCATCATCTACTATAATTATCAAAACTACTCATCAAACTCCCTTGCAACCCATTACCACATCAGCCCGGCAGTTCCACTGCGTTATCCCTTCCAAACTGTGTACTTCCTTGCATCTCCTGCGGTCCCCAGCCTGCCAGTTGTTTCGGTCCCCGGTGAGCCCATGTTTGCAGCGGCTCTTGTGGAGGTGTGCCTTGCTCTGTCGTTTCTGGTTTTGTGCCCTGGCTGCGGTTTCGACGTAATAGATAGAGCGAGCCGAGGGCGGTGCTGCAGACTACTACCAGACCTCCGATGACACCTCCGATTATGGCGCCTGTGTTTGTTGGAGAACCACTTGAAGAGTCCTCTGAAGACCCTTCTGAGGCTTCAGGGGTAGCTTCACTTGTTGTCTCCGCGGAGGTGTCTGATTCGGTACTCGCCCCTACGGCTCCAGAGACTCCCTTCGCTGTCTCGGCGGTGGGTTGCGTTGAAAATACGCTCACCGTCCTGGTCAGTTTCATGGTTGCGGTAGTAGTCCCGTCGATGGTTGCTCCTTCGGTTGCATTCGGTGTTATTTGATAATATTCAGTAGCAGCTCTAGCTCCGCATTCAATGTTGGTGTAGGTGTGGCTCTTTTGAATTGTAAGAACAGCAAGGGAGCAATATTCCTTCTTTTCACTACCACGACGTCAATTGTTTAACCCTCAACACCAATGGATAGCAGCGTACCAAGACACAGCAAGCAACTCTGATTGAGTCATCTTGCCACATCCCTTTTTACAATCATGTTGATCAAAGCACCTCCCAACCATGCCACAGTGCTCCAGGTCAGCGTTGACGTCGCAGTACGCAAAGAGCTTGTTCTTGGGGTTCAAGAGGCACTTGTGCCCCGGCTCGGCGGTCCTCGGTTTGTCGGGGTCACCCTTCGCGTAGCCGCATGTCGAGTACTCGGTAGTTATTGCTCGCGCTAGCAGACGTTTGCCGATGGGCGGTGTCTCAGTTACGGATGGGATGGCGTGGGCGAGAGACAGGCTGTGAAACATTGTGAGGAGAAACCAGAACACGCGAGACATGATTGGATTTAATTTTCCTCCCTTGATGGGAAAATGTGAGTATCAGTATTTTGAAAAATGCGGTAAAAACAAAGAATGGGAGTCGGAAGGGGGCTCTAGCCATCGGATCAGCCACAGATAAAGCACCGCAAGTGATGCCTCCATATGCCCACTGCGGGTCGATAAATCATGCCTTCTTTGCAGCCTCATTGTACAACTCATAAATCCCATGTCACGCACAGCCCGACCAGGGATATTTCATCTGTTGGTAGCATCTCAAGATCAACATCCTCGCCCTTGATGGTGTTTCAGACGTCGTCTGTCAGGCTTTGATTGGGCTTCCCGAATTGGATCTTCCCTGCAGTGAATCAATGACTTGCACGATCATGATTGGTCAGTTGAAGCGGCCGATTGGACCCTTGTAAAGGACCCCGGGGACTCGGCACGATGCAGTTAGGGCAGCCACCAACGGGCTGCCGCTAAAGTCTCACCTTGACTGCAGGATTGAGGCGGAGGTGGGCGAGGCGGGCACCAGAAGGAAATGAAATGAGAAAGAAGTAGGCTGGCCGATGAAAAAGGCGCGTGCCCCTGACAGGCTGGCTCGTGTAGGATGCCCAGGTTGGGATGGCGTGGACTCGTGTAATGTTCAATAGCCTGTGATAGCGTCTTCGAGTGTGATCTCGCAATGGAACTTCCAAAACAGGTGGGCCTCGGCTGCTGGGAATACAACGCATCACCTGCTGAAGCCGCCCTCGTATGGCTGAGGTTCAGTGCCAGCCAGTGACGCTCGTTGGGTGTCACTACCCGCCGCCACCCGTTGAGAATGACACCCTAGGAATTAGACACGGGGTTTAAACACTACCACGTAGTATTTATATCGAGAGGGAAGAAGTAGATGGGCTGATCCATTCGTTTCCCGCACCCGTGGCTTATCCCTGCTGACGGGCTGTCACTGTCTGGGCTGTCATCCATTGATTGTCACTGTGGGGCTTCTCTGTTCATTCTCATCTCATCTCATCTCAGCCGCTCGACTATACCTACCTCGAGTGCCCATCTTTTTTTTCTTTTCTTTTCCATCGTCAGCAGAACTTCATTCTGTCTGTCCAGTCTTTTTATTCTCTCCATGTCATGACAAGGTCGAAATGCGTCAAAGGGTTATCCTCTTGTTTGTACCAGCCTTGTGCTTCTTGCTGATCGCCACGAGCCTGTATCTTGGCCGCGAGAACCTCACTCGGCTATCGAATTTTTATTTGCCAATACAGCATTCGACAGACTCGGCTGAAGCTCAATCTTCAGAGACGACTTCGTCTTCATACGCGACTACGACGACACGCCCATATTATCTCTCGATTATACCCAATCCTCCATCCTCAACATCAATTCCCATCGCGACCTCCACTTCATCTTCATTCTCAACTCCCACACCGATCCTGGTCGCTACCAAGACAGGCTCCAACAACACAATCGCGACACCTCTTTCTTCCGAACCCCCACAACCGTCCATAAAAAATGGTGAGCGCTGCCTCGCATCTTTACTCTCGATATTTATTAACATCACTCCCAGGAGCCATCCTCTCGGCCAAGCGCATAAGACCGTACATCAACGCCATTCTCGACCCCGCATCCAACGAGCTCCCGCGCCTCGAATGTCCCGCCTTGGACACTGAGCGATACGCCAGCCTTGTTAAGAAACGAGACGCGCGAGATGACAAGCCTCACATTGACTACTTCTTCACCCTTAATTTGCGCAATGTTGTAGACCTGCTCCCCCGCCTGTTGGGCAGTGTTGTGGAGGCTATGCGCTTCCTCGGTCCAGAGCGCTGCGCCTTGTCCATCGTCGAGGGTAACTCTCCAGACGGCACAGCCGATGTCCTTGTCGCACTGCGACCATTCCTCGAGGAAATCGGTGTCACCTACTTCTACAACAATTCGGCCATCAATCCCTCCGACGGCGCGCGCATCCGAAAGCTGGCGCAGCTGCGCAATCTCGCCCTCCAACCTCTCTTCAAGAAAAAGGTCCCAGTGTCGGATGAGACGACGGTTCTCTTCATCAACGATGTCGCCGCTTGCACCGAAGACCTTCTCGAGCTTGCGTTTCAGCGCAAGAACCTCAACGCCGACATGACGTGCGCCATGGATTGGACCTACGCATCCGACGATCCCACCTTTTACGACGTATGGGTCGCGCGTGGATTAGACGGCGACCTCTTTTTCAACATCACCTCAGAGGGCAGCTGGGATTTTGCGCAGAACCTCTTTTTCAGCGACCCCAAGACCAAGAGCCGCTACGAGGCCGCTCTCCCCTTCCAAGTGTTTGCCTGCTGGAACGGCGCGACCATTTTCTCAGCTGCGCCATTGCTCAACGGCCTGCGATTCCGCGATTCGCGAAAAGACGAGTGTTTCCAGGGCGAACCGCAGCTCTTCTGCAAGGACCTGTGGTTCAAGGGCTACCGCAAGATCGCTGCTATCCCGAGCGTCAACCTCGAGTACACGGACAAGAATGCCAGGAGGCTCAAGGAGCTCAAGGGCTATACGAGCCAGGTGGTGGCAGAGGAGGATGAAGCGAATGTTGGGATCGAGTGGCAATACGAGCCACCCCAAAAGGTCAAGTGCATGCCTGAATTCCACAGGCAAAGCTGGCTGCCGTGGGATGAGCACTTGCGTTAATGAATCGTTGATTGTATTGATTATGTACAGTATACCCAAATAGATGATTTCAGGCGTCGGTTCTGGCGTATGGGAAATGGCATCTCGCAGTTTTCGCAATTTTTGTTTCTTGACGGGCATGTTACATTGAGAGGTGGCGCCAGATTGATTCGACCAGGCGAAGCCATCATGAGACACGGGGCGCCTCCTCCGACCAACACTTTGAAGGCTGGCGCTAAGAACGGCCAGATGAACTTAAACGGTCAGTCCGTGTGTCTCTATCTTTAGTTCTTGGCTGACAGATGGCTGAGCCTAGCAAGGCTGTTGCTTACATGAGGGCATCCACTCCGAACACTACAACGCCAAGTCGCCGAAGCTAAACACCAAAGGCTACTTCACGATCACGAGCAAATACCATGACATTCTTACAAGAGTTTAATTATTTTCGTCTAGTCCATCGTGACTATGTGTCGCCTCAAACTTATTTGTGCTAGTAACATGACTGAGGCATATCCCATTCCCTTAACGAGCAATACTTTGCCGATTTCCGGTGATTACAATCGCGTTCCAGTGCGACATCGCTCGATCTTATCAATCAACCTCCGCTACCAAAATCCACTTTCGAAACTCAGACTCAGATACCCTTGCCCTGGATGCGCTCCGCAGCGATCCCGTACGAAGCGAGGGTGTCGCCGACCTCGCAGGGGTCAGGACCAAAGTCGACCTTTTCGAAACCCTCGGGTCTATCCTTCTCCAGGGCCATCTTGCCCATCTGGGCCTGGCACCGGAAACTTCCAAACTTGTACTCGACGACGGAGCGCCCGCCCTTGTGACGGTTGCCCTGGTTGATGAGCTCGATGATCTCGTCCACCTCGAAGACGAAGCGCGCCTTGAAGAACTCGGTTAGACTCTCGGGGTTGACAAACGTCGTCTTGCCCGTGACGATGAGCACGCGGGAGGCGTTGCCAGTCAGTGTCTGGGCGCCGTACTTGACTCGGTTGTGAGTGACCTTGACAGCGTAGCCGTTGACCTCGAGGCCCTGGGTGAGAGACTTCTGGAGGAGGCGCTGGGCGGGAGAGGGCGTGAAGAAGACGACCTTGGCGGCGGCCGTGTTGTGACGTTCATAGTCAGGGGCGTTGATGACGGTGCACCAGATGCGGCCGACGTTGCGGATCTGAGCCAGGAGCTGCTGGTAGGTGACGTCGGGGGGAAGGTTGGTGAGCCAGAGCGCGCAGTTCTGCTCGAAAGGCAGGTCGTCGACACTGGCGTTGCGAACGCTATGCTCTCCGCGATAGTTGGTCGAGAAGGCTCGAGGATCAGCAGGGAGAACCTCGCGAGGGTTGATGCGGGCGCCAAAGGCTCTCTCATTGTGCGAGATGGCAGCCATGGGACGGAAACCACGAGGAGACGAAGGCGACTGCTGCTGAGCCGGTGGGCTCCGAAAGATGACGGTCTCGGCCGAGGTGTGGTTGGGATTGTCGAAGCTCTGGTTGTCGAAACTCTGGTTCTCAAAGTTCTGGTTGTTCCAGACGGGATGGTACTGAGGCTGCAGAGGTGTCTCGGGGGCTTGGACACGACGGGGAGCGGAAGACTCGTTCATCGTGAGCTGAGAGAAACGAGAGAGGCCCTCCCAGATGGAGGCATCAGACTCCTGACGAGTGCTGGCCGAGGTAGCATGGTCTGCGGGAGGAGCAATTGGCTGGCGAAGAGGGGCAATGGGAGGACCAGTTGGCAGACGAAGAGGGGCACCGGGAGGAGGGTTCTGGAGGATGTACTGAGCGACACGAGACTGAAGAGCCGGTTCCTGCTCGACACTGCTGCCAGCTGGAGCATAGCTGAGGACGTTGGTGCCAGAGGGATGAGATCGAGGAGGGACAACAGTGCTGGTGGATCCACCCGACAACCGGTTCCAAGGAGACTCAGACGCAGGAGGGGAAGAAGACTGGTCCTGACCACCACTGCGAGCGTTGTTGGCAGCCCAGATCCGAGCCCCACGCAGGCTGGGAGATTCGTTGCTCTGAGCCATGATGGCTAGCTTCCTTCCCATGACAAACCTCGAGATCTCAGTGTCAGATTCGAGGCCTCTGAGATCAGTCGGGGGGGTAGAGTGAGGGTGAGAGTCTGGCGTTGACATTCCCGGGCTTGAACCCGAAGTATCTGGAGTCTCGGGACGAGGCATCTTGAGACAGTCGACAATGGGATATTTTTTGCAAAGATATTGATGCTCCAAATGGTGTTTGATGTGGTGGTTGTTTTGACAATTGATGCCAAAAAGGGGCGTATCAATACTCTCTGCCTGTCCAAGTCGGGAAGATGAAGAAGAATGTGAGGTTGAAGAAGGTGAGTATCTGGATGCGAAATCTGAGGGGAGCAATTTATAGACGCGGTCGTCATTCAAGTTGCTATTGTCAATGCCAAAGAAGAAATAAAAATTATCCCATTTAGGACAAAGAGATAATTCTTCTCAATGCAGCATTCTAGAAGCCGTGCCGTCGTCGTCACTGGCAAAAATGCACGCTTGGGTGGGAAGTGGGGATGAGAAACACGGGAAGAGGAAAAGAAAACGACATGAAGAGGGGGGAAAAAAGGTTGAAAGAGAAAAGAGGCAAGAGAAGAGAGGTTGATATATGTAGAAGAAAAGATTGGTGTCTTTCTTGTGTTGCCGGTGATGCTGCCAAACATGGACAGCTGCAAGTTTACTATCCGTTTGTTCTTTTTTCTTTTTCCTTCTCACACACCCATCGGGTAGCTGCGCGATGGGGCGTGAAGACGAGAGGCGGCAAGCGACGTGACTGACGGGAAGTCTATTCCCTTTGGTATGGTTACAGTTGGATGTGTCTCTTCTTCTGGTGGTGTTGATGTTTGAGTGTGCGGTCTGTCAGTGCCAGGCTGCCAGTGATGGGCATGCACTGCGGGTGAACTGCACCAGATCATTCACTTGACTCTAGGAAACAATTGGTCACAGTCTGAGTTGGATCACAACAACAGCTCTTTGTTCTATTTTACTGAATAGGTGACTTGTCGCGATGCAAGAGTGGTGCCTGAAGCAGTGACCTGACCCTCACGGTGCCTTGACATGTTACATCAGACATGGCACTCGTCAAATAACAAGAGGCCTTGAGGTCCAGAGACACAGATTCATCTTCTCTTAAGACAAAGAAGTTGAAGATTTATGTCACAGTCATAGTCCATCGAGAGAGTTTCCTCTTCCCTCCCCCCTCGTTGCGTCCCCCATCTGCAAGTCTCCGTCATCCACAGCCGGGACGCATCCCCGGCGCATGAAAGAAATTCACCGACATTCTAGAAGGACCAGCCTAGAATCCCGTGACACGACGCTCAAACCGGGGGATTTCCTTGGTGAACCTCTTCGGATCATCCCTCGCCCCGTCCTTCCAGTACTCATATTCTATCCACGCATTCTCGGGCATCTGCTCCTCCATGGCCGCCATCCACCGACCAAGCTCGGGGCTTAGAGGTATTACGCCTGTCTCTAGTACGTACTGGTCCCAGAGTTTGAGGAGCTCTTGTAGACGGTCAGGCTCGGAGTCGGCAAGGTCGTGTACCTCTCCTGGGTCGCGCGCGAGATTGTACAATTGCCAACGCTCAGGACCTTTAGGCTTTGGGATGAAGACTATTTTCCAGTCTCCCTTTCGGCAGGCTGCGCGACCACAGGTTTCCCAGCCGTTGATAAAGTCTTTGTCGTGGATACGGGAGGATGTGCCGGAGAGGTAGGGAACCATGGATCTACCTCGCATGGAGACCACCTCGCGGCCTTGATAGGTCGGGGCAGGGTGCTTTGCACCAGCCATATCGAGAATAGTCGGTGCGAGGTCCATGACTGTAGCGAACTGATGGGTGATGTCGTTGGGCTTGAAGGTCTGAGAGAAGGAGGACGGGGGCTTCATCAAGAAGGGAACTCGAACACCTCCTTCAGTCGTGTATGCTTTGTAGAGTCTGCTTGGCGCTGTAGCAGCTTGAGCCCATCGCGGCCCATACCAAACGAATGAATTCCCGTTGCCAAGGTTATCCAGACTGTTGTCATAGTACTTTTTGAGATGCTGCATCATGGATCCTTGAACAATGGGGTACGCCTCATAAGCCGCACCCTCAGCGCCGTTGTCTGAAAGGAAGCACACAAAGGTATTGTCAAGCTCCCCAACCTCTTCCAGGTAGTTCACCACTTTTCCAACGTTGACGTCGATGCATTCAACCATAGCCGCAAAAACCTCCATCGCGCGACACGAGTTGGTGCGTTCCTCGTCGGTCATGTCGTTCCACTCTTTGACTTCTTCGGCCACAACGGGGTGAGGCACGGCATCTTTTGGGATGAGTCCGAGGTCTTTGAGCTTTTGTAGGCGCTTGAGCCGGAGAGCGTCTGGGCCGTCGTCGTAGACACCTCGATACTTTTTGATGTACTCTTGGGGAGCTTGGAGAGGCCAGTGAGGAGCAGTGAAGGGTAGATATGCAAAGAATGGTCTCTCGTCACCACCTTCTTTCCAATCTTTGAGATACTGCAACATCTTGTCGCCGTATCCGTCAGAAGAGTACCACCCGTCGGGTAGTTTCCGGACGTATTCCCCATCCTCACTGTGAAGGGCAATGACGCTCATGGTCAGGAACTCGGGCGATTCCTCGCCCTTCTCAAGCTGCGGTTCATATGCGTAGTGATTACTGCACGCCGGTAGGTGGGCGAAGCTGCGGTTGAAGCCCCTAGCCTTGGGACTCCTCTCGGGCGTGAGACCAAGATGCCACTTGCCAGCCATGAGGGTCTGGTAACCAGCATCACCAAGAATCTCAGGCAGTGCAACGACCCTCTCGTTAAGATACCCCTCATACCCAGGCATGCCTCGCTGAACGTTAGTCGACATGGTCCCATTGGGATCATTCTGCCCGGAGACGTTGGTCCACTCGATGAGGTTGCCCAGACCAGCAATGTGGTGGTCCGTTCCAGTCATGATCATGGCCCTAGACGGCGAACAAGCAGCCGCGGCGTGAAAGTCTGTGAAGCGGATACCATTGTTGGCGAGTTTGTCGAGGTTTGGGGTGTTGATCTCGCCGCCAAAGGAGGCAATGTCTGAGAAGCCGAGGTCATCAGCCACGATGACAAGGAAATTGGGTCTCTTTGAAGCCATATTCAACTCGATAACCTTGAAGTGATTGAAAACTCAGTTGGATTCCCATCATATTGACTCAATGCTGCCCTCTTATACCCGGCGCTCTGAGGAGGTTGACAGTTGGTGGGGTAGACACCGTCGGATTTGTCCTCCAGGCCGAGTTCCGATGTCGACGGTTACATGAGCAGCAACCTATCAGCTCATCAACAAGGTCGCAAATATGATGATCAAATGCGCCACAGGGATCCTTGGGAGCTTGAGTGTTGACGCAGTTCATTTGCATTGGTGCGGTTCTAGGTCGCTGTCGAGGTGCATCGGATCTCGCTCGCTGATGACCAAGCATTGATGGCATTGCAACAGACGACGCTATTGCAGTTTTGGGAGCTCTGGGATGGGTTCCTCGGTTCTCATGATGAGCTGCTGTCCAGTATCATGAGTACTGCATGTCAAACGAATGTCCGGCTGGTTCGAGTAGATGAGGCCTTCATGCTGAATACTCTCTCAATCACCAGCCAGCCACTTGCCTCCAAACAATGAGAGCTTTCGTGGCGGCAGCTCGAATTCTTGAATTCAAGGGCATATAAGCGCTATGCAATACCAGCTCCTCCTGGTAGGGCCTAACAGAGGTCCCAGAGCTCAACAGCTCGGCCATAATACAAGTAGGAGTCAATTGACCCAAGGTGAAACCAGCTCCCCGATCCTGACGCCTGGAAACCCAAATCTTTGGCAATGTAACCAGGCATGACTTCCAGACCGGACAGGTAGTTGAGGTTCGCAGTTTTGATGACGTTTCACCCACAGTGGGGATGATGGATAGACCCAGAGGCAAAAAAGAGATGCTCCGCCGCGACTAGTCGAGCAGATCAAAAAAGAAACGCTTGCGGTTTATGTGGATCGAACACATGACCTTCAGATATCGGATGATTGAAGTTTGACTTCAGTCTGACGCTCTCCCAACTGAGCTAAACCCGCTTGATGAAAACCGTTGCACTTACATCCATACTTGAGCAGGAGCTGAGGGGAACGATCAGCACTGGAACGCTGCCAACCCGATCACACCAAACAATCAGGTTAAACCCGTCTACGGTCAATTGAGAGTGTGTATACTAGCTTAACATCTTTGTAACAAGTCAATTGGAGGTTTGCATACGATGCGCATGATACTGTGCTCTCTTGATCCCCAACCGCAGGAGAATGCTCGCTCATCCTCCCAAGATCTTCCCAAACTCGCGCTGTATGCTCAGAGCTCGACACTTCGAGATGCATGACAAGACAACTCTCTAATGTGAAAAGTCTTATTCAAGAAGAATCTCAGAGATAAATCAAATCCCCATTCCGCTACATTTTCCAGAGATGCCGTGATCTCCTGCTGTGTAAGGTTCTCATCTAGGGTAAGATGGAAGGAGCTGGATCGAGTTCCTTCCTACCTCCCACTGGCCCGTGCACACAACTTCACCTTGACTCGAGTTGCCATTCAACAAAACAGAGCAAGAACATCCATGCTAACCCAAGCCATTGAAGATGCTCTATCGTGCCCGCGCTTCAATTTACCTTGCTGCACAGCGATTTCGTCAGAGTTATGCCGGTGCGATCAATGAGATGGCCAGACGCCAGCCTCAGGTTGGTTGGCAATACCATGCTGGCTTCATGATGTTGAGGGAAGTCCAATCTGTCATGACAACATCTAGCGAAGGACGCAGTTTCCAACAAGATGCTAGAACTACACGCCACTGGCCGAGTTTGGAAATGACCACTGCGCTATGATACGCTGCCCGTGGCAGGCGCATTACAGGTTGCCTGACTTTCATCTCGTGGCTCTCTACTAACTCCATGCCTCTTCCAGCACGGGACCTCGTGGAACTGAACTTGTTCATCCATAGATCATCATCCAGCATTTACCATCGTCTAATTCCGTCCATTATTATACAGACAAGTCCCTCACCATGTCTCACTCCGACCCCCACGACACTCACCAGGGCCTGCATGATAACCTCGATCAGAAGCATTCGCCTTTTCCCGAGCCTGCTGATCTCCCGAGAAACGATGAAATACAAAATACCGAAACCAAGGAAACCCAAAACTCCCATTCAGTTACAGAACCAAAAGTCGAGGTCTTTTACGAAGAAAGCTGCTCGGACGGCAAATATCACTGGACGATAGAATCCCCGCCACAGATCTCGAAAGAGGCTGCCAACGCTTTGGGGCGCGCCGATATCAAGCTTTTCAAGATCAAGGACCATGACAAATTCGTTTTCAGTGGCAGGTATCCCATGAAACCCTACCGTGTCGAGGTGCAAAACCCTCTGTTGGTTGGTGCTCTCGCGCCCATCGTCAGAAAGGAGAACGTACATCTCGACCCTCTAGCCGTTGCAGTTTTCAAGGAGCCCTTTTACCCTCTTTGGTTCCGGCACGAGGAAATTGTCGACCTCTACAACAAAATGCAAGGTGACGAGCTCGAACCTCTCCTCAAGGCGTTCATTTTTGTACTTGCCGAGCTATTCCTGGAACTGACTGCAAAGGCGGCTGGACTCCAAGGTATTGGCCTGACCAACTTCAAGATAGCCTGGACATTGTTTCCTCGCGATTCCACCGTCTACGGCCGTTCGTTGAACTCCGAGTTTGTCGGCAAAGTCGATTCAATTAAATACGAGGGGTGCCCGGGAGAGCGCCGGCTTCTCATCACTTGCAAGACTATTTCTGCCTCTGGCGGGGGCTTCTTTTGGGAGCAAAGGATCATGACCATCCCGGAATTTACTGGCAACAAACCAATTCATGAACTGGGCTGCTGGCGCCTTTGGTTACGCAAGGACAAAGAATTGATCACGGAGCGTCTCACTGCGCGAGGCAGAAAGGTTCTTGAGCTGCAGGGCTTCGCACATTGCACTTACAATGGTATCGTCGTACGAAAAACAGATTCCACCACTCTGAGGCGCAATGTGAACGGCCGCATCGTAATCGATCCACAGGGCTATGACAAGTATTGCTTGAATCAGGGGCAGCGAGAGATAAATGACCCTGAGAAAGACTGGATGCTCCCGACATTCGAAGAACTCATCTTCATGAGCGAGACAATTAGTGGTTTCTCCCTGAAGGATAAATTGTGGTGTAGGTATTGTCTCTCTTGAATGCTCCAACGGCTAGCTGACGATTCTTTTGTCTAGTCCAATTCTTCGTCGAAGACATTCAACCCATTGATTGGCACGACGAAGCTTACTCGGATTTCGTTTTCCACGAGCAGAAAAAAGAACTGGTTCTTTCCCTTGTTCTGAATCACAACATGAACAATGGCACTTCAAGGGCTACGCAAGATGTCATTGTAGACAAAGGAAAAGGTCTCATTGTCATGCTCTCGGGCCCTCCTGGCACGGGCAAGACTCTGATGGCTGAAGCCATCGCAGATCATCTCCATCGGCCCCTCTATCGCCTGGAAGCCAAAGACCTGGGTACTCAGGCCGCATCCCTGGGCACCAACTTCAAGCGCGTCTCAGAGCTGACAACGGCGTGGAATGCGATAATCCTACTAGACGAGGCAGAGGTCTTCATGGCCCCGCGGGAGCCCGGCCATGTTTCGCAAAACGGATTGAGCAGTGCCTTTCTTCGCGAGCTCGAGTATTTTAGTGGCATCATCTTTCTCACAACACATACGATCAAGACAGGTATCGATAGTGCGTTCCGCGGCAGGGTCAGCGTGCACCTCGTGTTCCCCCCCTTCACGCAGCAGACGCGTGAGAAAGTCTGGAGCATGTTCCTCAACCGTCTGTCGCAGCAGAGAAGACGTATCTCGGAGGGAAGGGAAGACGTGGCGCCAGACGAACCTAACGACGAACCCTACGCCATATCGGTGGATGACAAGGACGTCGCACAGTTGGCTTTATGGGGACTTAACGGCAGAGAGATCAAGACAGCCATCCAGATAGTTCACAACTGGTGCTGTAACAAGAACTGCGAGATGACGCTGGCCCGGTTGGAGCATGGAATTCGACTCGTGAGCCCATTCTCTAGCAAAGATATGGGGCTATTCGACGATTCAGGTTGATGGGTGTACGAACAACAGATCCGGCTGCTGCGATGGAGTTGCTTGAGCGAGGCGACAACTTGGGGGACAAGAGTCTGTTGACAAGGATTTCCCAATGATGATTCCGTACAACGATGGCATATCTGCCACATCTGTTTCGCTGGACGTAAATATCTTGGCCGTCCTCGTTTTCTCGGTATAGCGTCAAGTAAATCGCACTTGTCAAACCATGAGTTCGTTTGTAACGTTGCAAAGACCCCAGAAACGCTCTTCTCTCTAATCAGGCAGTCTAGATTCATCATGCATACAAATATGTGACCGCATCATCACAACTTGAACAGAACATGTCAACTCGTACTCAAGTGTTTGTATTGATTGACCTCAAAGCATTGTTTCTCATGATGCTATTCCATTCCTTGCCATTCCGTTCCTCATCCATCGCAGAACCTTCATCTACCGTAACGCCAAGACACAAAAGCCATACCCCCATCCAAGCCACATAACCATCCACTAAGCAGGTTTCCCACCCAATTTTTCAGATACGTATTCATCAATGTCTACTTCAACAGGTACTCTCAAGCCTTTGATCGAAGTCCCCTCCTCACACCTGTCTGAGCCGCCCTGCCCTTCTTGACGACACCCTTGGGAGAAGCAGCCTTGACCGCCGGCGCCTTTGCAGCTCGTCCTCGCTTTGTCGCAGGGGCATCCGAGGACTTTGTGCTGGGGAGCTCGCCCTTGCCGGACTTGGCTTTGGCGGGTCTGCCACGGGTCTTGGACTTGGGCTCTTCCTCCTCGACCGCAGGCTCTGTGGCCTTCTTCGCGGCACGACCACGGGGCTTGGCAGCTGGTTTAGCCTCCTCCTCTACAGGAGCAGCCTTGGCACGGCTAGATCTGCCGCGTGTAGGAGCTGGTTCCTCAGCCGCGGGCTTGGTAGCCTTGGTTGAACGTCCGGTCCGTCGCCCGGTGGCTGGTTCATCGTCCTTAACGACTGGTTCCTTGGCCTTTCGGGTGGCACGGCCCTTCTTTGCTGGGGCCTCAGCTGCTTCAGGCTCGGGCTCGGCGGCAGCCTTCTTGGATCGGCCACGCTTCTTTGCAGGAGGCTCGGGAGATTCGGGCTCTGCTTCGAGCTCGGCAGCTGCTCGCTTAGAACCGCGCTTCTTGGTAGTATCAGCTGCAACACCATTGGTCTTGGTGGTTGTGCCAGTCGATCTTCCGCGTCGCGTAGAAGTGAGCTCTGGCTCAATCGCAGCGTTCTTGGCCATCTTCTTAGAAACGGCGGCAACTCCACGCTTCTTGGCCGGTGCGGGTTCGGATGCCTCTTCGACAGCCTTGGCTGCTGCTCCCCGACGGGCTCGCTTGGGAGCTGGAGCTTCTTCCGGCGCAGCCTTGGCCGCGCGACCTCGCTTCTTTGGCATGGGCTCCTCTGCGGGGGTGTCTTCAGTTGCAGCAGCACGGCCGCGCTTCCTGGTCTTGGGCTCTGAAGCGGGTTCTTCGGGCTTTGCGACGTCAGGATTCTTGGGTGGACGTCCGCGTCTCTTGGGAGCCTCTGCAACTGCAGCATCTGTGGACTTCTCCTGCTCCTCAGGCTCGGCAGCAGCCCGGCGGCTCCTTCGTGTGGGAGGTTGAGCTTCAGATTTGGTAGCAGGCGCAGCTGCTTTCCTGCCTGGTCGAGCTCGCTTGGCAGGGGAGGGAACAGCACGTGGCTTCACAGTTCGTGTGCTCTTAGCAGATCGACTGGTGCTCTCAGGCACCTCAGCTTCAGGAGCCTCAGCCTCAGCATCGGTAGGGGTTGGCTGAGGAGTGTTCTTTGGAGGCCGACCACGTCGCTTGGGAGTGGTGGCAGGTGTCGTGACTGGAGTGGCCGCATTTGACACTCCACGAGAACGGACGCTGGAAGTTCGCGCCGCCGCTGTTCGAGGCCTGGGTGCGGTCTTTGGGGATCGTGCGATGGTGACCCGTCGGGGAGTAGGTGCGGCCTTGCTGGCGCTAGCAGCACGGCGACCTCTGGCAGATGGGACAGCAGCACTTGAAGCGGCGACTGGGGTTGCATCCGATTTCCTTGGTCGACCTCTCTTTCCAGTGCTCGGAGCTGTAGCTGGTGTGGCTGTGACATCGCTCTTTCGCGGACGCCCACGCTTCTTGGGCGTTTCAGTCGTAGCAACACTGGCGAGCATGGACTTGCGTGCCCTCTTTGCAGCAGATGAAGGTGCCTTAACAGCAGGCGAGACAGGTGCAGAGGCAAGGCCACGACGCGCACGAACACCCTTCACGGCAGACCCAGCAGCGCTCGACAAAAGCTCCTTAGTAGTTCGTCGGCCTCGCCTGGAAGAAGGTGGCGCGGCAGACTCTTCTACCTCCTCCTCCTCATCAGAGGCAAGGATTTCATCACCAAAGGCGGCCTTCTCTGGCTCTGTCAAGGACTTGAGCTCGACAATCAGAGAGGGGGTCGAGAGCGCTCTACGCGCATGAGGGCTATCTGGCTGGGCTGGTAGGACAACACCCGGGGGCGCCGACATTCGCTTTGTTGAGTCCGTCTCAATGGAGGGCAGTGTCAGTTTGGTGCTGGCACCCTCCGCAATGGCTGGTGCAGACTCTGGGGACTCCCGCAGTTCTTGGGGGGCAATCTCATTGTCGACGGGTTCAGGCGGCGTTTCCTCAACACGTTCGCTCTCGTCACGATGAGCAGGCTCATCATGTTGCTCAAATCCCGACTCGGGCTCCTTCTCGGACGACTGGATGACGGTTTCGGTGATTTCAATTCGCGTCTCGATTGTGGTAGGCTCAAGGACACTGTCGTCCGGCTCCTCGGCGGCGATTTGGTGATTGATGGCGTCATCTTCAGCCTGCGCAGCCGATTCTTGCAACGGCGACAACGGGGCACGTCCAGGCGACGAGGGGTTGGCGGGTTCAGGCGCGTCGGCATCTTGAGGAGCAGACTCTTCGGATGGAGTGGAAAGGTTTGTGGGTTGAACGAGTCCAGAAACTGTTGGCGACGCGAGATTATCGACACTGGTATCAAGAATTGACGAGTCGCGCTGCCAAGGCCAGCTACGGGCGGGAGGGTTTGGGCTGATTCCCATGGAAGCGGGCTCTGGGACGGTCGCGCGAGGCATAAACATGGGATTGAAGAGAGGGGACGTCTCTGGGCGATAGGACTCGGCGAAAGAAGCATCATCGGCCTCAATGTCGTTAACACGGCTTCCAATGGGGTTGGGCGCACCAGGCGACGATGATGCGACCATCACACGCTGGTTAGAACCGAAGCCCAGCCAACCTGTAGATGATGCAGAGCCAGAGGCACCATCCTGGCCAAAGTTGAAATCCATTGCGATGATTGAAACCGCGGGCGACAGCGCGGGAATATCGCGATGGAACTGTTGTTGTTTGTTGTCAGACTTGGCTGGCGAACGGACGGACGATGGCGATGATGTAGGAGCTAGGACGTGTTAATGGGCGGGACGACGCGCTTCCGGTTCCGTTTACGCGAGGCGCGTCTTTTGCTGGGAACAGAGCAAAACGACAGCTTCAACAGACGAGCCCCACTTTGCCATCAGCCGAGCTTTAGCTGTCCGCGGAGTCGGCTTCGCGCTGTTCAATTGGTGACATGATTGTCCATTCGGAAACGTCTCGGCGAACCAGGAATGGCCATTTTAATGCTTCCAGGAGACCGAGGCTTGGCACTTGGCATCGACGACGTCGGGTCTATTCAAGGCGGGGGTTGTTTAACCAAGAAATGGATGCGATTCACATTCTTATCATGCATTTGCCATGTTTCTGCGCATCTTGTCTCTCTCCCCTTTTCGTTTTCTCTCTCTCTCTCTTTTTGGCTGTCTATTTTCCCTTTTTTCTTTTTCTTACCTCATGAAATCTCTGCACATGGACCCATGTTACACGAAATACGCAGGGCTTGCGTTTGCAGCCCCATCATATTGGTCAAAAGCATCAAATTCTCTTCCCTTGCATGAACTCATGATGCAGCCTGTGACTTGGAAAATACTTGCTAAGGCAGAGAAAAATAAGCAATGGCGCTAAATTCTTCGCTCCCGTACTCCCGAATGTAAGATGTCTTCCAGCATGTGATATTCGCCTGCCACTGCCAGGTGATGCCCTCTCAATTCCGCCCTGGCACTGCCACCGCCAACAAGCTGTCAGATCACCCAATTCATCGCCCCTTGAATCACCCATTGTCATCAATATTCTAACCTGTCATGACGTCGAATGCCCCAAACGGGTATCGCGAGGCCTCCTAGGGTCCCCCCAATCCCCCGTACCGATACCGCTATTTCCCTGGACGGCAACCCCGAGCAGCACCAGCACCAGCACGCACTGCGCTTCTCATCGGCCGTGCCCAGCTCAAGTGCCGATCCAACCAAGGCCTTGGCTAGAATCCTTGTCTTGTTCCTTGGAGTTTTCTCTTAACATGACCATGACAGTCCCTTGTTCCTGACACAGTCAGCCCTGCGGTAAGATACACCTTGGTTGTTAGACACGCCGCTCTGGCCTGTTGACGCACCACCTTTGTTGTGCAGATACCCTCAGACCAGGGTTCCGAGCGTAAGTCTTGGCACTAATTCGCTCATTACTACAAGATTTTCCTCCTTTTCCTCAATCAGTTAAACTCACCAAACCTCCTTCAGCGGAATCCGGCACCTTTCTATCCATCTCTGCGCCCGCAACCTGCGGCGAAGCAACCCTTGCTCGACGTGGAAAGCCAGTTTTTGGCATCAGCAGCGCGACGCAACCATGTGGCGGCCAGAACTGAACTTTGTCAAGTTGCATTGTAAGTTGCCAAGCGTTTGGAGGGGGGGATGCGATCCGATCGTTGATCGGGGACCCTGTGGCTGAGATTGCGTTTCTTGGCAGACTTGTACATCATCTTTCTGGGCCTGACGAGCTTCGCGATTCTGTATCCAGCGGGCAATATCAGTGCTATCGATGCCTACTTTATGGGCGCCAGTGCCTCGACCGTCACTGGGCTAGCGACGTAAGCCATCCGTGTCTTCAACGGTCGCGGCGGGTGAAGCTAATGTGAGACCGACAGCCTCGACGTCAAGGAACTGCAAACGTACCAGCAGCTGTACCTGTACTTTGTGCCCATGTTCTCGAACCTAGTATTTATCAACATTATCGTTGTCGTTGTACGCCTGTTTTGGTTTAATCGACACCTTAAGAAGGCTGGTTTGTTCCCCTGTTCGTCCCTCAGGTAACGCGTTTGTACTGATACTTCTATCCAAAGCTCCCATCCTCCTGCGTCAGCGTCGTCAACATGACACAGTCCCAAAGGAGCAAGATCCCGAGCTTGGTTCAGGGCTCCCGCGACCAGAAAGCCCTAGTCCGCAGTCTAGCCCTGAACCATCTAGCCCAGCACTACCAAGCCCAGCTCGAACGGTTATCGAGGACACCCTCCCTCGGATTGGAGAGCGGAGCCGGACGGAGCCTCCGCCGTCAAAAGCACCTCATCGTCTAGCTCCCCCGCGTGCAGCAGTGGATGCTGAGAAGCTTGCCGAAGATGAAGACGAAGAAGAAGGCGAGGAATCTAGGCGGGCCAACCAACTGGAGCCCAGGATTACCTTTGACCCTTCTACGGACCATCATCCCAGACATGAGGCGACCCTTTACATCCCTGGGCCCCGTGACCGAGATCAAGGCAAGCTGCAATAAGTCAGAATTTGTTTTCACTACTAACTTTGCCCAGGAAAGCCGTTGGTAGAACTAAACGGACCAAACGGGGACGGCAGAGATGGTAAAATGCCCTGACAAGTACTTAGATCCCCAGACTAACCACTTATTTAGACGACGAGATCGAGACAATCTACCGAACCCATTCGACGCCTGGTAGTAACCTCCGTCGCCGTCGCAGTGCTGGTCTCCGAATGAGTGAAGCCCGCTCTATGGAGCGCGTCGCAACAGTAGCCTCCTCAATGTTCGTTATCGGCGGTGCACGAGAGACTCGGAGAGAGCGTCTAACAACTGCGCCGACCATGGCTGCAGGAGACTTTCCGCAACTCTCGCGTGAGGTTACTGTTGGTCGTAACTCCATGTTTCACAACTTGTCGTCTAAGGATCGCGAGGAGCTGGGCGGTATCGAGTACCGGAGCTTGAAGCTGCTTTTGAAGATCATCTTGAGTAAGTACAAGAGAAGTAAGGTGTTGGGTGAGATTCTGACGAGTTTAGTGTACTTCTTTGGCCTGCACTTTATCGGAATGATCTGCCTTATTGGCTGGATTCAGTATGCCCCTTCGAAATATGCCGAGCACATTGCAGAGAGCGGGCAAAATAAGATCTGGTGGTAAGTTGTCTCGCCCTATTAGGGGTAACTATTCTCACCATGTTCTTAGGGCCATCTACTCCGCCCAGACTATGGTCGATAACTTGGGCTTTACTCTTACCCCTGACTCGATGATTTCTTTCAACGATGCACCAGCTCCAATGCTCATCATGAGTGTCTTGGCCCTCGCCGGTCACACCTTTTACCCCGTTGTCCTCAGGTTCATCCTCTGGAGCATCTCGAAGCTTCTACCGGAAGAGTCATCCCTTCACGAGCCTTTGTCGTTCCTCCTGAACCACCCTCGTCGATGCTATACCCTTCTCTTCCCTAGTGGACCAACCTGGGCGCTATTGGGTGTCTTGGCACTACTCAACATCGTCGATATGCTATTCATCATTCTACTCGACCTCGATAACGAAGCCGTGTCTACTCTCCCCGGTTGGCCTCGTTTCGCCGCCGCTGTCTTCCAGGCCGTTAGCTCTCGACACACGGGAACCACTAGTTTCAACCTGGCTGCGGTGAACCCCGCTGTACAAATGAGCCTGTTGGTCATGATGTACGTGTCAGTGTACCCAATCTCTATCGTCGTTCGATCTTCGAACACGTACGAGGAGCGTTCGCTCGGACTTTATGAGCCCAGCATTCAGCCAGATGAGCAGAACGGCGGATCATACTTTGTCACTCATTTGAGAAATCAGCTGAGTTTCGACTTGTGGTACATTTGCCTGGGACTCTTCTGTGTTTGCATCGCAGAGTCGAAGAGGATCATGAATGGCAACGATCCAGTGAGTACTCTCTTACCCTACCTACCATGGTTCAATTCTAACAAGAGACAAGGCCTTCACAATGTGGCCTATTCTTTTCGAAGGTCTATCGGCATAGTAAGTGAAGCCTATCTATTCGGCGACCATGACTAACTGTGTCGAAGCTGTAACGTCGGCCTTAGTCTTGGCTATCCTACGATCGCATCATCATTCTGTAGCGAGTATTCGACTTTCAGCAAGCTGGTCATTTGTGCCATGATGATCCGGGGACGGCACCGCGGCCTTCCATATGCCCTGGATCGAGCCATTGTTCTACCGGACGAGAAGTCACTTGGCACACAGTTTGTAGATGAGGAGGACCATGATCACCATGAGTAACGGCTTTTTCGACATGTTTTTTTCTTCCTGGGTTAGTTAATCGCATACCCAACGACTTCACGAACGAGTTTAGAGGATTGTTTTCAAGATTCTTGAGGCGCCAGCCTTTTGTGTACAAAGATTATAGGCTTTCTAGATGATACAGGGTAATAAAAAGGGGAGATAGACGAGGGTTGCGAGCATGACTCGTTGCCATATGTACGATGTTGTTATAGATTTGTTTCTTGCCTTCAAACTGATGTGTACTTTGAGTGTGTGAGAAAGGGGGAGATGAAGCTGTCAAAGGCCAGGTATCCGCATGAAGCGTGAACCCCTGAGTTCTAGTTCGTCTTCCCGTCTCTCCACATCATAACACAAGCAATTACTAGCCGCTGATAGACTTGATATGCATCATTGAGCACAACTATTGGTGCAAACTACTGAGTATCACGTTATGAATCCCTATCCATGTCTTCCTCTCCCTCCAGGAAAATCTCATGACCCGATCCCTCATGCATCGCCAAGGCCGTAAAGCATCCCAACACCGCGACTCCTGCAGTCCCCCACCATCCCCAGGCCACCATCCCAATGTCAAGACCATACCCATACCACCACCCACCAACAACAGGTCCGACAGTACGGAAGCCTGCTGAAACGCTCTGGCCCAGGCCGTGGATTGTTCCCAGCACGCTTGGATGGGGACTGCAGTTGTTGAGCAGGATGATGGTGGCTGGTAATGTGAATGTGCGGGCCATGACTTGGAGCAGTAGAACAAGGATTATGCCCCCCCAGATAAAGGGACCTGATGCTGGCTCGGGGGGTTCTGTCGTCGATGGCAGGATGGATAGGTACGGGCCAACAAAGTAAGCCACAGGGAAGAGGAGAAGGAACCATCGGAATGAACGCATTGTTCCCAGACGGCCTTGCACTTTAGGATAAAGGAAGATCTGTAAGAGTATACCAAGCAGACCGAGGAACGAAGTCGCAACGCCCACTGTAGAAGCAGGCATACCCAAACCTCCCGTGAAGAGCAACGGTAACGAACGAGCATAGTTCCCCCCATTCTCAGCCGTCGACTTAGGAGTACCATATCTTGGCGTGGATAGGTAGAGAGACCAGATATTCGTAAAGGCTCCAAGCTGAAAGTCGTAAAAGGCGCTGTTGATGAGTGTGAAGCAGACGTTGCGGGTCCAGATGCGGTGGAAGGGAAGATGAGCCAGGACCTTGCGCTTAGACGGTGCTGGCTTTTCCGTGACGGTCTTTTCGTCATGCTCGGAGGCGGGAATGTGGATGTAGCCGGCGTTGGATTTGCCGCCAGTAAACCAGTGCTTTATGTTGGAGGCGAGGTGAAGGCCAGGGTCATACAGGTTTCGCCTCTCTTTCGATGTCTATATAGGTCAGTTATATTGGCTCATAGAATGGAACGGTTAGCTTACCTCTTCTAGAAACAGGACAGTGATGATTGTGGACACAGCGAGAAAGAATGCGTTGAGTATACTAGGCAGAGCAAACGGATAATCCCGAATCCATTGATAGTCAAGCATGGCTCCCTCCCCAAAGTAATTGGGGAGTGTCTTGGAAGGATCTGCCAGAATGCCACCCATTACTGAACTGATGTCAACGATGATAACTGAGAAGAGTAAGGGGGCACGAACCTGGGCCTAGCATGCTAGCAGCGTTGAAGCTCAGAGGAAGTAATAGAAATGCTCGAGACTGGTACTTTTTCTCAATGGTGATTTCTGATATCATGGTACGGCTAGAAATCATCAGCATAGGTCGTCCAAATTCTGCTTCAACAGCTCAAACTCACATAATTCCAACAGTGCCATTAATAGCACCCCCAAACACCCTCCAAAAAGCCGCCCAAAAGAACGTGGTCGAAAACCCATAACCAACACACGAAAGCGCCGTGCCCCCAAGTCCAACCACCAAAGCCCACTTTCTCCCACACCAGCTCGCGTCGGCAATCTTTCCCCAGAGGATAGCAGTGCAGACCTGCGCGCCGGTGAAGCAGCCCTGGAGAATCCCCGCTCGCTCCGAGATGCGAGAGTCAGAGAGGGATCCGTCCATGGCTTTGAGCTGGTAGAAGACGTAGGCTTGGAGGGAGGCGATTTGGAGAAAGTCGGCTAGGCGGCCTATGAAGAGGACGAGGAGTTGGTCTTTTCGGGGGAGGGACATCCATGATACGGGGCCTTTTTGGACAGGTTTCTCTGTCACGGGGACTCTTTGTTCAATGTCTTCATTGTCGATGCCGTTGACTTGAATACTGGGAATGTCCGAGTTCCGGCGCTCATGGCGGGAGCGCCATCTGTGGTGGCCTCTGGGCTGGCCGATACCGGGTTCATTGCTTAATATACCGGGAGGCATGATGGCAAAATGACGGGGTATAAACATGTATGAGCTAGGAAAGGAGATGTGCAGGGTTTCTTTGAAAGAGTAGGTGATGAGTGCAAAGACAGTCCAAGAGGAAACGAATGCTATTGCGCCAGGCCAGCAGACGACAGCGGAACTGGTATCTAAACAGACACGATAAACAAAAGAAACAGGGATGGAGAAATATGGTAAAAAGTCTAGCTAGGGAGCATTAAGCGGGATAAGAAGTAGGACATGCAGCAAGGTGGACAGCTTTTAGGTGATTGGGGGGTGAGGGAGCGACGAGCCGGGCCGCGTGGCTAGAGGGTAAACGAATGCGTCTCAAAGGGATCGGAAAGAATAAGAATAAATGTGCCGAGGTTACGCGGTCAAAGACATGATTGTGTTGCTTCGTAGGACGTTGATGTCGAATCTCGAGGTGGAGGGACGATGACAAGAGAGAAGGAACACCACGACCATGAACCTCAAATGGCTTGTGCTTTGGCGAGAAAAACTCGCCTCACTCCACGCAATCCAGGAACCACTTTTCGAGTCTGACAGGGGATACAACACAACAGCTCGAAGCTCCTGGATTATGGATTTCTCTCCCATCGGGGAGTGGGATGTTTTGATTCCGCGCCACTCCACCAGTATGAGATGAGGCGTGTTTCTTCGATACACACTATTCAATGCCTCGTTGGATCACATAAGTCTGCTTCAAGACGATTAATTGTATTGGGAAACGGATATACCGGTGTTTGATGGAATGGATGGATATAGCTTCGTCTGCCCACGCGTCAATCCCGGCCCCGAGATGCCCAAGCCGGTCGAGTGATGGACCCCTGGGCCGCTAAATTAGCGCCCTCCACTGCATCCCGGGTGCTGGGCGCCTGTCCTTACAGGGGTGGGGTGTGCCGTGGGAGCCACGCCATCCTCCACTGCTTCATCCATTGTTGGTCTCGAGGGGCCAGAAGTTGATATGTACCAATGTTGATTATAGATGCAGTGATAAAAGTACTATCTTTAAGGTATCAATGAATCAAGAGCTTAGATTGAATCGGTGCTAACGGAAGAAACAACGAGGGCCCAGTATACTACACTTCCGCGTATAGCAAAGATCCTCTCAAACCCCTTCTTCAAACACACTCGCCTCTCTCCGACATTATCAACAATGATTCCACCATTGACTGTACTCAAGCGCGCTATACCCGCTACATCCAGCGGAACATCGCTTATGTCAAGGCAAGCACGGCTTGTCGCTCGGCTGGTTGGGGATCGGAGCGAATTCCCCTTGTCCTGAGACGGTCTCAAGTTGATCACCATATACAGGCTCAAGGTTAAGGTGGAATCCTTTAATTACTGGGGACGCGAACCATTTGCAAACTAATCTTCACTCTTTCTTCTGGCCATATCGTCTTGTTCGAGCTTTGATGTTTCGTGGCGTTCAAAGCTGACTTACATCTTCTCCCACAACCCGCCAAGGCTGGGTCGATACGCGCAGTTCTACGCGCGGCAGACAAAAAATCTCGGCCGCGTACTTACAATCAATAGATTGAGTTTCTGCCATGATTAGCGCCGTCGATCAACGATTCATCCTCGTTCAAGAAAAGACGAGACGGATACAGACGTGTTTCACCCGTGCACGTCATCCCGCTTACATAGTACTCCAAATGCAACGCTCGACAATATTTCCGTCGCCGTGTCTCGGATCTAGGACGAGACACCACGCTGTTGACACGCTGTTGACATTTGTCCGCCGGTCATGATACGTGGGATAGCGATATTGTGCAAGGCAAGCAGTGCACAACCATTCAGGGACCATCTCGCAATGATAAATACCGATCTGGTTTGTGTTCCAGGGACAGCTGTGGCTTGCTCAAAAACAAGGATGGGATCCTCCGGCTGCAACTTGGGCGTTACATGATGCTGTGACGATGCATAGCTGGCACAGTACATTCAATGGGATTCCCTGCCCTAGACGCGCGTAATCCTCCCACTTATCCGCGCTCTCACGCCGCAGGGAGAATTCGTGGTTGATGTCGGGATGTGGATTAGAGGGGCCGATGGTCCGGGCCTCCGACATCCGACGCAGTTTGGATATCGGTTTCGGTGGACAACTATTTGCCGCCGAGACCTGTGTACCATGTTGCCTCTGTCTGTGTGCGTGTCCCTGATCAGAGCGTTCTGGATGGTTAAGCTGTAGACTTGTTCCATGAAAACAAGGCCATGTACGGCTTGACACAGGATGACGGTTGGTCCTCCAGTGACCAGTTAGGACTCCCAACCAGATAACGGTCGACTTGCAAGATTAAACACCACCAGCGGTTAAGATGTGGCGTTTCCATGAGCTCTAACTCTGCCCTTCTTTGGCTCAAAACCATCAACAGATGTTGAATGGAGATGGATTCATGTCTGGGCCGCGTAAGCTTCTTATTTAAGTGAATGTGGAGAACATGCATTGATCCACAATTAGAAGTCTTCCAATGCTTGTTTGTGTCAGTGCTATCAATCGGAAGAGATGGACATGTGTGTTACTCGGGTAGGAGGCTCCAAGGGAAAGAATCCGTGGTTCCCCTGAGGAGCTTTCTAGGAACTGCAAGGTACGGTTCATTCAAGGGATAGGGAAGATGGCAAGTTGAGTCGGACAATTGAGTGCTTGGCTGCAGGGAATAAGGAGTCACAGCCTTTCAGAGAGGATGATTTACTGCATGAATACTACGAGGAGCAAGACGACGATGGCATTGAATGGCCACTAACCTAGATACAACATGATTCCATTCATTACAAGACCCATCATTTGCCTCCAGACTCAAGTTGTCGACTTCAAGACCAGAGGCTCTTGCCCTGGCAATGGCTCCCTCTTCTACATGGGTCCCTCGCTACAGCCCCACAAGAGCATGAGCCTCAGGGGGCGTGTCGTTAACAGACGACTCACTTACAACGGTTCCCCACGTCTGGTTCCTTCTCCTGAAGAATCATGATGGGATCGATCAACAGAAGACAAAGCAAAGGCCCGGGCGAAGAGAGGTCGGGTCGGTATCTGAATTATGGGGACCGTTGCTCATGTACACGCATCCAGAGGAGGGATGTGGGAGTTGGATTTGTGTATCTGGTGGCATTACATGTCCTGGGATGGAAGCTGTAAAAGACGATTGTCCTCTTGTTCTTTCGTGTTTCGTCTCGTTCTTTTATACTCGTTCTGTTTCCATCATCATCGACCTCTTCCTCTTGGCAGAATCACCTCCTTCGATCGCTTCACCTGCAATCCTTCCTGTTTAGCATCTTGTTATCCCTATTGATACCCTAGTCTCAACCGCCACAATGGCATACTCTTCCAAGTTTACCCCTCGTCCTGTCACCGACATCTTTACAAGTGACACCAGTATCAACCGTCGCAACTGCACCCGTTCGGTGCCCATGAAGGTGCTCATCCTCGGCGTCGGACGCACTGGCACAGCTTGTACGTTTATCCCTCGACTTCTGAGATACAGCTAACACTCCTAGCCATGCGCGCCGCCATGAAGCAACTCGGCTACGTCGACACATACCACATGATGAACGCATCCATCGAGAATCCCCCCGACGCACTCATGTGGATGGACGCCCTCTGCGCAAAGTACGACAAGCAAGGCGAGCCCTTTACCCGCAAGGACTGGGACCAGCTCCTCGGCGGCGCCCAAGCCGTCTGCGACTGGCCCGCCATCGCTTTCGCAAAGGAGCTCATCGAGGCCTACCCCGAGGCAAAGGTCGTCCTTACCAACCGCGACGTCGACTCGTGGCACGCCTCCACTATGAGGACCGTCTACTGGCGCGTCACCGATCACGAACTACAATGGCTCTCCCACTTTGACTGGGCTGCTTCCATGTACTACCCCATGCTCCGCAAGTTCTTCGACACCTTTTTCGAGGGCGACTTTCCCAACCGTGGCAAGGACGTCTTTCGCCGACACTACGCAGAGGTCCGCAGCCTCGTCCCCAAGGAGAGACTGTTGGAATATAAGATCACCGACGGATGGGAGCCTCTTTGCGAGTTCCTCGGCGAGCCGGTGCCCAAGGGCTGCGAGTTCCCCCGCGTCAACGACAACTCGGACTTTGTATCCCGCTCGCGCCGCAGGAACCGTCACCAGATGTACAATGTCGCTCTTCGCTACGTTTGCACAACTGCTCTGGCTGTCATGATGATCTATGCCGTTGCTCACATGCTGTCCATGATCTAATCGACCGAGGTGCGAGCAGTGCCTGGACATTAACGAGGTCGCGATGAGGCGTGTGCGTGTGCGTGTACGTGTACGATGAACAAACTGAGGATGTAGTCCGAGGGCAAGAGGGTCCATCGGTGGGACAATCCCCGCCCTTAGGGGCATTGTATGATGGTCAGGCGCCACTGGAAGTGGTGCCATGTTTGCTTCCAAAGGAAAGACCCAAGAAACGGGTGACGCAAGCTGTCAAGGCGATGTTTTGCGCACTGAGTCTAGTCATGGCCAGGTCTAATGTGTTGTCTCCTTACCAGACCGGGTACTGGCCAAAAAAGCAGGGCTCGGAGGATGCATGATAGAAGGGCTTCATCTCTTGTTTTCTCCTAATGGATCGGAGTTTCGGGCGTATGTTTATAGATAGGTTTCCAAATACAATTGTGTACTTTCTTCATCAAATGGTCAAGTGACCGTCCCGTGCCGTGTTGTGATGCCTACGGTAACTCAGAATAAGGAGAGAAATGTGGCCTAAACCAACGATTCCCGGAGATATATTGCCGGCATCGCCTTGAAATACGTGGTCACCTTAGAGGCAGGTTTTCGAGCGCATCACTAGCTTGTATCTCGTCTGTGTCTGATGTGAGGTCTCACGTCCCAGCTTCCAAGGAGCAGAGCATGTCAGTGAAACGACATCGTGAGATTGCATAGATCAGAGACCACATGAATAGAAAACATTTCGGGTTCTTGAATCTCTCGCCATACACCAAGGAAAGAGAGTAAGGCTTAGCCCGAGGTCCGAATGGCTGTCGTCGAGCCCTCCGCCGTCCGAATAACCTCAAAGCACCTCAGCCAATCCTACAACACCGTATCTACACGCCCCCTCCCTGGTTCCTTTTAATCAGCCCTACGGGTCTACCCCAGAGCCCAAGAAAAGCTTCGCGGACACGATCTCGGGTCTGGTAGAATATTCTGCTGCCTGGTATGGATTGGCGCCGTCACGTCATTCGAGGATGAGTGACGCAAGTGTAGGGGTTTGATAATGATGGGTTTGAGGCAAACAGGCATCTATGTAGCCCGCTTGGCGCTCCTTTCGTTTGCGTTTGTATACTCTGGCTTGAAGAATATGGTGTTCTGGATGAGCCTTGTTAAACATGGACTTGGGCGTGTCTCTTTTGAAGCTCAAGAATCCTCGCAGATCTGCTACGATGTATCTAGCCCCTACTTCCGGTATATTTCACTCTTTCCCATGTGTAAATGAATCCGCGTCAAGAATGAGCGACCTCATGGGAGCTGCGATCGGTGTCGTTGGCCTTCTTTAGACGTCTGCCATTCCACCTAGACTCAGCCATGAAGGATTTTCCCCGTAGTTTCAGTCCAAGTGCCATTGAAGCCAGCCTCCCCTCGATATTCGGATAGTTTTCGCTTCGTTTCATGTCCAAACTAGAGTCCGTAGGTTTCGGCTCTGAATGTCGGCGACCCCGTTCAACTCGATCACCCATCCCCCCCGCCTTTACAAAATCAAGTCTCCTTCTCTTGGATAGAGGCTCTTTTCTTGTAGAAAGTCCCATGGGCCCAAGAAACTTGCTCTTCCGCTGTTTGTTGAGGAGTAATCGCCGAGTTCCAGTTTGCCGTATCCAGAGATTCGGATGAATCCACGGCCGCATGCATTGCTAGTCTTCTTACCAGAAAAAAGCGCATAATGCAAACAACTTGATTGTTTGAGATCGAAATGCCTTGATTCTGCCTGGTCATTCACGGAGATGTCCGCAAAGAGCTGTAGCTTTGCGACGGATGGGACGTACTAAGCTGATGCAGTAGTCATCTGGCCTTGGTATCATGACCTATGCAACATGGCGACATCGACACTGCAAGAAGTCGTATGGGACGATCTCACCAGAAAGACCAAAGAACCAGAGGGCCTCTTGTCGAGGCATCGCCTCTTCTTATACGTGCCACAAGCGCGGCGGAGTCGACGCGATCCGTGCCTTTGACCCTCCACCCCAGCAAGCGACATACAGAATACGAGGTGTCCAATCAATGGCGGATGCAGACCTATTTGGCTGTTCCGCAATTAGCTCCGCACTTTGACACTCTGGAGCTAGGCGTGATTCGTCCTGTCGTAAGTTTGAGAGGTGCGTCTATGTGGTAGCGTGGCCCTTGTATCATTTTTTGTAACTATGCGGACATTACATGGCTCTGGAATAGAGAGCGACTCTCTCATGCATAATAAGTTTATTGGCCTATATGAAGGTGCTTTTTAAGCGTTTATCCAGGGATGTCCACGTCATTGTCTTCATAATTCACGCTCGCTCCCAACAGGGTCAAACAGTAGATTACTACTATAAGGCGGAAGGACAACAACCATCTGGGGACTTCACGTTACAGCTCAATCTCATCCTCAATCGATAATAAACCGCGATATACTTGCCAGATTAGGCCGGTAGGGCTGGATCGTTGTTCAATGTCCGACCTGCCAAGAATCCTCAGCCTTCCCCAAGCCTCAAACATATCTATTCATGTTGTTATCTCAAGATCTCCCCAGACCAAGATATGCTCCTCTGAACCAAGCCTTGCTCGTCTAGTTGTACGTGTGACAGGAATGTACAACTCCAAACTGTTGCGAAGCCGCTTATCAAGTATTGGCTGTCAGCCAAGGGTACACCAACTCCGCATCGTCTACACTTCTCTACTCAGTAACATCCAAATGTTTGCATCTTTGAGCTGGCGCAGCAGACAGTGACTGCACGGCTCTCAGCAGGAGACTAAACCCCAGCTGTCCATGGCCTCCCCGCCTTACGCTGCACGTTTCCGAGACAAACCTCATGATGAGATGAGGTCTCTCGATCAAGTTGTGGCTGTGCCATCAACACAGCGAAAGAGATGGCATTTAGAAAGACTCAAGAATCGCCACATCTCTAACCCTTGTGCTTGTGCTCTTCATCGATCATCCCCTACCCAATGGCTGATATCGTGCTCGGAACCGTCGGCGTCATCCCCGTCATCGGGGCCGCCATCGCAACGTACCGACAGCTCGATTCGCGGCTCAAGGTCTTTAACAACCACTCCGAGGCCCTAGGCCGCATGGCCAAGAGTCTGGATCGCAACTACACCATGTTTCAGCTAGAGTTCTACCAGCTGCTACGGTTCGCCTTCTCTGATAGGACTATACAGCGAATGAAGACGGATCAAGGCTGTAAGGAGTGGAAGGAGTGCGAGGTGTACGAGGCACGGATGCGAAGGGGTCTTGGGGGCAGCTACAAATCCTGCAAGATCTTGGTGGACGATATTGCTGCTGCCCTGAACAGCTTCGCCGAGAAGCTAAACACGTGCGTAACAGGGGAAGAGGAAGATGTGAGTATCATGTAAAGCTGTTCGAGTCCCCCACAGCTGACACTTGTACGACGCAGCAGTCCAACAAGGGAATCGAGACTATGACCAAGTTCCTGCTACGTTGCCGAGTGACGCTACTCGCTCCGGCGCTTGATGGCATCAACAGCCGGCTCCGCGAGCTTCTTCAGGACCTGACGTCTCTGCGGGAGAAGATGGAGGCGCTCAGTAGGGCTCATCCGTCGGGTGGTGCTCTGCGGTTGCTGTCGTGGGTGGTTGCTGAGAGGTTTGATCGAAGTGCTGAGAAGAGCAGCGAGGGCGCGGCAGCTTGATCAAGACTCTACAGAGGGAGACATAATTGGAGAGTCCATCAACCTCAGTTTATGTCCAACACTCTGGATACAGAATGAGGTTGGTTGACTATTCAATCCTTGCCCCCTCTAGAATCTTGGTTCGTAATGATGGAGAGGCTTCTAATTTGCCGGGAGCCATGGTCGTCCAGAGGACCATGCAGGGGACCGAGTGTCGGGAAGCATGCCGACTTGGGTAATACACGGAGATTCACAGAGAAACAGGGGAAAGGCGTTTACCTGGTATTTCATGAGGGTTAGAAATAGTCGTTAGGCGTCAAGTGCATACAAGAATTTAATCCAGTATCAACCCACGTGAGAAGCAAGTCAAGAGAGCCAACTCAGACTGCATTTACCCACAAGAACTAAAACTGCGTGGCTGGGCATGGGCGGCCGATGGATCTCTTGGCGGAGGAGCGAGGCATTATTTTTGACCAACTGGAGGAGATAACAGGGGGTTTCTTCATGTTTCAAGAATAGAAGCCAAGTGAGAAAAAAGTGGCGCTTTTAGTTGGTTCATGGATGTTGGTTCGTCGAGGAGAGACGTTGCACCATCTGCGGGGACATGGATTATTTCTTTTCTTTTCTTGGGTATTACGACTGTGCGTGTTGTTGATGGGACTCGACTGTTGAGACCATCTCCGAGAGGCGAGAGAATACGGCATAAGCATGTTCAGGTGAGATAGGGGCTACGGGTGAATCTCACTGTTTCTGCTGATTCCAAAGAATTGCTGACATCTACCTACAGCATATAGCAACGACTGCGACCTCGGAATGCTCACTCTCCGTTCTCTGAATTTGTCTTGTCTTGTCTGGCGTGATAGCAAACCCCTGTAGCTCTCTCCCCTCCCCGCGGATCAGGGCTGAGCAGGAGGCTGTACAGCTTCTAAGGTTAAATCGAGGTGCGATCTGCATCCGGTGACGGGTACCTGTCTCGGGTATGACGAGCACTCCCAGAACAGATGTACTAGATACAGAGGCTAGCTGAGGCTGGTTTTTTACACTACGCGCCAGTGAAACTCGCGGGCCAATCGACGAGATGAAGAATCCATCACGGGAGGCACCGTTATGTCGAATAGCTCGAGAGCATAACGGCAGGGTTTTGCTTCCCGCCATAGCGTTTCTAACAGAGGAAACTTGCCCGTCTCGTATTGTCTGAGTGTCACTTTCGCGTACCCCTCGCTACGCCTCGTAATTCTCACCTCCCCATCCTTGTGTGCCCCGTATCCTCCCCCAATGCATCATCTATAAACATGCTTACGGCCCCCAAAAATGTAAGACCAGGGTTCAATGGCCTGACAGGGCTAGACGCGCCTGTTGGGCTTACTACCCGAGAAATCAAAAGGGAGGACGATCGCCTGCCTACTGTGTCAGCCTTCTCCCCTCACATCAGGAATACCTTTCCAGTCTTACGGTCGGGGAGAGAGACGATAAACGAGTTCCAACAAACTTCAGAGTCGAATACCCTCGAACCTCAGGGTCAAGATGCGTTCGATATTACTTTCAACCTTGCTGCTGGCCGCGTCAGCCGTCAAGGTCCTAGGCGTCGACACATTGTTTACTCACCCGGGCACCTACGATGAAGGCGACGAAGCAGCCAACAACCCCGTCTACGAAGAGGGCGATACTATCCTCATCAATTGGGTGACGGACCTGAAGCAGATCACCGTCTACGTCTTCCAGCGTAACCCTAGCGACTTTGACGGAACGACACAGCTAGGAGAATATGTCCGAGGTAGGAGATCAAGATACACCCAACAAGCAGTAACATAGGTCTCACAAGAGTAGAAAACGTAACGAGCAAGAGCACTTTCTGGAAGGTCAACCTCGGCGAGGACTCATTCAACCGCACCGTTCCCAAGGGCGAGATGCCCGTCCTGTACTTCGCCTTGTACAACCCATCAGACGATGCCGTAAAGATCATCAAGTCGCAAGACTTCAACGTCTCCCTCTCCGACGCCGCCGAGTCATCCTCCACCACGACAAAGGGTTCTGCAGCTTCCACCATCGCCGACGGTCCAGCCAAGACGAGCTCCGAAGCCGACGACGACGACGGCCTCTCCGCCGGTGCCGGCGCAGGTATCGCGGTTGGAGCGACGCTCGGTGTGCTAGCCCTTGCTGGAATAGGATTCTTCTTCTGGAGGAGAATGAGGAGACCTCAACCACAGTATCAACAACCCCAGCAGTATCAGCAGTACCAGCAATACAACGTTCCACCGCCAGACCCCAAACCTCAGCAACCGACCGAGCTGGTTGGTCACTACCCTCCCCAACAACAGCAGCAGGGCCACATCTATGAGGCCCCCTAATCCGTGTGATGCGTCTGCAGGAGTAATGGGTAGAAAGGTTTATTGGAAAATAAGGGATGTTTGGGGATACCCGGGGCAAAACCAAGGTATTTTATTTATTTTCTTGTGTATTTTACTATTTTGTATTAGAGCGTGCGTATGCATTTAGGCCCGACGAGGTCATTCCCATACAATCAAACTTAGCAAATCCTCGTCCTCTGATATATCCGTGAACCGTCGGAACAACGGCCCTTGGCCTCGGGGCTTCCCGTCGATAGGCAGTGGCGAAACCGCTTTGAGGGTGGTCAGGAGTCGCGCAAGCTTCTACGCTAGACAGGAACTATTCCTTCAGCCACTTCTAGACAACTGTGTGAGATGAATATTGTCACTGGATCAACAGACATTGGCTGGCAAAAGACGCGACGGGACCAACCGAGGAGACCAGAATCAACGGCCCAATTAACGGGAATAGCTTGCTTGTGTGTATGTCCAAGAGACCAACCGTTCTCGGGTTGAAGCTGTGACAGGTCGAATCTTCAGGTCCAAGTTGCATACAAGAGTTAATAACCAGGTTAATAGATAGATATATGGTCCTTGCACGGCTCTATCGATATATATACATTTCACCTGCCCAATCTAGATACTCTCTCCAGGGGACACCAACGGCTTCTTTATCCGTGTCTCATTACAATCTTCCCCATCTTTTGGCACTTCTAGAACGTTTAAACTTTCACCAACCCAACAGCAGTGAAAAAACTCCACTACGCCATGATCAAAACAGCAACCATGTCCGCTACCATCGCGTTACCCATCGCTGACGGACCGATAGACCCTGGAGAATTCTCAATTGCACCATAGGCTCGAGCAATTGCGATGCTAATATGAATACGAGCCCCGAGAACATGATATCAACGCGGCCTCTGCTCTCGAGTTCCTCTCTTCAAGGACGACGACGACAGCAGCAATTCGGAACCATGACGGCCTTTTTCAAACCGAGCTCAGAGACAGACGTCTCACCGGAGCCGGTCCTCAACGATGCGAATGGCGACCTTGTCACCGCGACCGAGGAGCGCAGTCTTCATCGCGGTCTCGCGGAGCGGCATCTTTCAATGCTTGGCATCGCCGGCGCCATCGGGACGGGCCTGTTTCTCGGCCTTGGCGGATCGGTGCAGACGGGCGGTCCCCTCGGTGCTCTCCTCGGCTACGCGACCGTCGGCCTCGTCGTGTGCGCCGTGCAGTTTGCCCTCGGAGAGGTTGCCGCGCTCCTCCCCGTGACGGGTGCGTTTGTCCGACACGCAGAGTTTCTGGTAGATCCTGCTTGGGGATTCGCTATCGGTTGGAATCTTGTGTATGGAAATATTTTATCTGTACCTTCTGAAATCACGGCCATTTGTGTGCTGTTCGAATTCTGGACCGACCTCAACCCCTCCGTCTTCATCATCATCTTCATCATCCTAACAGCAGCAGTCGGCCTCGCCTTTATCCGGGTCTTTGGAGAAGTAGAATTCTGGTTCGCCCTGCTAAAGATCCTTCTCGTCGTCTTCCTCATCATCCTGGGTCTTGTCATCAACCTCGGAGGAGTCCCAGGAACCCCTCGCATCGGGTTCAGATACTGGAAGGATCCCGGTCCGTTTGTCGAGCACATCGCCACGGGGAACTGGGGCAAGTTTCTTGGATACTGGTCCGTCATGACGAGCGCCGTCTTCTCGTTTGCGGGTGTAGAGTCCATCGCCATGGCTGCTGCCGAGACGAGGAACCCTGCAAAGGCTATCCCGAAGGCTTGCAAGAATGTCTTTATCCGGATCATCGTCTTTTACATTCTGGCCATTCTCGTCGTCGGTATGCTAGTTCCGAGCAACGATGAGCGTCTCAACGATTCCTCTGGACAAGCGGCTCAGAGTCCCTTCGTTATCGCCGCGTCTGCAGCTGGTATCCCCGCAATCCCATCCGTCGTCAACGCCGTTGTCATCACCTCTGCCTGGTCGGCTTCGAATCAGAGTCTTCTCGCCGGTACTCGTGTCTTGTATGGTCTTGCTCTCAAGCGTCAGGCACCTCAGATCTTTCTCCGAACGACTTCGTGGGGCACTCCCTACGTGTGTGTGCTCTTCTTTACGGCATTCATGTTCCTCAGCTTCATGAGTCTCTCGAATGGAGCCATGACTGTCTTTTGGTGGCTAGTCGACCTGACTGCTGCTGGAGTTCTTGTCTCCTGGTCGGCCATCCTCCTTAACCACATCAGACTGCGACTCGCCATGAAGAAGCAGGGCATCCCGGTCACCAGCTTGCCTTGGCACAACTCTTGGACTCGTAAGTTTCTGGTGTTGAAATACTCAAAATCTTGCATTCTCTAACATCAGTAGCCTATTCCTCCATTGTTGCCCTCTGCATGTGCTTGATCATTCTCTTCACTGGCGGCTTCTCCGTCTTTACAAAGGGAAATTGGGACCCTGTTGGCTTTGTGTCATCCTACTTGTGAGTACTGCCTATCCTACTTTGTTTAGGATGCTGTTACTAATAGTCTGGCAGAGATATCCCGCTGGTGATTGCTGCATACCTCATCTGGAAGTTTGTCAAGAAGACAAAGATTGTGTCATTATCCGAGATACCCCTTCAAGATGCGATTAAAAAGTCGGAACAGGACAGGGCCGTGGAGGTATAGACCCGACCCTGGGAATGTCATTCATAGAGTAGAGCATTGTTACAATGAATTAGAAGTTCAAATCACGTCCCGGCCCTGGCTCACCTCCAACAGGAGTGTGATGTAGGATTGCCTCCATCATCTCAACTCCAACCGACCAGCAGCTCAACCATGACTATGCCACTTAAACCGACAAGTTTACGGTCCACGCAACTCATTCAAGGATTCTACGGTGACTAAGAGCGATGGGCAGGCTTCGAGAAACCATCTTGGCCAAAGACGTTCGCCTCTTGGACATGCAGGAGTGTGTGAGCTCAAAGGAACAAGGGTCATGTCAGTCTCACCTTGCTCTCATCATGGCATATTGACGATAAAATACTCTCGATGCACTTCTTCTTTGAATATCGTCCACGCAACCTTGCTCATCCTATCCCAATGGTCAAGGGGGTGGCGGATGAAGGCTTCAATGAGATAGGACATACCAGTCTATCCCCGAGGTATCGATACAGGCCAAAGAAGCCATCCCATGACAGTTGAAGAATATAGATGCCCGACATCAGTTCTTGTTGGGTTCTAAATGTGTATGTCTTCCAAGACTCTGCTGGGGGGTATGCGATTACCTCGAGTACACCGAGAGAGGAACGACAACCGCCTCTGTTTCGCATATCCAAGCATCCCAAGTTTCCGATGTTCACTTTGTTGACACTCGCTTTGAGACGAAACCCAACAGCGCCTCAAGTCAACTCGCAGCCAATTTAGACATCTCGCAGTCAAGAATAGGGTCACCTTAGCCCAACTTGCAGTCATCCTATGTCCAAGTTGATGTTACCTTGGATCACGGGCAAAGCCCTATAACATGCACAACAACACCCCATTCGTCCTTCTTGTCCCTTTCTGCTGGGAGGTCAGAACTCATCCAAACTCACGATTCACGGACAGATCGTTTGCCTCGTCCATTATACAGCTCGAGCCATACTACAATTCTAAGACCTTAGCTGGGAGTTGTTATACTAGTCCACACATTGGACTATGTTGCTTGGCCGGCGGTCAAGGACGCTTCTTGACAGATCGAAACCACGTACCATGCTCTCACGAAGGGTTTTGAAGAACTAAGTTACTTTAATAAGAAACTAAGTTGCTTCAATGAAGAACCCCGCAACTCCTTCACATCACAAAGTACAGGCATCTTGAGGTTGCTGTTCCCTCTAGCAACTAACACTATCATCGGATACAACAACTGGACACTCATGTCAAATGACAACAGATGGTTCTCAAACACTATAGTCACACTAGAACCAGGCACCCATCCATTAGAGAAACCCTCCTCTAACTCGTAAAGTTGCTTCGACTTAGTTCAACTTGCCAAACAACTCTACCCGCTTGACGAGGTAAGTTGCCATCAACCAAGTCAAGCACCTAGAGGGACAGCCCTCTCCGATGAATGAAGGGGCATCTTTGACAGATCATGCCTCTGCAACTCAGCATTTGATTAGATCTTGTGGAAATGATCCCCCTTGGTCAAATCCTCGAGCATGAGATCTCTTAGAATAGAGTCTTCGTAAGACCTTGGACGGAAGTTGCCCCTTGACAAGACGATGTGTCCCTTGAGCCAGCGTCCAAGGCACATCAAGCAACAAGAACACACAGACTTCGGGTCAACCCAACAAACAAAAGCCTTGTAGGTTTAGAAGCACCTTCGATCAAACTTCCCAAAGGTCCCTCGCCCCACGAAAGTTCAGCTTCAGCTTAAAGCCAAACACAATGCAGCCATCACGGCAGTTCCACAAGGTTACAACGTGTCAAATCTCTAACCAAAACCCTTCATCTTTCAAAACATAGTTATGCTACGTCGCATCTATCCCGGAAATGCTGACCCGGTATCTCGGTCCTGGGAAGCAAACACCCTCAATGTTTAGTCCAGCCACCAAAAAGATAATCTTCAGCTTTGTAATTGAACATGTCGGAAATAATCATCCACGATAAATAACGATAAACAAAGAGAACATGACTAGCCAGAGGTTTGAGCTTGATGCTGTGATGACGCTCCCAATAGTTGAAACGACATGACCAACACCGTGTCTTGACTCGTGCAACACCATCGACGGCAAGCCTTGTCCTTTCCCCCCGCCATGCCGCGATACTCTCCTAGTGAAAAAAAAAGCCGCCCCATGCGGCCGGGCTGCCACGCGCAGGGCCGAGAACAGATCTACGGTTCACCTTTTCCCCCCACCTACGTCAAGATGGTGTGGTCAAGAGAAAGCAATTCTACGGAATGTTGTTTTCGTTCGGTGATATTCTTGTTTTTGCTTCTTACCGTTGAGAAGGCCTCAATGTCCTTTACGTTATCGTACATTTGAGAAGCTGTAAGGTTAGGTTGACAGCAAGCCTGTGGCATCATGATTCCCGGCGCCATCCGGGCTTAGCTAGTTAGTTTAGTTCACAGCTCGGACCGAGTCCATGATAAAAAAGGTCCCTTTGGTTTCTCCGTAGTGTTACGGAACTGGGAAAGTTTGAGAGAAGAGAGAAACTCAGGGGTGGGTGTGAGAATGTTTGCGACACTTCATGCTAAACAAAGAAATCCGCGACACTGGGGGATGGCACATTTCTCTCACAAAGTTCAGCCGCAGATGGGCAAAGTCCCTCTTGGCAAAAGAATGAATCTCCCCCAACCCAACTCGCTTCCGTCAGACCACGGGAGACTGTGCCGCTCATCCACATGCAACGCCGCCCGCCCCGAACTGTGATCGGCACTCTAGGCCACCACACGCCGCTCCAGACCACGACCCCCCCCTCCCGGGAGATGAAAATGGGCGTTTCCATTTTGGCGAGATTAGACTCAGAGTTTCTCGCTAAACAAAGAGAGAGACAGCAAAGGACCTCGTGGCACCCCGTGCGGGATGGATGATCGATATTGACAGCCCCGGACATGCGGATTCAATAAAAGTCGCATTCGAGGGTTAAGGAATGCTAGCTATCCGTTGGAAACAGCGTTTTTGAAAGCATTCCAATGCCCCTTCGGAATCAGACCATTCCATGGCATTTTCGCTTGCAGTTTCAGCCATGGACGAAACGCTGGTTCCATCGCTGCAGCGGTGAGCCAAGAAAATGCGCCTGGCAGTTAGGCTATTCATTTTTTACTTGTTTTTTTTTTTTTCTTCATCGTAGAGCGTAAAAGAATCACTAGTTTGGTCTCCGGCAGAGAAATCGTTCCATAATCCATGCCTGTCTGTCTCACAAGGCTTCTTCATACTAAACATGTAGCGTATCTATCTCAGAGAATATTAGAGAGACAACTACGACAAGAGCAACATCAACGGGTCGACGATCCTAACCTCTTGTGTCTATTTCGACTGGTCACCTGCAGAAAAGTCGACCTTGCTTGGCTGAGAATAGCTTCTCTTTCCTTAATAAAGACTTATCATTCAATATCACCTTGTCAACACCATCTTTTGTCCTGGTCACCAACACCAGAACCGTCACACTTCCCGTGCAGTCTCATCGCCCCAATCATCGTCTCGCTTCCATCACGCTACCCTCCACGAGCCCGCCTCACCTTTTTCACTCTCCCAGGCTCCGGCTCTCCTGATTCGTTCTCGAGGTCAAACTCCACTCCTCCATCTTCTTCATTCCAGACACACAACAATGCCGTTCGCCCTGCTCCACCCCCTGACCCCATTGGCCGCCACGTTTCCGCCTTGTTTTTGTGACCCTGTCCAACCAATCTCGTGAGCCAAGAAACTTAGCATCTGCAGTAGCTTCCTCACTCTTTTTCTTCCCGCGTTATTATCGCTTTGCTTTTTTTTTGCTGAGTCTGCAGCTTTTATGACGGGGGCCGTAGCGTGACGCACAAGGATGGAGCACACCGTCGACGATGCCGTGATCCTAGACGATGAGTTCAGGAGTCGTGCATCACTAGACGCATCCTCATCGAGGCGCTACTGGGAAGAAGGTGGTGCTGCCAGTTCCCGCCGGTGATTCCGCGTCTTGGTGTTTCACTCCCCGGGCTGTGTATGTACTGTGCTGTAGACTTGTTTGAGTGCATCTGTGACGCCAACATCGAGGCCTCGACATGACCGCCATGTACATGTCTGCATGTATCTGTGCCTGTTTACGAGTCAAGTTTCAACACACCAAGTATTCAGCGAGGGTAATCAAGAAGTGAGGTATCTCAAAGTCGTTGTTTGTCATTCATTTGGTTGATCGGCAGATGCACTGTTTTCTGCAGTGCGAGGTGCCGTCTTTCCCTCAGCTCAGCTCAGTAAACGTATTTGCTTGCTTTGCTTTGCGCCGTCTTTTGCGCAAAATGCTTTGGCTATCGAGCCATTGTTCCTCTTCTCTAATCTCGATCTCATCGACCCTTGTCATTTTTCTTCTTCCCGTCGCGGAAACGAAAAAGCAAACATAGTCCATCCATCCCCATCTTCCCCATGTCATCAAAATAAGAAAAGTGAATGTAGAAAATAAGAAAAAAGGTATCTTTGATCCAGACCAAGTGAATGTCTCGGCCATTCTTCCGTCTCTATCGAAAGAGGGCGCCTCCATATGAAAGTAGTGAGAAAAAAGTTGTGAGAAATTAGAAAGACATAGTCGTTTCCGTAATCAGGCGTTCGTTGCGTCCCAGGAGGAATATTTTCCAGAAAAAGGGCCTTCCCAAGGCAGAAGAGGAGTATAAATCGCCAGGTACAAGACAAACAAAGGTGTGAAGGGGGGAATCAACAACTCCATCTCCAAGAAATCTCTTTGCAAAAACAACAGAGTGCCACCCCGTACAAGATTCGCTGCGCCAGACTTTCATGCTTCTACAAGAATTTGACATCTTGCCCCTTCCTCATAAATTTCCTCAAAATACAAAAACTCCTCGCTTTTCGAAAAAAGGTGTTTTCCAAAGGTGATAAAATAGACATAGAAAAAAGTGTAAACCAAACAAGATCTGGTGTCCAAAAGATACAGGGTCGAAAAGAACCAGTCCCGGACTCTCATTTCGTTGGGTCGTTAAACGTTGTTTTTGGTTGGCGTAATCCTTGCACGGCTTTTGGGTTTTTTTTTGGTGCATCCAAGTATGTAAAGGAGTCCCTGGGGAGTGGAAATGTGTTGCCAAGGGTCGATATTAAATGTCGAGTAATGTCCAATGGAACCTGAAGAATCAAACAAGGGGGTCCGGAGCTTGTTGTTGTTGGGCCACGGGGGGTATCTCATCCAGTTTGTGTAAGGGGCGGCTGCGTCGATACTCAGTCAGACAAAATTATTGTCTTGGTGACGAGATCTAATAGCAGCCTTGGAACGTAGGCATAAATGGGACCTGCTGGTGGAAGGGTATGTGGTGCTGCAGGATAGGCACATGTTGAACGTATTTTACCATATCCCAGATAGGGAAGTAGGATTTGTGTTGTTGGCAAGGAGCCTGGATAGGAACGGGAGCCTGGATAGGTACAGGAACCGGCTGGCAGAGCATGGGCTGAGGGGGGACGCCCACCGGCACCTGCACGGGGACGGGGACAGGCCCAGAGTACTTCTGGGGCACAAACTCCTGGCTGTGGTAGATGAGCTGGTGTTCCTTGGGCTCCTCGGGGTCGAAAGCGTGGGGTGCATACTCCGGGGGAGTCTGCGGCATCTGGCGTTCCTGGTCAAAGTCATCGTCCAGGTCGTCAATGGTAGAGCCGCTCGATGTGAGCGAGCCCTCATCGTCAGAGGATGAAGCCGGCGACAGAGGCGAGTCGTAGTCGTAGTCGTCGATGATGGCATCCTCGGTAGAAACGTATTGGGTGGTGTGGTCTGGTGAGGCCGGTGGTGTCGGGGGAGAGACGGCCGGCATGGTAAACCTAGAGCAGGCCATGATCCTGGTTCGGAGCTCGTTGAGAGTGATCCGCTGCTCAGGGTTGGGTTCGAAGATCCGTCCCAGAATTTCGTTCAGTTCATCCGAGAGTGGGAGGATCGTCTTCAGGAAGTCCTTGGATCCGGCATAGGCCCGGTAGGTGGAGTCCTGGAAGGAAGCTTGTTTCCATGGGTTGCGTCCACAGGTGAGGTTGACGAGGATAACTCCAAGGCTCCAGACATCATTGGGGGCGCACATGTAGTAGGGCTTCCTAGCAGAGGGGTCCAGGCATTCTGAAGGTGGGGGAGGAATGTTAGTTGTCTGAAAGGTGAAGGGAAAGGTATCAAGGGGTCAATCAGTTCAGAGGGGAGGAAAGATATGTACCTGGACTCATGTAGAATGTTGAACCGCATCCGTAGTCCTCGGATCGATCATCTGAAGTGGCAAGGCCAAAGTCGGCCAGCTTGACAGTGTCTCCACGGTCTGTTACCAAGATGTTCTCCGGCTTGAGGTCCCGATGGTAGATTCCCAGGTTGTGGCAGTGCTCCACGGCATCCAGGATCTGGAGGAAGATATTCCTGGACAGTTCATCCTTACCAACATATTGACCACGTTCAGTAATATTCAGGAAGAGATCACCCTCAGGGCAATACTCGAGAATAACGTAGATGCAGTCGGGATCATTCACAATCTTGAGCATCTGCACCACGTTGGCGTGGTTGGATGCCTTCCAGTGAAGACGGATCTCTCGTTGTTGGTAGGCAAACTGACGGGGCTCCAATTGGGTTCCATCGGCGTTGAACTTGCTGAGGCACTTGACGGCGTATTTACCTCCAGTCTTGAGGTCGACAGCGAGGTAGACAACGCCATACGCGCCAGTTCCCAGGATCTCAGTCAGCTGCAGAGTACCCTCGAGCACTCTGCCTAGCCTCTCCTCCGGAGCAAGTGGACGTGTTGGATAGTGTCGCGGCACGGCAAAGGGTTGTTGGATGGTGCACTTGGGGTTGTCGAAACCAGGCGACGCCGGAGGGGTTTGGTAACCGAAGATAGCATGGTGCTGCATTGTTATCTGTTGATATCTAACAAGATCCTAGAACTGGGGAGTGGTGGTCCTGGGTCCAGAGATATATCCAAACGGGAGAGAGACAGAGAGAAAAGGAAAAAGCATAAAAGAGGATTCTCCAACGGCCAGAAAAGGATCCTGATCCAAAGTCCAACGGGTCGAGTTTAGCTCCTGCGGGTTGTTGTTGAGTGTTGTTGTTGCGTGGGTTGTCCCGATGGCCGAATCAACGGGTCGAGATAGGCAAGGAGGCAAAAGAGGTGTTGAGTCTTTGGCCTGTCGCCTTCCAAGGAAAGTCGGTAGGTTGTCGTGGGAGGGTAGAGGGCGAGTTTGACGGGACCGAGGAGGGCGACAATAGGACCTGGTGGTCACGTCTGCGAGAGCAGGGCCGGTGATGGAAGAAGGAAGTCGGAAGGAATGTCGTGAAAGTGGTGATGGAGGTCCCTCTTCTGAAGCTAGATCCGGGAAGAGGCCAGTATAACAGCTCGCGCAGGATTGAACGAGGCGGACGAGCGACACACACCAAGGCAGAGTACGTACCCAGCCGCAAGCCTCAGGCTTTGGATTGCGTGGATCACCCACACCAAGGGGGGTCCACCGGCTTCATCAGACCCTGGTAGGCTTGGAGAGATTAATGACATGGGTGCCTGTCCTGTCTTGGCCTCGTTGTGCGTTGCGTTAATGCTCCGTCTATTCTTGTCGAGCGAGCGAGGCGTGGAGCCGGAGGGGAGGGGAGGGGGGCGCCATGTACTGCACTGTACTGCTTCAAGGTTCGCCTGGGATGCGGCGTGCTGGGGCGTCGACTAGCTCGACAGGGATGGCGCCTTGGTGACGCTGAGCAATATACGAAGAGGCAAGGATCGTTAGCTCTGACACAACGAAATAAAGTGGTCCGCTGTGTGGTCCTCTGTGTCACTGCCTCCCCAGAGGCCAGGCCTGCTGCCCCCCTCTCTCAGGCTCTCAGCACTAACGCCATCCATCGGCCCACTGCCAGGCCACCCATCCTCGTCCAGTCAGAGGCACCGATGGGGCTGCTGTTGCTGGTGCTGGCTGGCAGATCCTGATCCTGATCCTGATCCTGATCGCTGGCGGGCGACCTGCCTGGGCGGAGTGGTCGGGTGCGTGTGCATGTTTGTGTGCACTGAGCTCTGTGGGCGCCCATCCGTCGGTACGCTCTGTGTGCGCTGTGTGCTGTGTGCTCTGCTGACACCCCTTCCCTCACTGTCCACTGTCTCCCCAGTGGGAGTGAGCCGTCCTGTGTTGCGTGTCCTTTCACTATTCCCCCCTGTTCCCCTCTTCCTCTCCACCGTCGGGCGAATCGTCATAATCGACAGCCCCGTGACGGATCACAGTTTGGCTCACCAGCCCGCACCCGCACCCCAAGCCCGCGCCCAGCTTCAGACTTTGCCTCCGTCTGTGACTGACCTGTCCGCCCCGGCCGGCGCGGCGAGGACGAGGCGAAGGGGGCGGCAGAGAGGAGAGCCTCCTCGGAGGCCGGCGTTGGACGAGACGAGACACACACGTTCTTTGTCTTTCATGGCCGCACACAGAGTTTGAGTGGAGTCAAGTCCGGCGGTGCTTTCGTACCTACACATGCTTTTTGCCCGACCACTGGTCCCGCGAGAAGCAGCGCAGCTGGAACGGAGCTGCAAACCTTGGCTGGAATCCTCGATCGAACAGAAGGAAACCGGCCGTGCAGCGAGCGATTGGCTCGTGGCAATCACAGGCAGGCGTCTGTGGCGCTTCGCCGACGTGTTTGCGGAAAGGAATGCATGAAGTCATGGAGTTGGTGACCATGCTGAGACCCTTCTGCATCTCTTTTGCGTGCAGTGCAGCATTTGTGCCTCAGGATATTATCGAACGCTCCTCTCTTTGGCTTCTTCGATCCAACCAGCCTCTCTCCTGCTGCACAAAGTGCCTCGTCGAGTCGCCCGCAAGGGGGGCTGAAAGGTGAACTGGCACCACTGCTGCAGCTGCCGATCACTACGGCAAATGGGCCGCCCATCCAGAGAGCACCAACGAGACGACGACGGGTCGGCAGCATGCATCTCTCTTCTGGGGCTAGAGCGCCTGCTGTAGGCGGATAGGCGCTGGCCAGGTCTGGGTGTCAAATGTGTGCTCGTCTTGTCTTACTCTGGCACGCGGTCTGAGGAAAAGAAGACACCAGTACAACGGCATCACTCTATGCCTGCCTCAAACGAGCCCTATTTCCAATCAAGAATCTCTAGTAATTTCCAGATCATTTGTCGAGTACTGATTCTCGTAGTTGTCGTCTCTTCCTGGTTTTTTTTTTTTCTTTCAGGGGCATATTTCGTCGTCCAGTAAGAGTATTTCCCAAGAGTCAGAAGTACTCTGCCCTTTCAGTGTCTCATTTTTCTTGGACTGCATGTGCAGGGCACAGCCAGGACAGATCGACATGTCGAGGGAGCACCTGAGTGGCTGGATCCTGCACCCAGTTCGTTTTTGATGTTGAGTTGGTTCAACCAGTGTCGGGCCAGCTTTGAGCTGTGATTGGTGCACGCCGGAGATGATATCTAACTGCGATGTGTATCATTTCGCCATTGTCAAGGCTGACAAGGAATGATTTGCGCCTCTGTGAAGCAACTGTACGTTTCACTCGTAAGCGAAGTCGTGTTTGTGTGCTGTGTTGTAGGCGGAAACGTGAGGCTGTCCAAGACCCAGCACAGAGATCTCATCAATCAAACAGGCGCCTGTGAAAAAGAACGATATGTAGCCCTTGTCTAACACTGGAGCGAGGCCAGCCATCCATCTGGTATCCATATGGCTTGTCTCTGCACGTATCCTTCTGACGGCGTTTCCTCAGAAGGCCTCAAACGTGGTGTCAAGTCATTGCTAAAGGGAAATGGTGGCAGGGCAGGCCGACCCGGACGGCTACTGGACGCATGCCGGCATGGGCGACGCAGACCCTGGACCATGGGATTGCTCGAAGCAGACGGGTGCAGAGCTGGTGTTGTTCTGATTGGGGTGACCATCCCGGGGTCCAACATGCCGACAACCCTGCCACGACAGCATCCAGTACAACCCCAGCGGTCCCAGAACTCTTGTCGACGATGCATCTCACCGTGAGGGCGAGGCCGTGCGTGTGAGCGTGGACAGTCGGCGTGCCCCTTGGACAGGCCACGACAGGCCACGACGGGCCGGGTGGGACAAGTGAGGCTGTCAACAAGAAATGGGTTGCAGAGGAGGCGTCCAATCACGGGTGGTCCTAGACAAAGGAAATGCGCCCGTTGTCGTCCACTTTGCTGTCACGCTGCAATCTGGTCGCCCGTTGAAGGCATGGACATGATCCTGATCCTGATGCTAATTCTGATGATGGGTTGAGGGCGAGGATGAATCAATGTGTTGCTTGTTGTTGGTTCATTCGCCTGCCCTTTGCCGGGAGATGCCTCGCCTCCACGCGCATTCCATGACGGCTGGAGCCCTAGATCCGAGCCTTGACAGCTGGGGAGTCGAGTCGAACTCACCGTGTCTGTTGTTATTGGCATTTGCTTTGTCCTCATGAGCAAGTGACTCTGCATATTGTCTCTGCTTCATCCGTCGGCCTCAGCCACGTATGTATTCCGCCGCGTGATGGAGACCTTGAAAAGACGTGTTGGCAATGGACATGTTAGGTGAAGCTCTCATTGTCGTCCTCTGCGAGCATTGTCTCACTCGTGCCGCTACCCTATTCCATGTCAAAAGCCGCTGTCAACAGCGAGATCCCCCGGAATCCCCCATCTCGCCCACTGAACTGTCGCTAAAAAAGGGGACGAGACAATGTCCTATCACTGGCAGATGTCAGACAGACGCTGGGGAACGGGTCATGATGCGAGAAATGCATGTCGCTGGGCTGTGATGGGGAAAAGAGTCCCCTGGTCTCAGCGATAGCCTGGCATGTTTTACACCTGGAGAAAGGGCGGTCTGGCTTGTCTCGCTGCTCAACTTGACCGTGATGTTCTCAAGATGCCCATGCATGGATGGCATGTCAAATCACGGGTGGGTCTAGGCCGCGTTGAGACTAGCGCCAAGATCTCGTTCTCCCTTCCTTCCAACTGTCTTGCTTGAGCTTCGTGTTCGCAACAACACAGACACAGACCAGCGAATAAACAATAGTTTCATGAGGAACATCCACCTGACGAGCATCGATACAGAATGGAGAACGGTTGACGGCAAGTCGCTTGATCCCTACGAATGCGAATGCAGCCAGGCCAGGTCTTGCCTTGGGTGCCATGCGATGGCGCCCCCCATGGCGCTGCCGTCCAGCAGGGATGTCCCCTGGAATCGACCCATTCTCGCCGCCCTTGCCAACGCCTTTCCAGGGCGTCGAGGCAGATGAGCGAGCACTGATTCCTCTGATGCCAGAGTGCCTCACTAAAGAACCCGTCTCGAATCTCCCCCAAGCGGCCAGTCTGGGGCGTCGATCATACACTCTAGCTGAGGCACGGCGCTCGCTCCAGACATTGCTCAGGACTGTCAGGAGGATCCATTTCAAACTTCCCGCCTTTGACGATGGATACTACTCTGCAGTCCTTAACTCGCCCGCTAAGCAAATCGATGAGGTCCAAGCAGCCCGCCAAACACGGGACAGATTCATCCAGTTCATGCATGAGCTGATTCTGAGCAGCTGGCTCTGACCGAAACCTGCTCCCCGTGACTTGACCGGCGGTGACCGTCATGGCTCTCACCTTTCTCCTGCATGGGAAGCACATCAAGCCGTTCTGATTCGACATGCCGCCCGTTATGCTTGGCCGATCCATCGGGGGCCGAAACTAGACTTGTCGACGTGCCACCATTGGTCGTGACTCGCATCAAGGATATGACAACTCGGGATGGTCGTTGATGATCCAGGAAAGAGGTGCAGATGCAAACTCTCGAGCTGGTGGCATATCGGTCCAATAGGAATGCCCTCAACCTTGCCGTCACGCACTCACTTACAAGACGCACAACCGTCGATAGCTCCGAGTCATGATCGTGCGTCAATGTCCGCAGTGTGAGCAGCGCAAGACGTCAGCCGGCACTGGGGAAGCACCGTCCGCACGGCACAAGACCCAAGCCTCAACTGCTCGATCGGGAGATGGTCAGAGAAAACAGGCACGGCGATGGACGGCGTCTCAGAGCGCACCATCACGTCCGTCCCCGCCAGGGCCACCTCCCCGGAGCCATGGCTGCGGTTGTTGAGTTATCACCAAGGCAGGGCTCCAATAGGGAGCAGAGACTGTTAGCATGACACCTGCTTTGAACACAGAATCGCCTGCTCCCCCCCGACCATTAGGCGTTTCTAGCCAGATCAAGCGATCCTTGCGTCTCGGCTGGGGATCTTGCAGAGGAAACAACCCGTAGTCATTGAGCTTGGACTTGTCAGTGGTCCGAGGGGAGCAGGAGGCAGGCAGGAATCCAGACTCGGCAGCAACAGGCTCACCGTCTTGTTCTGTCTCGGCCACTTCATGCACCTGGATCGAGAGGGCAAGCTTCTTGCATTCAATTCGCCCACCGTCTTAAACGTCGAACGCAACAGCTGGGATGTCCCGGGACGTTTCGAGATGGGCCGATCGAGGTCGATGGAAGAGCAGATTCACCGCCAAAGGCAGGATGTCCAGGGCCTTCCTTACGTAGCGGTTCGACGCAAGGGAGGACAATGCAACCGCGATTGGAGAGCCAGGCAGCCAGGGACATGATACTACGCCATCACGGGAGGATGGAGCCACGGCGGCATGCGGAACCCCGCTGCCAGCCAGAGTCAAACCAAAGCAAGCCGTTGTCTGGCCAGGCGCCTGGCACACCTGGCTCAGCGCAGATCTCGCTCGCCCGCTATCAATCTCATTTGGCGTTTCGCCACTTGACGGCATGTCATGGCGGCGGACGGCGATCAGCCATGGCTCGCTTGACCGTGGACCACATGTTCGTCGCATGGACTCTGGGCGTTGTGGTCCCCTACGCAGACGCAGAAAACGCACTCGCCGTGGCCGAAGTCTAAATCAGCCAGGCAGGCGCAGAGTTGAGACCCCTCAACGGCGTAGAAGGCGAATCGGGCTGCCTGGATTGAGGACTAAGCAGTGGCCAGGCCAGTGTGGTAGGGGCGGCGACGATTGGATTGGGTGGTGTAGAACTGGCGGGATGACATCCGCGGCGCCTCGAGGGCTCCAACTAACGGGCGGGACAGTGTGTGTGATGGTGGATGGATGATTTGCATCGAGAGCTTTCTTCAGCCGGAGATCTCTTGGTTCCTTCTTGGATGAGGTGGTTGGTTGGGACGTCTGCGGCATCAGATTCGTGGGACGATCCAAGCAGGACCAACGTCACTTCGACTCTCCTTTGCTTTGCCCTTCCTGGATGTCAAACCACCGTCTCAGCCTCAGGGATCCGGGGGACCAAGTACCGACAATAGCCTGCGCCCGGGCATGGACGGGGCATGGAGGAAGTGTCATGTGTTTCCACACGAGCGCAGGATTTGTCCGGGCACGAGGACGGCAGACAGATTCGGACGTCTCCTGATCCGTCACCCGGTGTTGCTGCTGGAAGTGGAGATGCCGTCACGGAGCGGGGCCGGGCACGACACGGAGGCCCGGTGAGGGCTACCCTGTATGGACAGCTTGATAATACTGTATTGGCCTTTACTGACTGGTTAGGCCCAGGAGCCGGAGATCTACGACCGTTGAGCTTGAGAGCACGGTATGAGTGACGAGTTTAGTTCTACGGTGGATCAACTCGCCTTGAGTTTCTTTGATCGGCTATTCACACGGGTGAGACACTCAACAAAATCGTGAATAACATCACGATCCCAGGTCTGACCCAGCACGATCAATCACCGGAGCCAACCACAGTCGAAACCACCGTACTTCATCCACCAGTGAGCGACTACGGATAAACTCAACGTCAAACACCAAGGACCCAAAGTCGTCATGGCATAGCGCGCCCGAGACAAGACGAAACCACCAAGGCGAGGAGGGCGCACACGACAGCTTGATCGCCAAACCAGGTCGTGATGAACCTGGTTCCTGGAAAGGGTTCAGGCCTCACTGGACGAGCAGGCACCCCAGCGAACCAATGCCCTCAGTGACGCCGATCCTGACGACACACAAAGGCCTCCCCAGTCAAGTCGTCCATATCATCCGATCGCTACCCTTTGCCACGCCCGTCATCAATGTCTTGCCCTGCCTCGCACGTATCGCCCACAGGCCCCTTCGTCCCGCCCCCTGCCTCTCGAACAATTCCCCCAGGGCTTCCATCTCACTCACCGTTCCTGCTGCGCCCAATTGAGGATCCCTCTATCGCAGCCCAACAAGTGAGGCTGAGACTAAACTAAGCGACCGAGCGACCCCGTTCTTTGCTTTTTCCCTCGTTCGAACTCCACCTGTTGACTCTACTGGGGCCCGGGATGACACGGACGGACCAAAGTTGCTCGTGCTGGGGGATGATCCATGGAGAAAGCAAGCAAGTTGCAAGGCAAGCCCTGGCGCCCTGTGATGTGATCGTCCGTCCTGGGGAGAACCCAAGGTTCGCAATTTCCATCTGACGGGGGTCGCCCGCAAGTTGCAGGATTGTTACAGGTGTGTATGAGACACGATGTTGCTCATTACCACCTGCTTACCAAGAGCAACAACGGGCGCTTTGGATGAGAAGACACACACAAATCGTCTCGTCTGTATGCACATCATCACCTTGAGTAAAAAAAAACAGAAAAAGAAAACCCCACATTTTCCGGCTTCACCTGGTGGTTGGCACAACTGCTTGCCAGCACAGCACATTCAAAGGTGGACCGTCCAACCCGCGAGGGTAATATCGCCGTGCAGGACCTGAAGATCGCTGCAAAAAAAACAACAAAAAAACAAGCCAAGTCTTTCACCCTGACGATTGGCAATCTCTCAATGACGTGAATTTTCTTGCTCATTCAATATTAAGGGGATTGATCGCCGACGCTCTCTCGTGTTGCGCAGGATGAGATCTTCGCCTTCCAACTTGGGGGAGAGTTGACCTCATCATCGACAACTGATCCATGACATGACACGCAGTGATGGGCAATTCAATCCTGGATACTCAAGTCACACCCGTCAATCTCTTTTCGATAGCCTGGGCCTCTTGGTCTTGCCTTGCAATTCACCGACGACATACGTGTCCCGGTTCTCGTCGCTTGTTCAGCCGTGACACAAGTCCGCCGCGTCCTCTCCGAGACAGCAGGGCTACACTACCTGTGCCTCCCTCTAAAGCTGTCGTCCAACGGCGGATCCTGAGGAAATACAGGCTTACACAGGCGGTTCAAGATCTCGTCTCGTGCAACAGTGACTCCTCCGTGTGGCAAAAACATCCAAACATCAAAAAAGTTCCCTCCTTACTTGATCATCGCCACGTTACGCCCCCCCCCCCCCCCGGTTTTTGCATCCACAAACATCACCAGGCGCGCGGCTGGAGGCACTTCTGACTTCTCCCATTCACATGTTCACACGTCGAGGCAAAACAGAGCAAATCTCTCTTTCTCGCCCGGCTTTGCAGCCAAGGTCTCGGCGTAGACCAACGCTCGTCTGCCTTGTCTGCCTGTTCCCCACGCTCACGAGGAGAAAGGCCAAGGCAACCGCGCCACCCCGTTATTCCTGGAAGTCCTTTTTTTTTCTTCTGCTTCTTAACCAACGAGTTCCTCCGTTGAAGCCGGGCGTTCGGACGTGCCGGGCGTGTTGTATGTGTTGAGGCTGACCCAGTTTGATATTCAATCGCCGATTCAGACCGAGACAATATGAGATCAAAGGCCGCCCCTTACCGTGAACCACCACACAGAGACAGATCGGCTCGAGATCATGTGGACAGACCTTGCACCTTCTAGCCTGCTTCCAGGTCTAGAATCTCCCTTCGGTTCAACTGCAAGACATGAGGCAAATATGTGAGACATAACGAGGCATGACATAAACGGCGGTGACACCTTTCAGAGAGCACTGACCAAGTTTGTAACCATTCACTTGTGAACCAAAGAGCCTCCCTTTGTTCGTCTAATAATCTAGCCAAGTCTACCCACCCAGTCTTTGTTTTCCTACGATCCACATGTTTTACAATCAACTTCTCCAAAACAAGCCATCTCTCGTCATTCACGATTCCTCCCGTCTGCTTCACCGCCGTACATGCCCCGCTCGCGAGGTAAAGAAGGGATGGCGTAGCGCATCTGCAGGTTTGATCCTCTTGTCCGGGTTGAGTGTGAGACAGTGCTCAAGGAGGTCGATGAAATGGTTCAGATCCCTAGTCTCGGCGTCGTTCATACCTCCCGAGGCGGCCATGAGCCTCGTCCGCAGGTCGCGTGTGGGTTTCACCACAGCCATGGTCCGAACGGTAGTCTGTAAGCGCGACATATGTTAGCCTACTGAATCCTAGCAAAACAACAATAACAAGCTTTCTAAATCGAGAAGTGACAGGAACCATGCGGGTGGGAATGGGGATAATGGCTGAGCGCTTGGACTGAACCTTGGCAGCCGTTGAAACCTGCATGCAAGGGATGGCATACTCATCGTGGCTGATGCTGAGAGGGAATTCGATGTACCGAGACAAGAGGCTGACGATGCATGCGGCCGGATCAGAGACCTCGAAAGGATCACGATGCGTCTTGTCAACATAGCCAGCCATCTCATCTCGTCTTATCCATCCCTGACAATAGTCACAGCCCGCAAGGAGTTCTAGATCCTAGATCCAACAGCATCCAATGTCTCTGGATCCATCGACCGTTGGATGGATGGCTGACCAAGATTCAAGGTGACGCTTCCCCACACGGACTGGGCGCTTCCGACTGCAAGGGGAGCCAAGCGCTTACACCCAGGAGCCCCATAGCAAAACGGCCCCCAGCATGGATGTTTGCAAAAATAGAAGAAAGACATTGCGTGTAAAGACATGGCCGCTTGAAGCATGGCCTAGTGGCGCTTGGGAATGGAGGTAAGGGGTAGGAATGGCAAAAACAACAACATACGTGCATGCATGGGGAGTGAATCGAAATCATAACATACCTTTCCGAGAACCTTGTCACGCTCGACGCTGACGAATTGCCCCTTGTCGTCGAAATGAACACCCGCCAGTTGACCTCGCTTGAACAGTTTCGGCGTGAACCTGCCTCGGATCTCCATAATGGCCTTGAGCATCTGGTTGTTGCTGTCTCCGGTGAACAAGATCTTGCCTGTGTACAACTCGTACAGGGTGCAGCCGATGGACCACATGTCGACCGAGTAGTCGTAGGGGATTCCCAAAATAATCTCTGGCGCTCGATAGAATCTACTGACAAGGTACGGCGTAATGTCCATATGCGCCGTTGCTGCATCAGACTTGTCGATGGCTGTTCCCAAGTCACAGATCTTGAGCACGTTGCGGCTCTCATTCACCTACTCAAGTCAGCATCATGTCCACTGATATCAGTCAGGATAACTTACCAGAATGTTGTCGGGCTTGAGATCAGCATGGATGATACTGCACTTCCGCATATGTGCCAGAGCAACAAAGATCTGGTACGCATACGCTCGCGTCGCCCCAAGGTTGATGCCCACGTTGTTTCCAAACTTGCGCAGCACTTCTCGCAGGTTCATGCTCAAGTTCTCAAACACCATACACAGATGGCCCTTGTAGTCGAACTGGCGCTCAAACTTGATGATGTGCTTTCGATTCTCAGGGTCGGCGTCGTTGAGCTTCTCGAGGATGGCAATCTCAGTGTAACCTCCCTTTCGGAGGGCGTCGTTGTTACGCATCATCTTGATGGCAACAAGCTGCTTCGTGGTAATGTCGACAGCTCGGGCCACGCCCGAGAACATGCCCCTTCCTAGTGCAGACTGAATCTGATATCGACCGTTCAGGACCTCACCGATACGAATCTTGTAATATCCATCCTTGTCGTCGCCTTCGAGAATACCTCCCTTGACAACGGCCTGAACATCAGGAGCTGCACCGTCGCCCTGTGCGGGTGCCAGAGGTTCAACAGGCTTTGTTGCGTACTTGTCCTCGTCAAAGTCTTCGGCAAACATGTCAAAGTCGCCATCTTCGTCTTCATCGCCAGCCTTTTCAGACGGCTTTTCCTGTACTTCTTCCTGTGGTTGTTCGGCTGCAGTAGGATGATGCTCACCATGAAGTACGACGTGTCCATGTTTAAGTTCACCTCGTCGTTCATCCTCTTGCATGTCCCCAGTTGGGTCATAATCGGCCGCAGAGGGACCATCCTCGTCATCCACTTGAGTCTTTCCATGAGTGTTCATCAACTCTATGTCGTCGAGGAGGTTGATACCACCGGGCGATGGCTCATCGTGGGACCCGGGTGAGCGTGGTGATGCTAGGTCTGTAACATTGGTTAGTCGAATCCCCTTACTGAAACATGTTGACATACTCGATCGAGGAGTGCGAGGAGTGGCAATCTCTGACTGCGTTCTCATGGGCGTATCGGGCAAAGTCGATGCGGGAGATGATGCGCGGGCCTTGTTCGCCGCAGCACCCACGGCATGAAGGAGAAGGGGAGTCGCCGAGCTGGACTTGGCCAAAATCTCCTCTCGCCGCTTCCGTCGTCGCTCGATCTCGGCCTCTTCGTCAATGGGCTCAGGTTCCTCGTAGTCAGGCTCAGGCTCCGGTTCGTGCTTCCGTTCGGGTTCCGACTGAGCCAGGGTTTGCCTATTCGCAAGGTTGGCACTGTGCTGTGACTCGGACAGAACTTCAACGCACCTAAGGGAACTCCGGGAGGGGCCATTTCCATTTGAAAGGCCTTTGTCTGGTTTAGCATCATGTCGCTGGGCGCGTGAAGCCTCTCCTACAGTCGTCCTCTTGGACACAGAACCGCCATTCCGCGAACCACGGTCATCATCATACTTGAGCTCTCCGGATGCGTCGTCTCGACGATCGTACTGGCCTTCTCTCACGAAGCGGTCGAACCTGCCCCTGTCGGCGCGGCGGGATCGATGGGGAGAACGGCTCCTGTTTCGCGGGCGCTTGTTCGCATACCAGTCCCGATCCTTGTCGCGATAGTGATCTCGTTCCCGACTCCGGTCGCGGCCATCGTAGCTGTAATTGGATGCGCGTGATGCAGGTCGGTCGAGGTCGTCGTACAGGCCGCGAGGCCTTCGATTATCGTCGCGTCGAGAATCCTCGTAGTGAGAGCGATAGTGTCCCGAGTCATGCCTCGAACCATAGTAGTCTCGGTCCCTCTCCTTTTCCCTGTCGTCGTAGGGTCGCTTGGAACCACGGGGTGAGTTGCTTCGTCGCGGGGTGTTGCTTTGCCTGGAAGCCGAGTCGTGGTCCGGAGTCGAAAGTCTACTTTTGTGTCTGTCTTGACGGTCAACACTGCTTCGTCCAGTGTGCTGCAGTGAAGTTGCCTTCAAATCTTCAGCGCCATTCTCGATGATCTCGCCTTCATCCGAACTCGACGCCATGATGCTGAGTTTCGGCTTCTGAAGTAAGGACGAGCAGAGCAGAACAGTGTCAGCGAAGAGGACTGAGAAGAGCACAGTGCAATGGGAAAAGAGCCCAACCGGATCAGTAGGTAGTGACTCGTACAGGCTCAATATCGTTGAGGGTGGCTTGAGAGGGGGAAATGGAGCCAGAGCGTTGTCCAGACGAGAAGCGACTGAGTATATGGAATCTGGTGGTATAAAGCTCCTCCTTGAATGAGGGCTATCGGATCGGATCAGGTGATGTGAAGCCTGGATGATTGTACCGTGTCGTTAGGCCTGGATTGTGTTGCTCAACATCTCCAGACTTTGACGTAACTACGTAGTTGTCTGTGACTGCCCGTTTGAAGGCTAAAAAAGGTGGAGGAAAATGCGTGCAGCCAAGCAGATGCCGAGATTAGGTAAGCCCCGAGAGGTTCTTATCGAGGGTCCAGGTTAGCTGGAAGTGCTTATCCCCCCGCGCTCAGTGGGCTCACCGCTGGAGGCCTAAGGGATGGAGGCCCGGCCTGGCCTGGTCCAGGCGTTGGCTGAGCGAGTAAGCGGGAGGCAACTTTTCTCGCTCCCGTCTCGCGACATTCAACTTTGAACTCTACCACCGCAACTCAACTTTCTCGTTTTTATTCCCACAAGTTTCGCATCTTCTTCTACATACATCAAAATGGGCGGTGCTAACCGAGAAGGTCAGTAGTCTCCTCAAGATCTCCCTCTTCAACCCCTCCAGGAACGTAGAGCTGACCCCTCCGAATCATCACAGGCGGCAAGGTCAAGCCCTTGAAGCAGGCCAAGAAGGCCCAGAAGGACCTCGACGATGACGACAAGGCCTTCCTCGAGAAGAAGCGCGCTGGTACGAGACCTCCCCCGAACTCTGCGAAATGCGCCGCGAGAAGATCATCCACTGACAATAATGCCAACAGACGAGAAGGCCCGTAAGGAGCTTGCGGCCAAGGCTGGCGGCAAGAAGGGCCCCCTCAACACTGGCGGCCAGGGCATCAAGAAGAGCGGCAAGAAATAAATGCATTTCCTCGTTAAAACTGGACACACGAGATCGAGCGCCGTTGGGTACTCATGGCGTGAGAAAGAGAGAGCATTTCACCAGCCGGCTTTGTTTTGGAGTTTTAGAACATTTGGCGCCTGCGTGCTGAACGATACACCTTGCGCAATGGCTAACGAGAGAAATGAATTCTATGCTGACAACCTATTTAAAACCGACTTTTTAGTTTGGCTGTTTCCTGTGATGCTTCTGCTCGTATAGTTTGATTGCTGCGGTCAAGAGTCTCCTGCTTTGGACCCCTGTATTAGTGCTCAAACCACTAAAATGCTCCAACCGACGTCTCGCTTTTAAACCTCCAATACTCTCTAAACAAACACTCATAACTTGCATCTTCAAGAATCAGGGTCTCTTAACGAATAGAGTGGGCCTTCTACATCGATTCTAGACGCCTTCTTCCACGTCACACTAGCCTCGGAAGCACGTTTTCTTTTCCCATGTGCTCGTCCCAACAAACCCACCCCTGGTCAACAACACAACAAGAAAGCCGGCTCCATCTTGAGGCGACAAGGTGGAACTCGTCAGTTCATCGTGTATAAGTAAAGAGCTGCGTCCCTCATAATTATTAGTATTTGGACCATCTCTTATAGTCGACGTGTCCCTGCGGTACCTTGCATAAGAAGTCTGGATAGCTTCATCATGACGGACAACACCGAACCCTCCGGCGTCCGCAACCGGCGCCCATCTTCAGCAGACTCCCTGCTATCCGCCGCCAAGAGCTTCGAGTCCAAGCTCGAGCACTCGCTCCTCATCCTCTGGGATGACCTCCCTGCTTGGCGTCGCGACAACGCCTTCATCCTCTCGGGCTACCGGCAGTCCCGCGGGTCCTACACGCACTCGCTGCGCTCCCTCTTCTACCTTCACAACGAGTCCGTCAACATCTGGTCGCACCTCCTCGGAGCTGCAGTGGCGCTCATAGTCGCGGCGTACGTGGACCGAGTGGTCCGTCCGCGGTATGCGACCGCCAACGTCGCCGATGTGGCCGTGTTTGCGTGCTTCTTTGGAGGAGCCGTGGTGTGTCTGGGTATGAGCGCTACCTTTCATACCCTGTCGAACCATAGCGAGACTGTGGCAAAATGGGGGAACAAGTTGGATTACACGGGAATCGTGGCTTTGATCGTGGGGAGTTATGTTCCTGCGCTCTACTATGGATTCTTCTGTCATCCCTATTTGACGAGGGCATATCTCTCTTTGGTAAGTGAATCTTGCGGGATTGATAGAACAACTTGGCTGATCGGACCAGATTTGTATTCTTGGACTTGGCTGTGCTATTGTATCGTGGGTTGAGCGTTTCCGTACCCCTCGATGGAGGCCTTATCGAGCCATGATGTTCGTTGCTCTTGGTCTCTCTGGTGTCGTCCCCATCATCCAAGGTGCCTTCATCTACGGCATCCAGGGTCTCGAGGATCGTATGAGCCTTAGCTGGACCGCTCTGCAGGGTGCTATGTACATCTTTGGTGCCTTCCTTTATGCGGTATGTCTTCTTATCATGTTGAGTATACGGTTGACTAACTCTGATTAGACTCGCTGGCCCGAGAGAACCGCTCCCGGAATGTTTGATATCTGGGGAAGCTCGCATCAGATCTTCCACGTTTTTGTCATCCTTGCGGCTGCCACTCACTTCTATGGCATGGCCAAGGCATTTGACTACCACCACACCATCTTGGGATCTCAGTGCCCCGAGCAATGATTGACCTATTCCTCCGGTTCTGCCAGCCCGAGATCCATGACCCTCACGAGCCCCGATGCCATGGCCGCCGCAGCCCAGCACCCGTATTCTTCGTTTGGATTCCACTCGGCCACTGTTATCCTCGTCAAGGGCTCATAAATAATGGCCCTCGTTGGATCTGTGGCAGCGCCTGCGTCGTCATCGTCGGCCGCAGCCACGTCGCTCTCCTTCTTCTTCGGCTTCTTTCCTTTCTTAACAGGCGGCTTGTAGTTTGACTGCTTGTTGAGGTTTCGTTCTAGGATGAAACCTTGTGCTATTCTGGCGACTCCACGTGCCGCAGCAGGCGAGTCAGCTGGGAATAATTTGGCGGGCCGGTGTTCGTGATGGAAGACTCGGATGCGATCTGTGGGCTCGCGTCTTGTGGTAAAGAGCTCGACCTGGGGATTAATCGACCAGAGTGAGCCGTCCAGGGAACCCACAAGGAGGTATGGATGTGTCCGCCCAACAGCGAGACAGGAGGGGAAACTCTCTCCTGTGAAGACACGACGGGCAACCGGGAATTGAGAATGATGCATGAAGCCAATGTGTGTGTTGAGAACACCGGCAGATGGATACATGGAGTAGAACCCCAGCATGTGGTCGCTGTATCCAAGTAGGTTTGGCTGCGTACCGACTGTCAAGCTCTGAACCTCGGTGGATTCGTGACTCGGAGCTCGGAGGTCAATGAGTCTGACAGTTCCTCCGACAGGGGTGGAAGCAATGAGATAGGGCATGGCTGGGTAACCCGACACAAGGTCAACGACGATGTTGTGATGAACAGGATGTCGAGAGAGTAGGCGATTGGGACGGATAGACCAGATAGAGACAGAACCATCCGTGTAGCCAACCACGAGTCGATTGAAGTTGATCCATGTCAGAGCTGTTGCTTTGATGTCTTCATCAGGGAAGCCAAAACAAGCCACAGGTTCTTGTACTTTCTCTGGAAGACAGTTAGCAGAGTCAGGTGAAGGAAGCAGTATACTCGCCATAATCTCCCTCCCCATCGTCACCAGCGTCAACAACGTAAACATTCCCATCATCACAAAGCACAGCCAAGAACCCACAAGCCGGACTCCATTTGACCCTCCGCGCCCGTCCATACTCCAAGCATATCGTCTTGCGCAGAGTTGGTTTCCGCGAAGACGGCCGAGCAAACCCGTCTTCCTGCCTTTCACCCAAAAACTCCCAAAGCTGAACGGTACCATACTTCTGGAAGTCGGGCTTCATGGACTCTTGCTCGTAGTCATAGTGTTCCTGGTCAGAGTGCGGGATGACACAGAGAGCCAGAAGCTGCGGCGCGTTGGCGCTGTGGAGAGGTGCCCAGTCCATGCCGGTGACGATACCGCCGGTGTCAAACATCCATCCCGCAGCCGTGCTGGATTCATCTTCCTCTGATATGGGTAGCCCATTTTGTGTGATCGGGTATGCGTCTCCGGGCTCGAATTTGACCTCTTGCTGAGACGTTGGCGGTCCCATCAACACTGGCATAACCTCTCGCCGAAACTGGTACAGCTGAGCTTCCTCCGGGGGTAGTCGTACTCGCGAGTCGGCGTCCGGCAAACTTTCCCTCACGCGTTCATACCAGTGTTCAGCGTTGTAAGCCTCGCGCTCGAAAAAGTTGGGCGACCAGACGCCCCTGTTCTTCTGCCCGTCCTCGCCCTTGATCTTTGGAGGCAGCGCTGTCCAGTCCATCCACCGGTCCAGCATACCTTGCACCATCTTGATGCCGTCTTCGTGCCGCCCGTACCATGCTTCGATAAGTGGACGTCCCTTGACGCCGCGGTCATAAGGTCCCCAGTAGGACCTCACGATGCGGCCATCCGCCACAGGCTCAACATCAAGATAACCCGTCAGGCCAGCAGCGCGCACATTGAAGGGTCGAATAGGCTTTATCCGCTGGCGCGCGAACCTATCGGGAATGCCATCGGGTTCGCTCACGAAGCCTTCCGACTCGAGAGCCTCTTCCTCAAGCGCGAGCTCTTCTTCTTCAGCGCTCTCGGCGGCGGCGGTCACGTCAAAGTTCTCATCGTCCTCTGCATTCGCGGCGCGCTTGAGGATTTCCTCATCGGAACTGCCTTCAAAGTCGTATTTTTCAACAGTGTACCGTTTGGTGCGATTGGATCTGCGGGTTCTCATTGTGAGGTGCGAGGAGGAGCTTGTAGTGTCAAAGTTGAGTTGCGCTGGTGAAGAAGGTGGGGCTTGTTTTTGGTGTAAAAACTGCCCAGCTTCTCACGACACGCTCACACAAAGGACATCTAAAGAGGAACTATCACCAATAAATTCAAGAATTGAATCTCGCGAGAAACTTATACAATGCGATATACCAGGGAATCTATATATACTGAAGAAGCTATGTATCATATCGGCCTTTCCTTGCTGTCGTCAGCGTTACTTGTGGATTCCTCGGCAGTCAAAGTCCAACTTGTCGACCTCGAGACAGTCGAGACACAACCCTACAAAGGTCTCATTCAAGCCGCGCAACCGCCTCAACAACGCCATGTAGATTGGAACAGCATTTGGAGAAATTCTGTTAAAGGAGCGCTCCGCCGGAAAACTAGTTTCGATTTTTAGGATCTGTGAGGTCAAGTCGCTGATCGAGTAGTCGTTGCCGACGCTGTGTAGGCCGGGGTTCCTCGAGTAGGAATCCAACACCCCTCTGAGCAGTCGATAGTATGGTATAATGTCCGAGGACATTTCATTATCCGAGTGACCATTATTGAACCGGGCCATAAGCTCGGCATTGATGAACTTTGTAATCCTCCGCATCATAGTTGCTCGCATTTCTTCCAAGGCACCTGGACAAATGGCACGGTTTAGCACGGAATGGAGAAGAGGAGCGCAAAACTTACAGGCAAGCTTGTAGATAGTTCCACGAGGAACCGAGTCGCAGATATGTTGCTCGTTCTCAACAGCGAGGGACATGAATGAACCCCCATGATTGAGGACGAGAGACCGACTGAAGAGTTGAAAGAGCTCTTGGGACTTGATTTGGTGGCATATGATCATGAGAAGAAAATGGTTGAGAGTTGGATCGGGGACATATTTTCTGACCCAAAACTCCATGGAAAGGAAAACCGAGTCGACAAGATTGTACTTGTCAGCGATCTCGAGGACTCGCATGAGTACTTCTTCGGATGGGCAGTACTGCGTGGTGCTGGCTTGGCGATGGATAGCGATGCAGATAAGCTTGAAAGCCTCGAAATCATCGCCAGGAAGAGGAATATCGACTGGCTGCCCGCAAGCCGCAGCATAATGGAGCATCTGACCTTCCCTGAAATGACCTGCCAGCATGGCGGAGAAGACAGGAGAGGCACTCTTCATGATGCTCGATTGAACCTGGACCTTATCGAGTCCCCCACCGACGACAAAGATGACATCTCCATCGGGAGCGACGCGCTCCAAGATCCCTTCCTCTTTGGTGATGTTTCTCCCGGACGGCGAATCGTCGCCTCGTTTGCGCTTGTGGGCGGGACTAGGCGTGCTCATGTTTTAGAAGATGTGAAGCTGGGCGATGTAAGAGGTAGCATGAACGGATTGGGCGAAGTGGGGGAACGTTAAGGCATTCACGTTGGGCGACGGCATGAAGGCAGGTGACAGCCCTCTCTGTCAACGCCCTGCCCAGCTTACTTGGCAAAATTTTGAGCTGGGATCGGTTTGACTGTTTGATGATGAAATATCTATCCGTTTCATCCTTTAAATTATTTCCCTATGAACCGGGCCATAGCAGTTACATGAAATATTTGTGCCTAGGTTTATAGAGTAGCCTGAAGAAACCAGGCAGACTCTTGGTTACCTGGTACGCACTTGAAGCGAAGTATTCCCCTCCCTGTGCACTTCTCTCTGTCTGAGGCCCAGTCGAAGCAAGGGAGACAGACTCCCTTCACTTCGTTTTCGAGATTGACGCTGGCCTTATGGATGCGCTCATATTCTCTCAATCGAGATCCAGCGCAGTCTTTGCAACGGCCAGGGGTAAATGCCTTGAACAACACGCCCAACAGGATGCCAATGGTGCTTTTGATGGAGTGGCTATATTGGGTGGCTTCCCTCTGGCCTTGAAGAGCTTGACAGTACTCAGGTTGCAAGGTGCTTGAATGGTGCTGACAACGGCACTTTTCAAGGGCGCTGGGTAGGTCCGTGTGAAAAACCTTGAGTACATTAGAGAGTGCTTCGTTCCGCGTCTCTTCAAAAATTGCTAGATAGAAAGGGTGGGTTAGTATTTGACGTGGGCAAGCGGGAGATATGGGCTGAGAGTAACGTCTTACCGGCAAGTCTGTACACAGTACGCCCTGCGTCTGGTCCGGGAATCACGTTTTCTGTTTTCGCTGCGAGTTCGACGAATGACCCTGAGTGATTGAGGATGAGACGGCGAGTGGTGGATTTGAAAGCCTCGGCGTCGTGGGCTCGACAGCAGGCAAGTGACAAAAGCCAGAGGCCGTTGGTGTTAAGATCCTCTTGCCGGTCAATCCAGACCTGAATCGAAATCTGTATTCCCTTCTGGAGGTCGTACTTCTCGGCGATGTCCAAGACCTGGATAATCTCCTTTGGGGTCGGTGACTAGAGGTTTGTGTCGGCCTGAGAATGCAGCACACGGCAAACCCACCCGAAAGCGACTGCGTCGTCCTCAGGCAATGGGACATCGACGGATGCACAATCACCTGCGCTGAGAGCATGTCCTTCCTTAAAGTTGGGGCCCAGCATGGCGGCAAAAACGGGCGACGCATTCTTCATGACTGCGGAGTTGACCCGGACTCTCGTGTTGCCCTCGTCGAGCACGAAGGTAACGTCTCCGTTTGGGGCGATCCTGTCGAACTCGAGATCGTCGGCGAAGGCCTCCTCAGCCGGCCGCTTTTTGCCTCTATTGTCTCCCATGGTGTTGAACGTTGAGTGTTGGGTGTAGGTTGTGCAAGTAAAAGATAGTGAGAAGGAAACCTGGGATGAACAGGGAGAGAGAAGATGGAGGAGGTGACTGTTCTTGGGTGAACTTGTGTTTGTGTTTGCCACGGGCGAGGCAGTGACCTGTCACTGTTCCTAGGAAGATGGTCGGCCTTGTTGTTAATATCCAACACCAATCACCAAACACGACAAACGAAACAACCTGTTTGGAGGACTAGAAAGACTACCAACCCTCCCCTTTGCCGCGAAAGCTGCGGCGGAATCTCCGATACCCATCCAACGATCTCCGATACCCATCCAACGATCTCCGATACCCATCCAACGATCTCCGATACCCATCCAACGATCTCCGATACCCATCCAACGATCTGCGACGCCTAGAACGAGCTGCACGACGCACCGCCGCGGACCTCCATCCTCATTGACGAATCTTTGCTGTCCGTCTTGAACGAAGCGCCGCCACTCAGACCCCGTGGTCTGTAGTTGGCCTTGATGGAGATGCCGGTTAAGAGGTGGGACATGAGCTCCTCGCTTTTAGACTTGGTGCTCTTGAACTCGAGGACCGTGCCAGCGGCCGCGATGAAGCTGGTTGGGCACGCTGGGAACTTGCTATAGTCGGCAAGCTTAGTCGCCGTCACCTCTTTCAATCCGGGTGTTAATTTTGGCGTCGCCGGAGCTCAGTTTGACGTCGTCGAATGTGTCAATGTCAAAGTCTTGGAAGAGATCAGTATGTAGCCAAGGACGGCGGATGGTGACCAGGATGGCGGAGAAGAACGCGTCTACAGTGCATTCGAACAGGCCTTTCTGAATTTTATTGCTGGCACCGCTCACACTGCTGTCGGCATGAAGTGAAGCGAACCAGCCGCTAGCATTCAGGTCGATACTGGCGGTGGTGGCTTGCTCTCTGGTGCTGGTGCTCTCGCTTTTGGCCTCGATGGTGAAGGTGATCTTGGTCCAGGTTTCAGACTCGGAATTTCCATCCTCATCCGGGGCTTTTGGTGCCTGCTGAGCTCGCATGCTAAACTTATCAGTATGGATGATGTTGCGGTTCGCCTCGATGTCGATAATGGCTGACGGTAGGCCCTAAGCAGTGCTTCGATAGCCTCAATCTACTGATTGTTGACCGAATTGATATATTTCCCCTCCCGGTCATCTTCATCTCTGCCATGGAGATGCGGCTTTGAGCCTCTTGCAACACCCCCTCTCCTCAATCCACTTGTCTTTGCTCGTCTCCAGCCCGTCCACTGCCGTTGCTAGCTCTTTCCTGGAGCTGGCTTTGCCAGTTCTATCATCCTCGGCGAACTTCTTTCGTGCCGCTGAGACATTCTTCTTAAGCCCGCAAAGCTGTTTCGTAGTCTTCTGGAGATTCTCGTCGGCCGTCTTCTCATTCGACGTATACTCTGCCCTTTTTTGTTCTAATTTCTCCTTAACACCATTAAGTTTTCCTTTGGCGTCGGTAGATTCCTTTTCGCATGCTTCCACAACCTTCTTCGTCTCGGGATCCGTCTCGGAAACTGCAGCGTTTGTTTGATCAAGATTCAAGTTGAGTTGAGTAGCATTTTTCTGGCAAATGGTAACTTCTTTCTGAAGACGAACAAGTTCATCTTGCTCACTATTCTTGAGCCTTTGTGATTTCTGTTAGTGCCGCATGTTTGTAAAAGTAGCGTGAAGGGTGTGCTCACTGTCTCATAGGTCGAGTATGCATCCTTCATGCGTCTCAGGTTCTCCAGTTTCACGAGGCCTTATTGGAGGGGTTATCAGACAAGCATTAGCTTCCTTGATCCTAGCCACGATGGAGTCGCGATCTACCAAAGCTATGCTGAGTGTCAGTGACTGGGCCTGGGGATGACATTGTGGATGTACAGGCCAAAAGCGTAGCCGACCCGGAACTTGTCCCTATTCACAGCCCAATCCATCCATCTAGCATGAGTTTTGGCTTGAGACTAGTATCACGTTAACTGAGTTTCAAGATCAATCGACTTGACGAACGTCTCTGATGTTCTTCTGCCTCTCACCGTGATCTGCACTTGCTTGCTGATCGGCATGGTTCATCCTGGCATCTTGCAAGAAGCATTAATGCAGTCACCAAGAGCATCACAGAAAAGAGAAGGCCATACCAGCAGCTTGGTTTTGGCATCGTCAAGTTTGGCACACGCCTCGGCCTAGGCCAACTGTTTGGCGACGCAAACTTCAACCAGGCTTTCAGTCTCGCCCATTTGCACGAGCTGCTTCTTTGCGCCTTTGACTTTCTGTTCCGAAATTCTCTCCTGGGAGACTTCCACATTGGAGATGAGAAATAGAGCGCCTGTCCGTACCGTGTAGCCTTGTTAAGTTTCGCTTACGGAGTCAGTGCAAGTCTCGTCATGGGCAATACACTCTCACCTCCTATATCAGTCTTTGTAGGCCCAACGTCTGTATTTTGAGGAACCAGGGTACTGAGGGCCGTTTATTGACTATGGGAGACGCTTTTGCTACCTGGGCCAAGCTGAGAGGTGGACTAGTCAGTACAGAAACAGTATCTCAGCCATGGGCCTGACCATGATTTTATCCAGAGGTACCATGGCGTTTACCAACCTGGACTCATTGACACTAACTTTGCCACGGCAATCAACAATAATCCTGTTCGGGCTCTCAGAGCCGAAGCTGACGTGGAGCGGTTAGTAACAGGCGCCTTAAAAGGTAGACATATACTTACCCCCCAACGGGGGTGTCAATCACCTGGCCCAGAATCAAGAGGGTGAGGTATTGTTCGAAAGAAGCTCCCTAATGCGTCTTGGGCCTTAGCTGATATGCAGTACATCGACTAGTCTGGCTAGGAATCTGGGTGCGGTCTACCTGCTAAAGATCAACGTGTGGACTAGCTTAGGTCTCGAAGGTAGCAACCACTCGACTTGAAATGACTGAAATCTCGTACCTGATCTCAGTTTCCCAAGTATTGAATGATATTAGAAGCTCGATAGAGACCAGGATCTTGGCTCATGTTGAACGTCCGAGGTGGCCAAGATATTGCGGTCCTGCATGGTGGCTAGGGATAGGCTGTATTCTGAGGGTAGTTGAAAACGCCGCGTCTTATATTCGGTACCGGCTTAACTCATGCCGCTTAGTTAGGCAATAAGACTTTGGCAATAAATGGCCAATGACATAATATGGCTAGGTTTTATGATTTCTCGCTCGTTACGATTTGTATAGTTATTGAAGTCCATCTAACATTGGCTTCGATGCTAGTTATAAGATACTATGCCAATTTTAGATCACTCTGCGAGCAAATGCCTAAATATCTTAACTACCTCATGCTTATTAACCTCTATGGTTTTTTTTTAGCAAGGCTGTGCTACTTCATTCTTCAATGGTCCAGTGGGGAGGGTACTAAATGCATCTGCTGCAGACAGCGAGCTAGGGGGTTGACGAATGCAGAGTAGAGGTGAATGGTTGATTGTTTGCCAGCTGCCGACAGCTGGCCACCGTAAACTGCCTAATAATTAGCAAATAAAATGCATTCTGGAACCTTCGGGTCTCTCCTTTGTTTATTTTCCTGTTGCTCGCAATCACCAACACTCACCTTTCACCACTGCCCAACCTGAGCACAAGGACCATACAGAAGACCAAGGTCCGCGGTTACCTACACACAGGCTTCTTTGATACTGATTCACTATTAGGGACTCAAAATTCACGATGTATGTCGTCATCTCCGGCGGGGACCTGGTCCTCGTTGTCGGCCCGGAACAACGGTGTATCCAAGTTTCCGTGGACCTCCTTCGCACCTCTTCACCAGTCTTCGACGACATGATAAGCTCTGGTCTTATCAAGACCCCAGACGGCCTTCAAGGTACGATGGAGTTACCCGATGACAACGCGCTCGCCCTTTTGCACGCCCTCAAGATCCTTTACGGCGCCGACCCAGTTATGGGACAGCTCACGACCAAGGAGATACAGGAGGTGGCTGTCTTGGTGGACAAGTACAGAATGGCTCCTCGCTTTCAGTTCATCGGCACCTTCTGGATGCGGTCTATCCCTGTCGACAACGAAGAATGCTGGCACTTGATGACGGCGGCATTCTGGCTTCGACTTCGCTGCTCTTTCTTTGAAATGAGCAAAGAGCTTGCTAGAGCATGTGGCCCCTCGCTCTTCAAGTATGCCAACGAGACTCCGGACAAAATTCTTGGCCTTCGGCTTGGTAGTAAGTTAACCAAGAAGCAGATAGTTGGAGGAAAGGGGCTGACCTGGAACAGTGGCGATTCAACAGCTCCAGATCGAAGGAGGAACGATGGAAATGGGTCTCTGCCTCGACTGCTTCCTGAACGCCGACGAGAACTTGATCGAGCCACGAACGAACTGCGATTTCCCGGACCGACATCTCTAGGGAGGATACTTGCATCGATGAGCTATGTAAGAGCAAGCTGGATGAAGGAAAGGGGGATGTTGATGCCTTGAGAGGCAGATGAGTAGAGATCCATTTTGGCATGTCATACTGTCTGAATCATCACATGATTCATGTTGTACGTTGATCATTGAACCATGATGGAATCATGAGAACATGGAATTCAAAAGGCGTTTGGAGGCACCGGAGGAAGATAGGTACCTATCTAGTTGTTGAATGACGGCCGTCCTGTTTCCGTTAGCTCTTTGTTCACCATTCTTGACTCCATTCCTCGCATATCTCGACCAACTTCAACTGTCTCAACCCTTTGACCACAGCCAAGAATGGACTTCTGAAGGGCTCGAAGGCAAACAATATTTGTTTCTTTCAACTTTCACTAAAGAAGACCTTGCCACGGGATGGCAGGTTCCTGCCTTCGATGTCCCCCTCACTCAATCTGAGTCAATCGAAAGCTTGAGCGGTCCACGCACAACTCGGGCAACGAAACGACTGCGAGGAAGAACATTCACGATAAGTTAACGTACTTGTTTCTAGAGGGTTTCCTGTTTAATAAGTGCTAGCATGAAAGGGGATGTGTAACTTGTCGTAAACAGAAAATCAAGGCGAGTAAAAGCTATGTATTTGGCATGATCAGTGCCAACAGACTCTATGTGATGGACGTCGTGCTATTTGCCACAACTGCCAAATATTAAGACTTCACGTCTGTCGAGGGTTCATCGAGAACTCACATAGCTTGATTGGAGGAGATAGTCACGATATCTCAGAGCCAACAGCCAAGACACGTCGAACCGAAAGCCATACAGTTTCGACATCACCCTCGTCCGAAAGCGCAACATCCACGGAACTTGAAATATCAGTCGACGACAGTACCGAAACGGCCTCAGATGCTTTCACCGAGCGTATATGAGGAGTCGGAATGACTCCTGGCAATCCTTCTTATAGAGATCCTGGACTACTTCCACCATATGGTTACGGGTGTCGTGATGCTCAGCATTGGTCCTTCAAGCAACCCCTGGCGGCAGACTTACCTTCAGCCCGCCCTTGGAGAACCTTCGACCTCCAGTCAGATTGCTCTACTCCACATTTTAATATCTGTGGCGGCATACCAACGTGCATGCCGAGAAGTCAAAACATGAGGACATGAAAAGGGGGTTCTATCACGAACAAGAAGCTTCACGAGGACCCGAACAGTTTGTCGCACACGATCGCCTAGATTGATGACAGTGCATCGGTAGCAACCACGTCCTACCAACGCGAAAGGTGGGCAACTACACCGGAGGTCTCTGGGTGGGCAAGTTCCTCAAGACGCAGACGTACCAAGAGATTGTGGACGAAAGGGCGAGCGGGGAGATGGGCAGGCTCTGTGGGAGGTGTTCAAGGGCCGAGAACTTTGAGGTGCATGCCAGGTCTGGCGATTTGAGGGTGAAAAAGTATCTCGGGGATGAGTATGGATGGATCGACGACGCGAGGAAAACATTGTAGAGTATTGTGAATAGGCAGATCCAGCGTAGACTGCCTAGGTGGACAACAAGAAACTCTGATGTTCATCTCTCATGGTGACGAGCTCTTTCTATGTACGGAATCTGTTGTAGAAGGAAGGTAAGTATGGCTCGGTGGCCGGCGGCGACGTCGTCCTGGTTGTCGGCCCAGACAAGGTCAAAATCCAGGTCTCTTCGTCTTTTCTGTGCCTCGTCTCCCCAGTGTTCAAGGAGATGCTCTCCTTGCCGATGAACGAAGGCCAAAGGCGGCTCAGAGAAAGAGGTGACAAGCCTGTCAAATACCTACAACTAGAAGGCGACAGTCCCGAGGCAGTTCTCCACACTTTCAAATCCCTCTACGGATCGGACCCCCAAATGCTCAATCTCAACCCGGGCGAGATCCTCGGAGTCGCCGTGTTCGTGTATAAATGGGAGTTGGCCAAGCGATTTCAGTTTGCGGCCATGCACTGGACCATGTCACCCCGAGCAAACTCTTACAGGCCTGAGACTCGCGATGACGCCTGGCAGTTGTTATTGGCATCATATTGGTTCAGATATGCCCCCGGTTTCTCCTTTCTGACCTTTTGGATGGCAGGAGAGTTGCCTGGGCATTCGATGTGCGAACAGATCAACAAGATGAAAGACAGGGAACTCGGGCTGTCGCTCGCGCGTAAGTGGCATCTCTCTTTGTTATCTTCATGGATATCAGCTAATGAGAAAAACATAGTTGGAATCGAAGAGTTGCGCAGGGTAATGGTGAATCGCATCTCAGAGACCGGTAATGGGCTATGCTTACACTGCTTCCTGACGAAGCCGGACGACTTTCTCGCGAAGCAAGCCAGCTGCCCGATTCCGCGCCAGCACATACTGTGATACCTGGGACATCGAGATTTAAGCTTTCGAGATGCGGGCGGTTATTCTTGGGTAGCGATGTTCTCTTTTCCATGAGGTCAGGGCCTTCTAATGTGGGCTGAGACACGTAGGCTCAACATCACCATGCTTGCAGTCACGAGCGTATTGTAGGACAAGTACTAGCTCAGTATTGATTTAGTCACAGAGATGGCTACTAAATTCGTCTCTATCTTGAACAGCCATGTGCCTAACCCTCATGCTTCAACTCTGTGCAGAATGCGCTCGTCGTGTCCGAGTAGCTGGCTCAAGGTAAAACGGATTCTCTGTACTTAGACGTGCATTTGGGATTCCCCTCTGAGAATTCTTCCGTCTCCGGGGACTCAAAGCAACTCAGACAAAGTCCAAAGTCCTCGAATCCAGCGACTCTAAGCTCGTAGATAGCCACTGCAACCCCAACACATTAGTGACGCTGAATCAAGGGGGTTAGGATAATCGCTTACGGCAGAGCCTCAGCCCGAGGACCTGGTCTGATGTTCCCATCCCAAATCTGTAGAGAGGCTCTTGGTCTGCTTCAATAAGCATAATGCTGGTGTTTTTGAACCCAAGTTCACTGCGGAGCCAGTACGCCGCCAATAGCATCTTCCAGTCTTTCTTGGTTGAGCCATAGGTAATGGCACCGGTGTGTGCAAACCACGATTCGCAGGCGAGCTCAAGTCGATCGATCAGGTCATACTTCTGGGCTAGGACGGCTACATCGTAGATTTCGTCCGGCTTGAGCTTGTTCACGTGAGGATTGGCTCCGTAGAGAGTGCTGTAGACGTTCCATAGGGCTTTGGCGTTGTCTTCCGGGAGGACAATCTCGGTCGGGCCCTCATTTTCTCGAAGGGCGGCTCCTTCTTTGAAGTTGGGGCCGAGCATGACGTTGAACACAGGTGAGGTGGTGCGAAGGAGATGGGAAGAGACCTGTATCTTGGACTTCTCAGGGCCAACGATGAGGATGACGTCGCCATCTGGGATGATCTCTCTCATGAAGGGCGTTTCATCCTCCTTCGAGGCTGTTTCGGGCTCTGGTAGATGTCAGTTTACAGTACTTTCGTGTGCCAATATTTGGCCCTTACCAGGCCGCTTTCTCTTTTTCGCCGGTACCAGCTTTTTGGGAGGCATGGCGATGCGTTGTGACCCGAGAGTGATGTGTGATGAGGGAGGAGATGAGGAAGTGAGGAGGAGGAGGGGGAGAGAGCGCGCGATGAGTTTCTCAAGAGTTCATCTCACAAAAAGATTTTCCGTTGCAAGAATGGGCCCAAGGCTGGAGGTAAACAAGCTGCTAGCTGCCAGTGACAGTTGCCAGTGACAGTCACCAGTGCCCGCTGCCTGTAGCCAATGACCGGAAAATGAAGCGGGATAGCTGCCTCCGTTTCACCTCGCAAGGCATCAAGTATATTCACGTATGTCGAGATCGGTGTTGTGCGTATCAGCTCGGCAAGTGCTGCCACCGGTGATGCTCCGTTTGAGCTGTGGGGGGTGGGCGAGTTGGTGGTGCGAGACAAACCCTCACGATGAACATCACATCACGATAGACACAAAGTCGAGATTGAGAAGAGATTGAGAAGCATCCTTGGTGCATTGCGCATGCTAGTGGCATTTGCGAAATATGTATTCTTCCTTGCAGGCTTCTAATCTTCACCATATCCCCAAGCCAGATCATAAACTCGACCTCATTGTCCGCATTAACCCTTCCCGTGACCCGAGCGATGCTGTTTCGTTCTCCTCATGCTTTGCCTTCGGCTGAGCATTCCCTTGCTTTATTTGGTGGGGGCATGAGTTGGGTCTGGGCACTTGGGACTCTTGTCCACAAACCCAAGGCCAGTCTTTTCTACCTGCTCAAAGCAATGAAGACATATGCCCACTGTGTTCATGTGGCGACTTCGATACTCCTCTATCGCCACTGTTTCTTTGAGATTAGCTATGTCGTGACTCTACCTGCATGGGGGGAAAAGGCAACAGAATGGGGGGGTGTCTTACAGGACAGCTTCAGCCCGAGAGTCCAGTTTGACATCTGAGAGGCGAACTTCACGAGCGACACTTGTCTATGAGTGACAAAAACATTGCTCAACTGTACCAGTCTACGATGCGACTTGAGAAAATACGCGGCCGTCATCAATCTCCACGTTGCTTCAAAGTCTATCCGCTTATCAACTGGTGGTGGCTTCAGCCAGAATGCTTCAGCGAACGAGAATCGATCGACCATCTGGTATTTGTCCGCCAAAATAGCAATGTCTTGGATTTGCGCGGGCGTGAATAGCTTCATGCTGGGATCTGCTCCGTAGAGGACACTATAGGCGTTCTACACCGCGTCTGGAGAGTCCTCGGGAAGCTCGATCTCAACAGGGCCGTCGTTTGCTTCGCGGAGTGCCTTGCCCTCTTTGAAATCAGACTTCAGCATGGCCTTGAAGACTGGCGAGGTTAGGCAGAGCAGATGCGACGAGATCTGGATCTTTTCCTGCTTGGGCCCAACGAGAAGTATGATGTCGCCATCGGGGATGAGCTGCCGGAGACCGGCTTCGGTGGGATCTAGGAGGTTGTCAGTGCTGGTTGTTCCAACCCAAAACAAAATGATCTCACCAGAACTTTGGTCGTCTTGCTTTTGCGCGGCATGTTTGCGAGCGCTCTTGGACCCCATCGTGATGGACCACAGCCAAAGCTTCGGAGATCCTTTGGGGATCAGGATTGATAGGCGAAGAATCCAAGGGGTGGTAGGAGACCTCCGATGTGGAGTTGTTGTTGGGAGGTTTAAAATTTCCACTGGGCAGAGAATGAGATAGAAAAGAGATCCAGTCGTTGGTTGCTGGGGGAGAGGGGATGACAGCGGGTGTTAGGTGACGGGCAGTGATTCACTGCAAAGCCTGAGCCCCATATGCCACCCACAGCCAGCGAATGAATCAAAGCCCTGTGCTAGGGCTATTCTTTATGCTGGTGATTTCAGAAATTAATTCGTTTGGCGGCATGGCGCATTTTGGCTAGCTTTGTGAGTGTCCATAGATGATGAATGTGTTAACACTTACACTCCTCGACTCGAGAGGTAAAGCTAGCACCAGTAATTCCACAATCCCGTTACAAAAATTCTTCATCAAAAGAGTTGAAATAGCCACTGGTAGCATAAAACAAAAGACGGTCTCGGGTATGGAAGATGACATGAGTTTACACGAAACTCCTGAGTCAACAATCGGGAACTGGACTACCTTCTTCAGCAGTACTTTCAGAACTGAACCTGTGACGAATAAGAAGTCAAAGTTTGGCACAATACTTGCTAGAACACGACATACTATGCGAAACTCCCGTCGCATATGGCCGTGCCATGTCAGTCTTCCGTTCGGGAGGGTGCCAGCTGCCGACGGCTACCAGCATTGGCCCAACCAGGTAGGGTCTTGGAAAATGGTCCTGGCATAGTTGGCGAGGCAAACTTCAAAGAGGCTTTCATACACTTCCTGATTCTCGAAGTCGTTATAACGCTGTTGGGAGGGTGGTGTCGCATCTATGTCCTGCTGTGTGCTTGGTGGGCAATAGGCTCCCGAATTTTTTGTCGATTTCCTACGAAAGGACCAACATCCTAGTGCCTCATTTTCAGAAATCAGTAGCTAAAGATTGCACCCAAAAATAAACACATGTCCCTTCTTTAACGCGAAACAGTTGGTAAGTCTTGAATCTCATGTAGTCCCGAAGTTGAGGTCGAGAATGATAGCCGATGATTATCCGCGCTGCCCATCATCGCACCAAGCTCACGGGTCCAACTCCAGCGTCAACAAGATAGTCCTCTGAAATCAAGGTCATGGGTGAACCACAAAGGACAGGAAGTCAAGGGCATTCCCGGAATAAGTCTGTCACCAAGAGTATGTCTCCAAATTTTACACCAGGGTCGCACGTTACCGCGTTCACTCTCCCGCATATGAAGGGGGCACGTCATCTCAATTACCCACTACTCTTAACAGCTCAGCTGTGAATCGGTGCATCTCAGCTAACGCGGCTCAGCTCGACCACGGTCCTCTACTAAAGGGCCTCTCGATGTTGACGAGTGAGATTTTTTCTTCCTATACTTAGATGATACCTAACCTCTTCCAGTGACCCTCTAACGTCTCACCAACCCGCTGCTGTCGCTGCTCACCGAGCATCAACCCATCGACCCAGGATCTCATCACCACTCCCTCGATCCTCCACAGGAACCCCTGTATCTCAACTCGGCGAGGCCAAAGCAAAAGATTTCTCCTTTCTCCTTCGCCCAGAGATCTACCACCCCCTCACTCCTCTCAACGTGCCGGTAGCATTCCGCAACTCGCAAAAGCAGCCGAGCCCTGAGGCGCCTCTCGAAGAGCTCCTCGCCAACGGCCACTTCAGAGCGGCTGCTATCGCCGCTGTTCAAGAACTTACAGGCTCAGGAGCTAGCGGAGGAATAGATCCTACGGATTCTGCCAAGATCTTTAGCTTGTTGTATACTCGCCTGGCATGTCTGACTCTGATTGATGCGACCCCCTTGGCTGCCCAGGAGGTGAAGGCCTTGGAAGATCTCAACGATATCAGGAAGTATGTTGATGAGACAACCGGAGAACACCTGGTGCCCTGGGAGCTCCGCGTTCTCAACGTTCGACTTCAAGCTCTCGGCTTCGGTGACGCTCGACGAGCTGTCATGAGTTACCATGATCTCGCCAGAGAAGCCCGTGACCGAATCGCCAAGGCAGCAGCCCAACATGACAACTCAGTAACAGAGCTCTGGAAAGCTCGTCTCGGTGACCTCGGTATTCAAGTCGCCGGCGCACTTATCGAGCTAGAGGACCTCACAGGCGCAGCGCACCACTTAAGTACCCTGCGGGATCGTGGCGATGGAAGGATGACGCTGTCCAAGGCGTTGCTATGGCTTCACCTTGGAGATGCTGATAGTGCCAGAGCGTGTGCACGCCAGGTTTCTGCGAGCGACGAGAATGCTGAGAAGCTTATCACAGCACTATGTGACATGGCAGATGCCGAGTACGAAAATGCGTTGGAGAGTTGGAAGGAGTTGAAGGAGACCATGGACGACGAGATGGTTGGCGTCAACACGGCTGTGTGTCTGTTGTATCTTGGCAGGATCCAAGAAGTAGGTTTCCCAGTAACCATCATGTCGACGTATGCTAATCATCTCCAGGGACGAGAGATACTTGAAGAGCTGGTCGACTCGGGCTTATCATCACATACTCTCTTGTTCAATCTATCTACCGTGTATGAGCTGTGTACGGAGAAGCACCGAAACATGAAGCTCAAGTTGACGGAGAGGGTTGCAGCGATGGAGGTGTCGTCTGCTGGATGGGAGAAGACAAACAGCGACTTTAAACTGTAGTGACGATTAATATGAAACCCTGACTGCCTGACTTCTACACGATGATTGTGATGTTCTTGAAAGGGGTCAGCACTGAGCTATACAGGCAATGAGGCTACATCCAGACTGTGGCCCACACTGTGAGGCAAGTCGGGCTATCATACTAACATCTCTTTGCTAGCAGGTAATGACAAGTACCTTTCATAATGCAATAATTGTAACCAGTATCTCTATTGTCGTGCTGTAAGCCAGCGCCGGGCCCGAGGCACCCTGGCCGGAGCTACCCCACATTCCGGGTGCCGAAGCCGTCTGGAGCCTCGGCACAGATGGTACAATACAACGTCACTCATCAGCGAGCCAGAAGCTAGATATTCTAGGATCCCGTTCGGTCTTGACATATTGTTCTTTCACAACTCTCTTCCTGTCTTTGAAACCTTGAAACTACACTCACAATGTCGGATCGCGTCAACCAACTCGCTGGCCACCTCAACTACCCCAAGGGTATGTTGGCTGGTCAAGTGGCCATCATTACTGGAAGTGGACAAGGCATTGGCGCCGAGGCAGCGAGACTGTTTGCAAATGAGGGAGCCAAAGTTGTTGTTGCAGACATTGATGCTGGTGAGATCCTCACACCATATTTCCAGCCCGTGCAAAACTAACACTATCAGACAAGTGCAACGCTGTCGCTGAGAGTATCAAATCCAATGGCGGCCAAGCCATTGCTGTCTCTGGAGATGTTCTCAAAGCAGACTACATAGACACTCTCATCAAGCGCGCTGCAGAGTTTGGCGATGGCAAGATCAACATCATCGTCAACAACGCTGGCTACACCTGGGACGGTGTCATCCACAAGATGACGGACAAGCAGTGGGAGACCATCATCGCCCTGCACTGCACCGCGCCTTTCACACTCGTCCGTGCCGCGGCTCCTTACTTCCGTGTAAAGGACGGGGCTCCACGATGCATTGTCAACATCTCGTCGACATCTGGCGTGCATGGTAACGCTGGGCAGCTCAACTATGCGCTCGCCAAAGCGGGAGTTACGGGCTTCACCAAGACGATTGCTAAAGAATGGGGTCCTATGTTTGGTGTGAGGGCGAATACCGTTGCGTTTGGGCACATCTCTACTAGGTTGACAGCAGCCAAGGAGGAGGGGGCCTTTGTGAAGGGACCAGATGGCGAGAAGATTGCTTTGGGAATCCCGACCAAGCAGAAGCAGGCCGCGGGAGATGCTGCACATGCAGACATTCCGCTGAGAAGGCCAGGAACTGCGACAGAGGCGGCGAGCAGCATTCTAGCTGTAGCCAGTCCCTTGTTTTCGTATGTCACAGGACAGACGATCATGGTGACAGGAGGGAGAAACATGTAGATGAAAACATCTAGCCAGACATCACAACAAGAGCAGCTCACATGAAGGCGCTGAAGAAATGTGGTATTAGATTAAACGGTACTATTCTTCCCGCCGAAACGCCCCCATCCAACAAGATGTGCTCCTTTTGTAAATATCATCGATCCTCATCATATTCTTACACCTTGAGCCACAGGTTGAAGACACCCTGAGCATACTGGACGATCTCGTCACCGCCCAGCTTGCTCTCGCCGTACAGACGGTCGACGAAAGAGATGGGCACCTCGGCGACGGTGCAGCCCATGGCCTTGGCGCGCACCATCATCTCCATCTGGAAGCTGTATCCCTTGCTCTCGGTGCTGGAGATGACCTTTTCGAGGACGGATCGCTTGTACAGACGGAAGCTACCAGTCAGGTCGCTGACGCCAGGTCGGAGAACAGTATCGGCGAACAGGTTGGCGCCACGGCTGACAAACTTGCGCTTGAGATCCCAACCATAAACACCGCCGTCACCAGCGTAACGGGTGCCAGTGACAATATCGTAGTTGCCCTTCTCCTGCAGAGCGACCATCTGGGGGATGAACTTGGGGTGGTGCGAGAAGTCGGCGTCCATGATGACGACAAAGTTGCCAGTAACGAACTGCAGACCGTGGACGTAGGCCGTTCCGAGGCCAAGCTTGCCGGTTCGGGTCTTGAGCACGACGTGGGGGGAGTAGGCCTCGACGAGCTGGAGAGCGACTTCTTGGGTTCCATCGGGGGAGCCGTCGTCGACAATGATGAGTTCCCATTCGAGGTTGCTAGAAGGGTCAGACTGCGCTCTTGGAAGTATAGATAATATCAGGTATACATACTTCTCAGTGAACATGCGGTTCAACAACCAGGTCATAATGGGGAGGTTCTTGCGCTCATTGTAGGTTGGCAGGATAACCGAGTACTTGTTCGCTTTGGAGGCCATCGTGAAGGTGGTGAAGGGTGATGAGGAGGATTG